GCAGCGAGCATGATAGTAAATAACCCACACGTCTGGGAAATCCTCTCCTTACTCTTGTACCATTGGAATAGTGGATAATTGGATTTCAAATCCTCTCCTAGTCCAGATGTAAGCAGACCCAAGGATGTTGTGGCATCTATAGTAAGGGTATACAAGGCATGGCCAAAGTTCAGCCCATGGGCCAATTGTGGCCCCTGTTCAAATTTCCGTTGGCTCTCTCTCTCTCTTGGCCTCAATCCCTTGTTTCTTTCTTCCCTTCCTCCCTCCTTTCCTTGACTCCCTCCTCCCTCTCTCTCCACCATTCTTGACTTCCTTCCTCTTTTCGTTTGTTTGGTCGGTCATTCCTTCTTGGGGATCAGGACCCCGGAAGGAGGAAAGAGAGAAGGTGGCATCTTGTGTCCATCCCAATTAAGCGTTTCCCATCTCAGTGATCCCTTCTCTCTCTCTCTCTCTCTCTCTCTTCCCCCACAACCTTTTCTTTATTTACATGCTTGCCTCAGGTGCTTGCTGCCACCACCACCACTGCATGGCTGGAAAGGGCGGGCCCTGGAAGCTGAGTGCCTGCCTGGCTTCCCTTCCATCTCCACCCCGTGATTTCCAAAAAGGCTGCCCTTTGCAGTGGCTCCTTTCTTGGGAAGACAAGGGGAGAGCCAAGTGGCAACTATAACTCTCCTCTGACATCATGAAAGCCCTCCCAATAGGTGACCATGCCACTCCTGCACAAAGAACTCCAGAGGAGACTCCACCAGACTCTGAGGCAGTATATGCCACTGTCTGAAATGACTTGAAGGCACACAACAACAATTCTATTAACTAGTCTCTATTATCAGCTGAAAGCAGGCCCATTGAAAGACAGGTACATTTATGTTGGCTTAAATGGTTCTTCGTTTTATATATTGTATTGTTGTTATTATTGTTATGCTGTTTTGTGTCATTTTAATTTGTATCTTGCTGTTGTTTTGCTTTTAGTTGTATGTTGCCTGGGCTTGGCCCTATGTAAGCTGCCCCGAGTCCCCTTGGAGAGACGGAGGTGGGGTAGAAAAATAAAGTCCTTCTCCTTCTGTCATGGGTTCTTTTGCACATTCAGTATGCATAGGGATGTGTTCATTTTTTTTCAAACTGTAGTCTAACCCCCTAATAGGCTGAGGGACCGTGACCTGGCCCCAAGCTTTAAAAGTTTGCACATCCCTATTCCACTTGACACTTTAACTGTCATGGTTCAAAGCTATGGAAATATGGAACTTGTAGTTTGCTGAACAGTGCAATGACCAATCTTGATAAAATAGTGCAGAGTAGAGAATCACACCGCCAATGAAGATCCCCATAGTTAAAGCAATGGTATTCCCCATAGCAACCTATGGATGTGAGACCTGGACCATAAGGAAGTCTGAGCAAATGAAGATAGACGCTTTTGAATGGTGGTGTTGGAGAAAAATTCTGAGAGTGCCTTGGACTGCAAGAGGATCCAACCAGTCCATACTCCAGGAAATAATGCCCAACTGCTCATTGAAGGGAAGGATTTTAGAGGCAAAGGTGAAGTACTTTGGCCACATCATGAGAAGACAGGAAAGCTTGGAGAAGACAATAATGCTGGGGAAAATGGAAGGAAAATGGAAGAGGGTAAGATGGACAGATGGTATCTTTGAAATGACTGGCTTGACCTTGAAGGAGCTGGGGATGGTCACGGCTGACAGGGAGCTCTGGCATAGACTGGTCCATGAGGTCACAAAGAGTCAGAAGAGATCGAATGAATAAACAACAACAAAGTTTGCTGAGGCACCAGCACTCTTTAGTAGAGAAAGTTAACGACCTTATAAAACTACAATCCCCAGGACTTCTCACAAAAGAAAGCAAAGGCAGTGTTTTTTCCTTGGCAGGTTTTGCCCAGTTTCATCAGAGATCCTCTGCAGGTAATCTTAGAGGCCAGAACTGCCCTAGCTTCCTGCCCTTTGTTTAGGACAGGGTTTTTACTTATGCATGAATCATGTGCCAAGGGAGAGGCTGTCTGCATGTTTTCTGAAAAGAAAGCAGCCATTTCCATAAGCGGAGGTTATTTCTTCCCCCCAAAAGTACTTTTTTGCACTTATCAACACTGCATTTCATTACCCGCTCTCCCACTGCTACGAGATCCCCATGGAACTCCTTACAATCTGCTTTAGATTTAACTACCTTGAATAATTTATCATCTGCAAATTTTGCTGCTTTCCGTTCAATCCCTTTTTCAAGTCATTAATGAATATGTTAAAAAGCGCAGGTCCCATTATAGATCCTTGAGGCTCCCTGCGGTTTATCTCTCTCCACTGTGCAAATTGACCATTTATGTCTACCTTCTATTTCCTATCATTCAGGCACTTGCTAATCCACAAAAGGATGCCTCGGCTTGTGCCATGACTACTTAACCTTTTGCAGGAGCCTTTGAAAAGAGGACTTTGCGGGGCCGTTTCATTTAAAAAAAGTCTAATTGCACAAATCTTTATTCCATTTACCAACTGACATTCTTTCAAAGTATTGGCAGAGCAGCGGGCAGGATTTCCCTTTAAAACAAATCAGGCTAACGCTGCAATTGAGTTTTCTTCCCTAGGATTAGAAGGTGAGCAATTGATGGCCAGCCACATGTTTTTGGCCTGAAACCTCTTCCCCAGCCCCAATCAATGGAGAGGGAGAATGGGACGTGCTGTTCAAATATATCTAGGTGGCAAGGAGCAAGTAAGATTTTATTATAATTTGGAGTGCTGGACTATGAGTTTGGAAACCAGGTTTCAAATCCCTATTCAGCCATAAAAACCTACTAGGTGATGTTGCACAAGGCACACACTCTCAGCCTCAAAAAGCTAATGATTGGGTTGACTTGAAGGCAGACCATAGCATTATGAAAGACCAAAGCCTGGCCTATACTATGGAGTAAGAGCCCTCCAATGTTTCTAGTGCCAGGAGGTCTAGCCAGTTATTCTGTATTGCAAAAACATCTGCAAAGTCCAACATTGTCCTAAACAGATGGGTGTTGGCTTGTTTGTCAAATCACCCAACAGGTTTTCTTGAACACAATAAACAGTTTGCCATGAAATACAGGATTTTTTTTTTTGGGGGGGGGGTGTTAGGAGTTAGGACTTGAGAAACTGCAAGTTGCTTCTAGTGTGAGAGAATTGGCCATCTGCAAGGACGTTGCTCAGGGAACGCCCAGATGTTTGATGGATTCAAACTGTCCTGGATTCAAACTGTCCTGCCTGCACAAGAGTTTAACCCATTGCACCACCAAGGGCTCCATGAGAGCCAGTGTAGTGATTTGAATGTTAGACTAGGATTCAGAAAGGCCAAGGTTCAAACTCTTACTGGATGACCTTTGGCAAGTCATATCCTCAGAAAGGGCAAACTTGATCTGGTCCATTTTTGGCATTAAAATTCTTCAATAAGAAGGCTGCCGTAGGGTTGCCATAAATCAGAAACAACCTGAAGGCACCTAACAGCAAAATGGAGGATGCAGCTCAGAACAAGAGAAAACCTGAGCTTGGATAAGTTACTTCACATTTCCAAGCTCTAAAGAAAATCAGCCCCAGATCCTGAGATTTTTATTTCTCAATTTCTCCCACTCAACATGCCCAACTTTGGTTTTTTAATTTTATTTTTAGTGTGTTTTATCAGGATTTTTGTATTTTATGATGTTTTTAATTTATTTTTATTTTATTTCTTATTTTTATTTTTTGCATCTGTATGCTTGTCCACTATGCCCTGCCTCATGTAGAGGAAGAATTGTTAGAGGTTACAGACAATGCAGTTGCTGTTGCCCATTTTTGGTCAAAAGCTATATAACTGCTTGTGCTCCTTCTATTTTTATCAGTTTTATACTAATTTATACAATGCTTTTTATATGAAATTTTAAAAATCACTACTTTGATGGTAAGTTATAATTATGTTATTTTCTATTGTCTAGTGTGTTTTGTCCTGATGTAAACCTTTCTTATAGATTTTCTTTGGGCACTGAATGTTTGCCATATTTGTTGGAAACTGCCCTGAGTCCTTTCTGAGAGTTAGGTCGGTCTATAAATAAAAATGATGATGAAGATTGTTATTATTATTATTATTATTATTATTATTATTATTATTATTATTATTATGGTGTTAAATGCTTTACTACATTCTTTTTCTTTAGCCTCACAGTTCAGCAAAAAACAAACAAAAACAAAAAAACCCACCAACTTCCACCTACCTTGATTCAGAGGTCAGAAGCTCAAAGTGGAGATAGATAGATACATTTTAAATTCATTATAAATGGCAGATACTGCAAGTTAGCAAAAGGGGGCAAGAGTCTAATGAAAGACAACTTTTGAAAACAAGACCTGGACTGAATCCATAACAAGGTGCCAGAGAGGCCTTGGTTTTGTTATGCAAATTCACCCAAACCTCCAGCTCATCCCTTGTTTGGATATCAGCCAGCATGTCAGCGACTTAAATCCAGAAATAGTTTTCTAAAATCTACAGAGACACTCGTTGGAACACCCCAGCAAGCAAGAGTCCAAAAGTGGCAGGCTCAAACCCATACCTCAACCAATGGCTGATACCAAATGAGAGACTCCCCCCTGGGTACCCAGAAAACTAGGCGACTTGGAAGGCGCTGAACAGACTGCTCTAGCACCACGAGATGCAGAGCCAACCTCAAGAAATGGGGCTACAAAGTGGAATCCACGACATGCGAGTGTGGAGAAGAGCAAACCACTGACCACCTGCTGCAATGCAACCTGAGTCCTGCCACATGCACAATGGAGGACCTCCTTGCAGCAACACCAGAGGCACTCCAAGTGGTCAGATACTGGTCAAAGGACATTTAATCAACTACCAAGCTTGCAAACTTTGTGTTTTGTCTGTTTGTTTGTTTTGTTAAAAATGTAATACAAATGTCTGGTTGCCCCTGACACGATAAATAAATAAATACCCAAACCACTTTGGGATGGGAGTGGCAATGTTGGAAAATGTTCTGCTTTCAGTACAGCGAATAACTGCAGCCATAGAGTATGCTCTTTATTGGTTAATTTTTCAGACAGCCACAATCCGAGGCAATAGAGCTTGTTCCAGATATAACTCTACTACCTGGAAATCCTATGAGGAAACACAGAAGCTAGGTATCTTTAGGCTGGGGAAAGAGATGATTAAGAGGTGATATGACAGGCACTTGAAAAGCTATCACACCGATCATGAGCAGAGCGCAGCTGATGTTATGTTTGAATTAGCTGAAGGGGTTGAGTATGTTTGCTCTGGAGAGGAAACAATTAAGAGGTGATACAACAGCCATGTTCAAATATTTGAAGAGCTGCCACACAGCCAATGGAGACTCTTCCCTGTTGCCCCCAGGGTGGGAACCAAATCAACAGGTTCAAATTATTAAATGGGATTTCAACAAAATATTCAGAAGAACTTCCTTAGTAAAGGAGGTTTCAAGCCAGGGATGGTATTTATTGGGGGGTTTTTTTCCATGTCAGGAGCAACTTGAGAAACTGCAAGTTGCTTCTGGTGTGAGAGAATTGGTTGTTTGCAAGGACGTTGCCCAGGGGACATCGAGATGATTTACCACTCTTGTGGGAGGCTTCTCTCATGTCCCCGCATAGGAGCTGACAGAGGGAGCTCATCCCCACTCTCCCCCGATTCGAACTTCTGACCTGTCAGTCTTCAGTCCTTCCGGCACAAGGGTTTAATCCATTGCACCACTGAGGGCTCCTATTTATTGGGGTGCCTGGTGGCACAGCGGGTTACATCACTGAACTGCTGAACTTGCTGACCAAAACATTGGCAGTTCAAATCCAGGGAGCAGGGTAAGCTCCTGCTGTTAGTTCCAGCTTCTGCCAACCTAGCAGTTCAAAAAAATGCAAATGTGAGTAGATCAATAGGTACTGCTTCAGAAGGTAACGGTGTTCCATGTAGTCATGCTGGCCACATGACCTTGGAGGCGTCTGCAGATAACGCCGGCTCTTCAGCTTAGAAAAGGAGATGAGCACCACCCCCCAGAGTCGGACAGGGGAAACCTTTACCTTTTAGCAGTTCACCTGGATTAGAGAGGCGGACAGAGAACATGATATTCTTTGATATTCTGTATGGGACACATGTTGATATTCTGTTTTTGTTCAGCCATTTCCTCCAGTAATGCTTCCAGTTTATTGGATATTATAATTTCTGAGCATACAGGAGGAAGATAATGGATTTAAGCCAATTTTCAGAACTAAATTGCAGCCTCAAAAGAAACTCCACTTCCCCACATTCACTTATTTCAGGTATTTATATGCCACTTTCCAAAGTACTTTACAGGAGGCAAAATTTTAAACTTAACCTTCTCTGTGTTTTTGGATTCCCTTGGGCACATCTCTGCAGCTGCCAGCTCAGTAATTTAATGTGAAATCAGCCCGTGACATGCCAGATTTGTCAGCTTATTATTAAGGCAAGAAAAAAAATAAGTACTGTTGGATTTTTGTTTTAAAACTTTTATATCATAGACATCAGATTTTTAAAAAGCACTCTAGCTCTCCTATTCTTTCAACTTCAGATCTCTCAATGAAAGGTTGGTTGAAGGACTACCCACTCCTTGGACCTGAGCTCTGGATGGATGCTACTCAACCTTAACACCAGTGTGGAAGTTTCCCATGACCTGGAGTCTCCCCTCCCTTTCCATGCTCAACAAAAGCTATTCCATGCATTTTGAAAATCCATTCTGTTCAAATGAAAAGCTAACATCCCCAAATATTTTCCTGGATACACATTTGCTGCATCCAGCTGCCATTTTATCCTTCCCACTTCTGTAGATCTTTCTGCCACATGGTGCTATGAACCATCTGTAAATCTACTGTGCCATCACACTGCCTGCACGTCTGCTATGGATAATCAGAAGGAAGATAACCAAGACATGCAAGAATTGGTGATTAAAGAAATCTAAGATCCAAAGAGGAGCCCTGGTAATGCAGTGGGTGAAACCTCTGAGCTGCTGAACTTGCTGACTGAAAGGTCAGCAGTTCGAATCCAGGGAGCAATGTGAGCTCCTGCTGTTATCTCCAGCTTCTGCCAACCTAGCAGTTCAAAAACATGCAAACATGAGTAGATCAATAGGTACCGCTTCAGTGGGATGGTAACGGTGCTCCATGCAGTCATGCTGGCCACATGACCTTGGAGGTGTCTACGGACAACGCAGGCTCTCCGGCTTAGAAATGGAGATGAGCACCATCCTCCCAGTCGGACACGACTAGAATTAATGTCAAGGGGAAATCTTTACCTTTATAAGATCCAAAGGAGCACAAAGACCTGTCCCTAAGTCCCACTAGTGCCCTAAAACCCAAGAAAACCCACAGCTTATGCACCTCCCCACATCTCTCCTACCAACTGGCTTGGTTAGCATGCAGGTAGAATGATGGAAACCGGCTTCTGCCATTGAGGGGGGGGGGGGGGGTCTGTAGCATTTACAAAAAGAGAAAGAGGTCATCTGTTTCAAATCCTTCCAGTCCCAAACAGCAGCTCTTGCCCTTCATCCAGAAACATGGCCAAGAGGGGAGTTTGTCCTGATGCTGTCCTTGTTGCATCAAACCAGAAACAAAGACAGAGTGCAGCTTGAGGGTGGATTTGATATAGTCTCTGGCTATCTCATTGTGAGGCTAATCTGAGTACAGAAGGAGGTCACCAGCCTCATGCTGCCTCTTCAGAGGATAATTTGGTTCTTGAAGCTTCGGCTGAGTTCCTTGTGAGGCAGGACAATGGAGTTCAGGATGACAACTTCAGCAGGGATGGTCACGTTGCAGCCTGTGGAGGATGGAGCAGGGAGGCATCAGGAAAGGACACAGAGGAGACCAGAAATGTCACCTTGCAAGGCTGGCATCAGTAGAAACACAGGGATTATTAATGCAAGAAGGGGATGACCAGCGAATACAAATACTTACCCAGAATGGTGATGGAAGGGGTGAGGCGGCCCTCCCGGAAAAGAGTCTCGCTGTCTATCTTTGCATAGGGATCGTTAGGGTTGGGGTCACTGGGAGTCCCCTCCACACGGGCCCAGCGCCCGATGGTGCTCTCCCAGCCTACAATGCTGTTTAGCACACATGTATGGTCCTGAGGAAAAGACAGTAAATCAAGCATGACACATTCTAATCCAGTTCAGTCTGCTTGTAATGTTCAACTGGGGCTAGAAAGGAGGGGTGTCCTTGGTCAGGGATGGTAAAAGGGCAGCTCACAGGTTACACATGTACCTATGGCCCCCATTCTGTAGTAGCTGAAACTCACCTGATATTTCCCAATCCCCCCCAAATGTGTTTTTTTGGCCCAAATCCCAGTCATGAGGTCAAAACTGCCAGAAATATCAAAAATTAACAGTATTTTTATATTGTCCTATCACCCAGTGTTTTAAAATTTTATCCTTGAATTTGGCCCTGCCCAGTGTCATTATTTTTGTTTTAATGTTTTATTTTATGCTGCTGTATTGTTTACTTATATTGGTTTTGCATTTTATGTACTTTATTTTCTGATTTTTGTTGTGTTTTTGTATTTATATTGTGTTTACTGTATTGATGAGTGTAGCCTTATTTAAGCCGCCCCAAGTCCCCTTGGGGGAGATGGAGGTGGGGTATAAATAAAGTTTTATGTATTATTATTATTATTATTATTATTATTATTATTATTTATTACAAAAGTGTGAGCCAGGCACTGAAAGTTAGTAGGTTGAAGCCTGTTAGAGTCAGTGGGCCAAAGCTAGTTTTGTCCTGAGAAGAGTAGGCCAAAGCCTGTTAGAGTTAGTGGGACAAAGCTTGTGTTGCCCTGAGGAGTGTGAGGTAAACCTCAGTGTGAGAGAAGCCTCGTGTGAGAAAGCTCCCGTGTGAAGGCCACTACGTGTAAAATTACTATGTATTTGTTTATTTGGGAACAAATAAATACATATGGAAACCTTGTTCTTGTAAATAGTGTAACCGTATTATTTTACTACAAAGAAAAGCCTCCTATGGAAGAGATAATATTGGTCTGTGTGTTTTTGTTCTTTTTATCACTGGTGCTAGATTGCACTGCTAATAAGTTACTCTGCTATATATTTATGAGGAAGGTCTTTTGTTAATAAGCCCACTCGTCCAACAAAAACTGTATATAAACACAATGGTTTACTTTCCACTTCTCATCACTCTGTAGTTCAATGAACTTGCCCTGAGCTGGCTACCACAGTGACTGTCTTTGTGGGTATATGGGAGAACCAAACAATATTCACAGTGTTCTTATAATGATAAAATATAATTAGGATAGAACTTCAGACAGCCTCTAAAAAAAACACCAAACCCCTCCTTCTCTCCAACTCCTCTGGCTTCTTAGTGCAGGAAAGGTTAGGGGGGGAAAGTGGTGAAAACGGAAGTGGAGCAAACAGTGTGGTGACTACGAGATTCCTGGAACTCTTGCTCTTAGAATCATAGAATCATAGAATCAAAGAGTTGGAAGAGACCTCATAGGCCATCCAGTCCAACCCCCTGCCAAGAAGCAGGAATATTGCATTCAAACCACCCCTGACAGATGGCCATCCAGCCTCTGTTTAAAAGCTTCCAAAGAAGGAGCCTCCACCACACTCCGGGGCAGAGAGTTCCACTGCTGAACAGCTCTCACAGCCAGGAAGTTCTTCCTAATGTTCAGATGGAATCTCCTCTCTTGTAGTTTGAAGCCATTGTTCCGCGTCCTAGTCTCCAAGGAAGCAGAAAACAAGCTTGCTCCCTCCTCCCTGTGGCTTCCTCTCACATATTTATACATGGCTATCATATCTCCTCTCAGCCTTCTCTTCAGGCTAAACATGCCCAGTTCCCTAAGCCGCTCCTCATAGGGCTTGTTCTCCAGACCCTTGATCATTTTAGTCGCCCTCCTCTGGACACATTCCAGCTTGTCAATATCTCTCTTGAATTGTGGTGCCCAGAATTGGACACCACAATTCCAGATGTGGTCTAACCAAAGCAGAATAGAGGGGTAGCATGACTTCCTTAGATCTAGACACTATGCTCCTATTGATGCAGGCCAAAATCCCATTGGCTTTTTTTGCCGCCACATCACATTGTTGGCTCATGTTTAACGTGTTGTCCACGAGGACTCCAAGATCTTTTTCACACGTACTGCTCTCGAGCCAGGCGTCCCCCATTCTGTATCTTCGCATTTCATTTTTTCTGCCAAAGTGGAGTATCTTGCATTTGTCACTGTTGAACTTCATTTTGTTAGTTTTGGCCCATCTCTAATCTGTCAAGATCGTTTTGAATCTCGCATGTCTGTTTTATTACCCTCTTCCTCTTGCATGATAGTCAATTATTCTTCTTTGGGCCATCTATATGCTGGTAGTCAGTAGGCAAGAAGAAGATACTTATGCCATAATACAGGCAGTCCCCAAGTTATGAACAAGATAGGTTCTGTAGGTTCATTCTTAAGTTGAATTTGTATGTAAGTTGGAATGGGTACATATTATAAGTGTAACACCAGCCAAAGAAAGAAAGATAGATAGATAGATAGATAGATAGATAGATAGATAGATAATATAAAAGTTTTGAGTAGCACAGGAAAGGGTTAACATCCCTGTGGTGTTTGTTTTGCTGTCTGTGCTCTTATTCAAAAGATTTAACCCCACTTCCTGTCTCTGTGATAATTTGGATTTTGAACATTTTGGCTTGTGGTGGAAACAAGGATTGATGATAAAGCTTCAGTGGACACACCTTACTCCTATGATAACTCTTCCAGGAGTGAATCTCATTTCTGACAAGAAGATTTTGAGTTTTCCAGGCTGTATGTCATGTTCCAGAAGCATTCTCTCCTGATGTTTCACCCACATCTATGGCAGGCATCCTCAGATGTTGTGAGGTCTGTTGGAAACTAGGCAAGTGAGATTTATATATCTGTGGAATGTCCAGGGTGGGAGAAAGAACTCTTGTCTGCTTGAGGCAAATGTGAAAGTTGCAATTGGCCACATTGATTAGCACTGAATGGCCTTGCAGCTTCAAAGCCTGGCTGCTTCCTGCCTAGGGGAATTCTTTGCTGGGAGGTGTTAGCTGGCCCTGATTGTTTCCTGTCTGGAAATCCCCTGTTTTCTGAGTGTTCTTTATTTACTGTCCTGATTTTAGAGTTTTTCAAATACTGGTAGCCAGATTTTGTTCACCTTCTGCTGAAATTTAAGATTTTGCCTCACTTCCTGTTGTCTCACCCTGTTTGTAACTACAAGTCAGATGTAAGTCGGATGTTTATAACTAAGGGACTGCCTGTAACAACACATTTTGTCTCTAAATGGTGCCAAGAGAATGATGTTTTCTCGAAGAATGATACCGAAAGTTTACAGTTCAGTAGCGCCACCTGTTGAGCACCAAGAAAACAACAAGAAAGCAAAAACCCTCCAAAACTTAAGGAATTATTACACTGATTGTTTTTGCTAATTGAAACACAATTATACACAAACTTTCAGAACACTTGAGGACATTTTGGATCAGCTAACTCTACTGAATACAAGTGGCTCTCCACAACCACAGATTCTGCATCCAAAGTTTAAATTGACCAATTCTGGATTAAGAAAATATTTCTTAATCCAAAAGCAAACCTTGATTTTGCTATTTGATGGAAAGAATGCCATCCTACTACATTACTTTGTATAATGGGACTTGGGTATTGGGGAATCACACATTTTGGTACTGAATGAATAAACTGAAAAAGTCCAATGAGCTGCAACAAGATCCATAAAGTGTTTATAGTGGGCCCTTGACAGCCATTGGGGGAGGTTCTGGAACCATATGTTCAGTCAACTGACCACTGCCAAGCGTCTGTCTAAATCACTGTTGGGATTATATAGAATTTTGCATTTGGATTTACATGTTTGCAAAATTTAATAAAAACTTTTTTTAAAAAAACTTTCCTACTTGCAATTGGAGCCACATTAATGCCAACCCCAATTCAGCACTAGTAAGATGACATCTCACAATTCTATAATAATAATAATAATAATAATAATAATAATAATAATAATAATTTATTTTAGCCTGCCCTCTCTCCCCAAAGGGACTCAGGATGGCTTCCAAATATTGGCAAACATTCAAGGCCATTAAATGAACATTTATACATATATTAAAACAAAATATAATACATTGGCTGCTAACATCAATCAAAGAGTCAGGAATCATGGAGCATACCCATTCCATGATGCATAATATAACATTGTGTCTATTTATACCCATATTTTTCTTTATACACAAGACTCAAATCAACTTACAATACAAACAATTCAATATAATTTAAAACTAAAAATTATTAAAACATTAAAATAGAATTAAATATTAATGTTGTGAAGCATAAACAATTAAAACCCTTAAAACTGATTCAGAACTAATAATACCCAGAAAGGGAACATCTCTTCTGTGATGGGCTGGGATACTATTAGGAAGTTGTAGTCCATCAGCATTTAGGAGGATTCCCCAGGTCTTGTATCATGCAAGAAAGATGTTGGGACACCATATTTTTCCCACCAACCCCAGCACTGTTTAAAAGGGGTAGGGCATGCTTCATAAATATTAAGTAAAGGGAAACCACAAAATTCACAAAATGGCAAAGCAGAAAGACTTTATTGTTGGCTGGCAACTTTTCTTCTTAATGTTTCATGTGTGGTCCCATGACTAAATAATGCATGGAGGAATGCTCAGAAACTGGAAATAAAGTAATTCTGTCACCCTCTTGATGGGTTAGACCTATTTTTATTTAGACCTTTGGCATCCAGCTAAGTTTTAATCAAAAGGGGGTCTCACTTCTTACTACCAAGCTGTTTTTATATGGGTTCACAACTAGTTTTTACGTTTCCCTTGGTCTCCACTGGAGTCTGCTTCCAGGACTTGATGGATACCAAAATCCATAGATGTTGAAGTCCTATTATGTGTTATGGTGTAGCAAAATGACATCCCTTACATCAAACAGCATAATCAAGACTTGCTTTTTGAATTTTTAATATGTATTTTCAAGTTGTGGATAGCTGAATTTGTGAACACAAAATCTGTGGAAAAGGAGGGCCAAATGTATTGCTGTTGGCCACCTTAAAACCCATATTGTCAAGGGGAAAAGGATTCAATAGGTGTGATCACTTACCTGAAGAGAAGCTCCATGAAGAATGATGGATTCCCGCACACGCACTCCAGCCCCAATCATTACACCTTTCCCAATGGAAACGTTGGGGCCGAGCTGAAGGGAAGCATAAAGCGATTGATAAACTGGCATGCAAAGACTCTGCCTCCCACTCACTCTCCTCAACCCAAGGCATGGGCCAGATACTTGAACCATGAGGAAAAGCGGGTAAAAAATGAATTATTATTATTATTATTATTATTATTATTATTATTACCACCATCATCATTAAGCATGCCTCCATAAATGTTGAGCAAAGCCCCCTGTCTCAGATGATGGAGGAATGCCAGCACCCCCAAAGCAAAAATAATTCCAGCTTTTATTTTGCTTTCTCTGTCATTAAAAAAAGTTTAAAAGAGCAGTTTTCAATGAAATCCAAACAATTTCAATTTGGGGAGAGGAGTGGCTGGGATGTGCCATAACAGATTCTTGGGCAGAACTGGACCCCAGATCTCTAGAGGTTGCTGACTCTGAAGGCAGACACCACACCCAGGGCGCTTACCACTGCACTGGCATCCACTGAGGCTGTTGGATGAATGTAGACATTTCCTGAATGGAACAAGAAGGCACAGCAAAATCAGACTCCTGCATCCTTAAAAGAATGACAGTTCTCATCAAATACAGTTAGGACATATTCAGAAACCCAAACAAAAGATAAGGTTTATTTATTTACAACATTTGTATCCCGCCCTTCTCTACTCTGAAGGGGACTCAGAGCAGCCTCACATACGGACAACAAGTCAATGCCATAAAAACATACAATTAAATAAACATTTACATTAAAAACACGGAATTAAAACATGAAACAATTATATCAATTATTAAAATCACGTCATCCAAGATCATAGTCCAGAGCCATTCCTGATTATTATTGCGTCAATTCTACATTCACTTATTGCACTGCAGTTACTCTCTGAAAGCTTGGTCCCATAGCCAAGTTTTAACTTTCTGAAGGCTAGGAGGGAAGAAGTTGATCGAATATCATTGGGGAAGGAGTTCCATAGTCAAGAAGCCACCACTGAGAAGGCCATCCCCAAAAACGCCTGTGAAGGAGGTGAGACCGAGAGCAGGGCCTCCCCAGATGATCTTAACCTCCAAGGTGGTTCACAGAAGGAGACAGGTAAGCTGGGCCGGAACCATTTAAGGCTTTATAGGCTAATGACAGCACTTTGAATTGTGCTTGGTAGCAGACTTGGTAGCGGAGCTGACGTAACAGGGGAGTTTGTGTGCTCCCCGTACAACATTCTAGTGAGAAATCTGGCTGCTGTCCATTGGACCAAATTTACAAAAACAATGGAAGGCAAATGAGGCCTTCTCCGTAAAGGCAGAAAAAAGGAATCACACTTTTGAGAGCACCTATCACTGGCTCTGGGACAGACAAGCATTATCTGAGAAGTTAACAGATGGGCTCCCTGACTTGATTATTTTATGGGTAAGAACTGTGCAAGCTATGGCTCCAGAGGTTTTGTTTTGCTGTGGTTTTTGCCTCTCCTCCTGGGCCCTCAGAATCCTCCCAATAATCCGTAACCAAATAATTTTTGGTTTAAAAATGGAGAATCATGCTCCAGAAGAGTATTTTTTAATAACTTCCTGGAGACGTGCACCACAAAAAAGGCTTCAGAATGAAATACAGAACCAGGAAATGACTGGGATGTCCCTTTTAGTTTTGTGCAACCTGTGAGGTGATGTCTGGAGAGATTTGGAGGGGCCAAAACTGGGTGAGATGCAGTTTTTGGAAACTCTGCAGCTTCTCCTCCCTTGTCTTATCATTGGGAATGCAAACTCCCTGTCTTGTTCCTGTGTGTTTTCATCTCACAAAAGGTTAAAGAGCGCAAAAAGAACCTCGGATGGTAGGCCCACCAGGCCGGTTCTGGGCAAGTCTCTCAGGATGGCACTGGCTGTAACAGCTAAGATAAAGGCGATTGGCATAGATGGCAGACCTAGAAATGAGAACAAGGTGGAAATTATATATGACACTTGCCCCTCCACCTCTAAAACTGCACTGTTTCCATTGTGCCAACCTCTGGAGGGTAAAGCACGACAGAATAAATAAACAAATAACTCTTAGATCATAAGGAAACCACGGTCAACTGAATGAGAATTTAATCTATTGTAGAACCTGTATGGTTTAAATTATTTCCTCCCTTTTTATTGCCTCTCTCCAATTCTGAAGCCAGAAGGGAAGTTCAAATGTCCTTCCTTCTTTCCTTTTGTTGGACTAATGCTCCCATTGTATAAGCCCCAGAATAAATTATTGAGATTTCTATACATCTTGCCTCAAAGATCCATATTTTACAATTAGGTAGAATTTTTTTAAAAAAAATCAAGAGCTAAATAGACAGGAAAAGGTATACAGCTTGGACTCATGGGATCTGGAAGCTACAGGACAACAGCCAAAATGAAGGACTGAAAAGGGCTATGCAAAGATCAGCTGTCACTTGCCCCACTCATCTTCAGATATTTTGACTCTGACAATATCACTGCCTTTATGTAAGCCCAACAAACCCTATGAGGAGCAGCTTAAAGAGCTGGGCATGTTTAGCCTGCATGATGAGGGCCATGTATCAATATCTGAGAGGAAGTCATAGGGAGGAGGGAGCAAGCTTGTTTTCTGCTGCCCTGGAGACTAGGCTGTGGAAAAATGGCTTCAAACAACAAGGAAGGAGATTCCACCTGAACATTAGGAAGAACTTCCTAATGGTGAGAACTGTTCAGCAGTGGAACTCTTTGCCTCGGAGTGAGGTGGAGGCTCCTTCTTTGGAGGTTTTTAAACATAGGCTGGATGCCCATCTGTCGGGGATGTTTTGCATGTGATTTTCCTGCTTCTTGGCAGGGGGTTGGACTGGATGGCCTATGAGGTTTCTTCCAATTCTATGATTTTAACTTGAAGCTGGATTACCTTTCCCCAACCCATCCATGTGCAAAACAAAAACTACAGTCCTACACATATTCGCTTAAGCCAGGCAAAGCTGGGATCCATAGAATGACCTCAAAGTTTCCCTTCTGTTCTGTGATGCTATGTTGCAAGACAGTTAAAGTGCCAATGTAAGTGGCTTCTACAGATGGCAAGGGAAGGAGGTACCCATTTGCCCTCCTCTGATGGGAGAAACGTATTATGGCCTGCTCTGTTCACCAACTGACTTACACCTGCCTATCTGCCTATACAGTGAGCCAAGTGTATCTCTTGCTCTCCTTACCCAGCAGACTTGATTTGGCTCCAGAACCCCTCTGTTCTGTAGGCAAAGAGGCGTCCCTGCCCAGCAAGGCCTGTGAAAACATCTTGCTCCAGTCTGATGGCTTCAGCTCGCTGCCAACCATTGGTGCTCTCCTCTCTGCAAGAATGAGACAAACCAAAAGTGAGAGAAGCACAGCATTCTGCTTGCCAGAGAAGTGATGGTCAGCTAGAGGTGAAATGATTATTTGTTTGTATAGACAAATAACTAAACAAGACAACAAAACAAAACAACAAAAGCCTATTTGCAGACTGGGAGCTGAATATGATGTCAGCAACTAGGAAGCCTCTAAGCCTAAGTGTCCAAGCAGAGCTGCATCACCACAATCTTTGGGTGTGGAGCATGCAAGATGAGGGGAGAGTCTGAAACTTACCCAATGCATGCGCCCCTACAAGTGGGCAAAAGATGACAGGAAGCGGAGGGCAAAGTGGAGGAGTAGATGGAGAAAAACAGAAAGAGAGAGATGGTAGATGAGTGACCTGCCACTGAGAGGAGGAGGGAGGCAAAAAATGCTCAGGAAAGACTTACAGGAGCAGTTCTTGCTGGTTCCGTTGGAAGACAGCTCCAATGTGACGGAAGATAGCCGGAGTGAACAAGTAGATGCCACAGTTGATAAGCTCACTGACAAATGTGCTGGGCTTCTCCACATAGTGCAGGACCTGGACAAGACAGATAGCGTCTGAGCAAGGAAAAAGAAAGCTTGAGAAACAACTTCACCAAAAGGAAGTCTGAAAATTATTCTATGCTGTTCACAGAGACCTAAGATAAGGGTGACAAGATATGCAAAAGGTATTGCATATCGATATATAGATATTGCTCATGCACGCTTTATCTTTTTTTCTGAAGTTCTATATGTTGGAATTCAGCCCCACACTGCACAAGCCTTAAGTCCTCAATGAGGAACAGTTTATTTAGTATAATATAGGCTAAGGGTTTCCCTTCCCTGATGTCTCCTGAATGACAGGTGGGAAAGTATCTATTTCTTCTGTCCTCTCCGTTTCTGCTCTCATTCTGACTGGTTGTTTGAAATGGAAACTTTACTACTGCAAGCTTTTTGAATCTGACTCCTGCCTTCTTACACTTTAGTATGGAGAGTACAGTGTTCCCTCACTTATCGCGGGGGTTACATTCCTGAACCACCCACGATAAATGAAAATCCGCAATGTAGGGAAGCCAAGGGGCCTCCGAGGAAGAGGTGGAGGAGGAGGGACTTGCTGCTGCTGCGCTGTTACCGCCTGCTGCAAGTGCTCGGGGATGCTCTTCTTCTTCTCCTTTGCTCTTCTCCTCCTCTTCCTTGGAGGCCCCTTGGGAAGTCCAGGCTGGATGAGAAGAAGAGTTGTTGATGCCACTGCCAAGGGGCCTCCGAGAAAGAGGAGGAAGAAACGGAGGAGGAGGGAGTTGTTGCTGCTGCTCTGTTGCCACCTGCTGCAAGTGCTCGGAGGCACTCTTCTTCTCATTCTCCTTTGCTCTTCTCCTCCTCTTCCTCTTCCTTGGAGGCCCCTTGGGAAGCCCAGGCTGGGTGAGAAGAAGCGCGAAGGAGAAGAAGAGCGCCCCCGAGCACTTGCAGCAGGCGGTGACAGTGCAGCAGCAGCAACTCCTTCCTCCTCTGCCTCTTTCTTGGAGGCCCCTTGGGCACTGTTGATGCCACTGCCAAGGGGCCTCCGAGGAAGAAGAGGAGGAAGAGGGAGTTGCTGCTGCTGTTCTGTTGCTGTTTGCTGCAAGCACACAGGGACGCTCTTCTTCTCCTTCATTCTTCTTCTAATCCAGCCTGGGATCACCCTCTTTCTCCGCCGCTGCCTCCTCCTCCTCCTCTTAGCCTGAAGGGAGCAAGGCCCCGTCGCCCCCAGGGGCTCCAGCATCCTCCAGCCCCACCATTTCCTAGCACCTGGCTCCCCTCCTGCAGCTCCGGGGGGGAGGGGGGGATGGGGGGGACCCGCGAAACAGTGAGTCCACAATAGGCGAACCGCAAACTAGCGGGGGAACACTGTATGTGCTGTGTGCTTTGAGATTTATCTCTGCGTGTCAGGAGAGATGTAGTGATTGACTTTTTCCCCCTCTTGAAACCTTAGAAGAGATGGGTGTTCAGATCCAGTCCTTGATTATTAAGAAATGCAGTTATTTCTTATTATTGTAAATAAACCTTTTGTGATTTTTTAAAGATTGGACTCTGCATGTTTGCCTCCTAAGGTCTAAATTCTTTACAGCCACATCACACGGCACTTCATGCTCTGCTCGCTAATGAGCTGATACTCAGCTTTTGTATCCTAATTGTTTTGGGATGCTCTGCTGCATCAAAAAACAAATAAGATACAAAAGTTAGTTATCCCTAATACTATAAAATACTGATGCATGGAATAATTCTTATCCATTTTGGCCAGTGCTATGAGTAGGTTGGACTGAAAGCACTGCTGGGGCTCAACAGACCCTTTGGCCAAAATTATTTCTTCTTGTCTGTTTGCCTTCCTGCTCAGTTTCATCGCTCATCTGAACTTTGTGTCCCAATAGGGCTGATATTTCATTTCTACCCAACAAGGTGGAGTGAGGTGAAGTGAGTGACACTTGCTCAGAAACCACAAAGCAGTAGGAAAGATTTGAGGAGGGATTTGCTGACAGGGCCACCCCTATCATTGAGTGGAGACGGGGTATTTAGCTCTCCAGACTATTTGGAGTAAAGTTCCCAGAATTTCTCATCAATGTTTACGTTGGGTTAGGAAAGATGGAGATGTAAGTTAAACATCTGGAGGGACACTGGTTCTCAATTTCTCCATCAAATAGAACAAGATGAATGCTTCAAGTGGCAGCTGCTAGGAGGAAGCAACCAAGTGTGGAAGGAAAGAAATGGCAACTTCCATGACCTGCCTTGTTCCCTCTCCCCAATTAAGCTGCAACCTTCAAGTATGGTGGGCGGCACTGTCCCAACAGGAGTACTGGGCAGCTTAAACTGCCAATCTTGTTGGCTTTTGTACACTGAAAGAGAGGACTGCTCTTTTGACTTTTGTCTCAGAGGCACTGGGTGTCCCCCTTTATCAGGTGGGCCTTCAACCAGTCTTTCTTTTGCATACCTCATGTGTGTCTGAATTTGCCACAATGCATCCATAGTTGAGAGACTGTTTCCTGTTGGCCTGTAGAGAAAGAATAATGGTCACAAAGCAAGGTGAGAGAAGATGTCCGTTTTCACAACTGAACTGAACCCTACAAAAGGTTTCCTGCAAAGCACAGTGCACCAATCCCTTCACTCTGCACAGACTTCAGTTCCCTAAGTCAAGTGTGTGAAACTGTCAGAAATATTAAAAATTAACTGGGTATTTTTGATTACAAAAGTGTGAGTCTAGCACTGAAAGAGTTAGTAGGCTGAAACCTGTTAGAAGCAGTGGGCCAAAGCTAGAGTCGTCCTGAAGAGAGTGAGTAGGCCGAAGCCTGTTATGAGTTAGTAGGCCAAAGCTAGTGTTGTCCTGAAAAGAGTGAGTAGGCTGAAGCCTGTTACGAGTTAGTAGGCCAAAGCTAGTGTTGTCCTGAGGAGAGCGAGTAGGCCGAAGCCTGTTATGAGTTAGTAGGCCAAAGCTAGTGTCGTCCTGAGGAGAGTGAGTAGGCTGAAGCCTGTTACAAGTTAGTAGGCCGAAGCTACTGTTGTCCTGAGGAGAGTGAGTAGGCCGAAGCCTGTTACGAGTTAGTAGGCCAAAGCTAGTGTCATCCTGAGGAGAGTGAGTAGGCCGAAGCCTGTTATGAGTTAGTAGGCCAAAGCTAGTGTTGTCCTGAGCAGAGTGAGTAGGCTGAAGCCTGTTACAAGTTAGTAGGACAAAGCTAGTGTCGTCCTGAGGAGAGTGAGTAGGCCGAAGCCTGTTATGAGTTAGTAGGCCAAAGCTAGTGTTGTCCTGAGGAGAGTGAGCAGGCCGAAGCCTGTTATGAGTTAGTAGGTCAAAGCTAGTGTCATCCTGAGGCGAGTCAGTAGGCTGAAGCCTATTATGAGTTAGGAGGCCAAAGCTAGTGTCGTCCTGAGGAGCATGAGGTAAACCTCAGTGTGAGAGAAGCCTCGTGTGAGAAAGCACCAGAGTGTGAAGGCTGCTGCATGTAAAGCTACTTGTATTTGTTTATTCATGTTGTGGAAACCTTCTTGTAAATAGAACAACTATATTATTTTACTACAAAGAAAAGCCTCCTATGGAAGAGAAAACATTGGTTTGTGTTTTTGTTCTTTTTATCACTTTGGGTACTGGAGCTGGGTCATGCTGTAGCTGATAGTTTGCTCTGCTGTACATTTATGAGGAGAGTCTTTTGTCAACAAGCCCACTTGCCCAACAAAAACTACCAGCATCCATAAGTTTGGATTTGGACTTCCAGAAGCCTCAGGCACCATAGGAAATGGTAAGGAACTGTAGGAGTTGTAGTCCAAAGCATCTAGAAGACTGAAGACCAGCCCCCATCCTTGACCCTAAGCAATTCAGCCCATAAAGAGTCAAGGCCCATTATTACCGTGGTGCCCAGCATAAGGAAGCTGTCTGGATCACCCCGCTGCCGGTGGAAGCTGAGCATCTCATTGAGAGGGAAGGCAGAGCAGACGTCGGCATTCAGCACAAAGAAGGCTTCGGGGTTTCCTGAGAGGATCTGATCCCGGAAGTGGTAGATGCCTCCACCTGTGCCAAGAGCTGCGTATTCTTGTAGATATCTAGAGGGAAAACATAGTGATCTTACGTTGTAGAAGATGACCTACGCCTCTTGCAACAAAGCAAACAAAGAGCCCTGTAGTATTTTCAAAATAACAGATTTTACTATGGATAAACCAGGGGCCCCTGGTGTCGCAGTGGGTTAAACTACTGAGCTGCTGACCATGCTGACCAAAAGGTTGGTGGTTTGAATCAGAGGAGTGGTGTGAGCTCCTGCTTTTAGCCTCATCTTCTGTCAATCTAGCAGTTCAAAAAGATACAAATGTGAGTAGATTTATAGGTACCGCTTCTGAGGGAAGGTAACGGCACTCCATGCAGTCATGCTGGCCACATGACCTTGGAGGTGTCTATGGACAATGTCAGCTCTTTGGCTTAGAAATGGACATGAGCACCACCGGCCAGAGTCGGACACGGTTGAACTTAATGTCAGGGGAAACCTTTACTTTAACTTTCAAGCCTCCATGCATCAAGCTCATGCCAGCAGATATATGTAATGCAATATGGTAAAGTCAGGTAAAATGGAGAAAGGGATATGTGGCATAAAATAAATAGGAATAACATGGCCCCAAAGCTGATCTCAGATTCTCCTACAACAGTTTTTAAAAAAAAAGACAGAGAATTATGAAGGCAACACAGCAGTGATTTTCTAGCCCTTGTGACTCAGTGTAGTTCATGGTGGCTCTGTAATTAATGGAATTTGGCTCTTGGACCCCTCCTGGAGGTGCTCATCCTACCCTCATGTAAAGGTTAGCGTTAAAGGACAATGCAATGCAAAAAAACAACAACAGGAGCATGCATACGGTAGAAATAATGAAGTTCTACATCAACTACCATGGCTCAATGTATGCAGTTATGGGAGCTTTGCAAGTCTAGCCATCTTTGTCTAATAGTGCTGGTGATTCACTAAACTACAACTCCCAGGCTTCCATCCCATTGAGCCATGGGAGTTAAAGGGGTGTCAAACTGCATTGTCGATGCTCCCAATGCCTGGCAATTCATTTAGAGTTTAAACCAAGAACAGGGAATTTATGGTCTTCTAAACCATGGTTTACACTTTCCACCGTGTCTCATAGTTGGCCAGGCTGGAAAACTGACGTTTCCAAAATCTCTCACCTAAAATGCCAGCTGGCTACTCACCGTATGGGGATTTTGAACTCTTGCTGTGCCGAGACCAGGAAGCGGCTGAGGGCCTCATTAGGCTGATAGAAACCAATCAGGAGGATCTCCTTCATGTTGGGTACCTGGAGAGGAGGGAAGGCAAAAGGGGAGACATGTCTCACTCATAGCAAGCCCTATGGCCCTGAGAGCTCCCTTCCCTCTCCCTGACTTGTTTGGTGATGAACTAGAAGTGAACAGAAGGAGCCAGCCTGGTGTATCTGGATCTGAGGGTTGTACTGAAAACTCTGGATCTTCACTTGGTTATGGAAACACACTGGGTGACCCTGGACAAACCACACTCTCTCAGCCCCAGATGAAAACAATGCAAACCCTTTTCTGAATACATCTTGTCAAGAAAACCCCAAGTCTTAAGGGTGCCATAAGTTGGAAATAACAATGAAAGTAAAGTGAACACAAGTCCAGGTACTTATTCTGCTCCACTCCCAAGCCCCCCCCCCCCCCAATGCACCCCACTTACCTTAGTGCATGCCTCAATATGGTGCTGGACCATAGGCACTCCTGCCACAGGAAACAAGGGCTTCGGCACCTCAAAAGACAAGGGTCGGAAACGGGTCCCTGCCAAAGGAAGCAGATTCTGGAGTTATTGGATTGGCAGTCCTCTAGTTGTTTTATTTTTGTTTGCTTGATCGTGTTAGAAGTGACTTGAGAAACTGCAAGTCGCTTCTGGTGTAAGAGAACTGGCCGTCTGCAGGGACGTTGCCCAGGGGACACCCAGATGTTTTACCATCCTGTGGGAAGCTTCTCTCGTCCCCACATGGGAAGCTGGAGCTGACAGATGGGAGCTCATCCCATCCCGCAGATTCAAACCACCAACCTTTATGACAGCAGTTCAGCCGGCACAAAGGTTTAACCCAGTGGTTCTCAACCTGTGGGCTCCCAGGTGTTTTGGAGGCACTGTGGCTCCAGTCCTCCAGTCCTTTCTAGGTCGCTCACTGAAGGTGTTGTTGGGGGACACCTACTTGGCCCTACGGTCATTGTACTGTGGGGTCCCACAGGGTTCAGTACTGTCTCCTATGTTGTTTAACATTTACATGAAGCTGTTGGGGAGATCATCTGGAGTTTCGTGGTGTGGGGTCACCAGTACGCAGATGACATCCAAATCTGTCACTCCTTCCCACCTGCTACCAAGGAGGCTGTTCAGGTCCTGAACCGCTGCTTGGCTGCTGTAATGGTCTGGATGAGAGCGAACAAATTGAAATTGAATCCAGACAAGACAGAGGTCCTCCTGATAAGTTGGAAGGCTGAACAGTTTATAGGGTTACAGACTGTGCTGGATGGGATTACACTCCCCCTGAAGGCATAGGTTCGCAGCTTGGGAGTGATCATCACCGAGCCTGGAACCCCAGGTTTCAGCTATGGCTAGGGGATCTTTCGCACAATTAAAACTTGTGCGCCAGCTGCGCCCATATCTTGGGAGGTCTCACCCAGCCACGGTGGTCCACACTCTGGTTACATCCCGAATAGATTACTGCAATGCACTCTACGTGGGGTTGTCTCTGAAGACTACTCGGAAACTCCAGCTAGTCCAATGCTCAGTGGCCAGGTTGCTCATGGGAATGGGATACAAGGAGCGTACAACTCCCCTGTTACACCAGCTCCACTGGATGCTTATTAGCTTCTGGGCACAATTCAAAGTGCTGGTTTTGACATAAAAAGCCCTAAACGATTCTGGCCCAGTTTACCTGTCTGAACGAATCTCCCTCTACGAACCAAGGACCTTAAGATCATCCAGCAAGGCCCTGCTCTCGGTCCCACCACCACTCTGGTGGGGACGAGAAACAGGGCCTTCTCTGTGGTGGCCCCTTGGCTGTGGATATCCCTCCCTAATGAGATTAGATCTGCCCCATTCCTCCTGACCTTCCGGAAGAAACTCAGATCCTGGCTGCGGGATCAAGCATTTGCAGAATAGACTGACTTACTGGTGAAGATAAGGTTTTAGTGGAACGCAATGGACTGATTTGGATGACGATTTGAACCGGCAAACTGTTTTAATGTATATTTACAACTGTTTTAAACGTACGATAATTGTATTTTATATTATGTTATTATATTGTGTTGGCATCAAATAGTTGCCTGTTGGAAGCCGTCCTGAATCCCTCTTCGGAGGTTGAGAAGGACGGGGTATAAATGTTCCAAATAAATAAATAAAATGCTTATATTACACTAATTGTTTACATTGTTATCCACCTTACTAAACTACTTATCCTTTAACTAGTTCACGAAATGGTTCCCCCCCCCCCCCTCCAAAATTAGTCTGCTATTATTGTTGTTGCTAGCTATTATTGTTATTGGGTTGTTGTAGGTTTTTCGGGCTATATGGCCATGTTGTAGAGGCATTCTCTCCTGACGTTTCGCCTGCATCTATGGCAAGCATCCTCAGAGGTAGTGAGGTTTGTTGGAACTAGGAAAATGGTTTTATATATCTGTGGAATGACCAGGGTTGGACAAAAGACTCTTGTCTGTTGGAGCTAGGTGTGAATGTTTCAACTGACCACCTTGATTAGCATTTGATGGCCTGGCAGTGCCTGGGGCAATCTTTTGTTGAGAGGTGATTAGATGTCCTTATTTGTTTCCTCTCTGTTGTTTTGCTGTTGTAATTTTAGAGTTTTTAAATACATAATATAATTGTTATGTTGTTTTATGCTGTTTTATGCTGTCTTAATTGTTATTGCTTTGTTTTTAATTGTATTCTGCCTTGGGCTTGGGCCCCATGTAAGCCGGACTTGGGAGATGGAGACGGGGTTGAAAAATAGAGTTCTTCTTCTTCTAATTGACTCCTGTATGTTTCTATCTGCCCTGTCCTTGCAACTGTTTTGCACAAGCCCCTGCCTCACTCCTTAGCTCGATATGTGGTCACTATATTAGGCTATTGGTTGTTGTTGATATTTATGTTTTTATGATGTTTATATTTCTAATTTTTACTGTGTTATATTTTAATCTCTGTTTTCCTGGACTTAATCCCCATGTAAGCCTTCCTGAGTCTCTTTGGCTTGATGGTGGGATACAAAAATAAAGTTATCATCATCATCATCATCATCATCATGGGAGTTGTAATTTGATGTGGCAGGGGTTAAACAACGTCATTGTGTTATTGTTAATGTTTATTGCTATTTTCTGTTTATGAGTTTATTTATTATTGTATTACTGTTGCTATGTTTTATTGTTGTATTGTGGGCTCGGCCTCATGTAAGCCGCACCGAGTCCCTTGGGGAGATAGTAGCGGGGTACAAATAAAGTTTAATAATAATAATACCGCAAATCCCACAATTCCATAGCATTGAGTTCAAGGAGTGTCTACAGTGTAGATTCACCCAAGGTTAAGAAGAAGCAGCAATATTCTAAAAATATATACTGTTAGGGAGTCACCGGTGGCGCAGCTGAACTTGTTGATCGAAAGGTCGCAGGTTCGAATCCTGGGAGTGGGGTGAGCTCCCGCTGTTAGCCCCAGCTTCTGCCAACCTAGCAGTTCAAAAACATGCAAATGTGAATAGATCAATAGGTACCACTTCTGCAGGAAGGGAATGGCACTCCATGCAGTCATGCCGGCCACATGACCTTGGAGGCGTCTACGGACAATGCCGGCTCTTCAGTTTAGAAATGGAGACGAGCACCAACCCCCAGAGTCGGACACGACTGGACTTAATGTCAGGGGGAAACCTTTACCTATACTGTTGATCCTGGACTGGTGGGGCAATGGCTTATGGGGCGGTTGAAGGGCAGGAGACTCCCTGGGACAGGTTTAGGAAGAGAAAAATTAGGAGGCGTGGAGGTGGGTCTTACCTTTCTGGGGTCCCCCGATGAGGATGACGGCTTTCAGCATCTCTGTTGTGAGCAAAGATGATGCGGGAAAAAGCAGCCACAAGAGAGCCCCCGATGTCCTCGCTCAGCTCCACTTGAATGGCGAGCCCTACTTCCGAACACGTGGAAACGCCACGTCACGCCAAAACGCCCGGGTCACGGGGCGGGACAGCGCCTCTCTTGGCCAAACCTCTCCTGGCCAATCCGAGGGGAAGTGCATTTATATTGCAGAATAAATGCAGCGTGGCCCCATTTTACCAGCCATGGCTCAATGCTATGGAATCTTATGTGTTTGGAGAGGCACCAGCCCTCTTTGGCACAGAAGGCTCCAAGTCCTTGTGAAACTACACCTCCCACGACCCCAGAGCATTGAGCCATGTCATTCAAAAGTGGTGGCGTTTCTCTCTGCTGCTGCTCCCTCTCTTCTGCGCCTCCTGCAACGTGGACCAGTCACAGAGGAGCCTCAATAGATCCCAGCAATGCCCAGGAAGGGAAAGCATTTATATCTCCTTACTGCCAGTTTTGCTGCGAGGGTGGGATCCTGCAATGCCGCCTAGAACCTCTAGGGGGAGGCATTGCCAAGGGAATGGAGGCAAAGTCCAGACTCCTCTCTAAAGGTGCTTCAGTATAGATTCAATGCAATTTGACACCCCTTTGAGTTTAGGGCTCACTGCTATGGAGTCATGGGAGTGGTAGTTTTGCCAGATCTTAATGCTGGTGTTTCACTGCACAACAAATCCCAGATTTCCACAAAATTGAGCCATGGCAATCAAAGAGGTGCCCAGCATGCACAATGGAGGACCTTCTTATAGTAACACCAGAGGCACTCCAAGTGGTCAGCTACTGGTCAAAGGATATTTAATCAACTACCAAGCTTGCAAACTTTGTGTTTTGTTTGTTTGTTAAAAAATGCAATACAACTGTTTGGCTTGCTCCTAAATAAATGTGTAACACGAGTTTTGTTCCTGGGTTATAAATGTCATTTCCTAATTGTTTCTATCATAAAACATTGAAAAGGTTTATTAAACTATAGCATGTTCTGCTATAGTTTTTTAATCTCATAGGTAAAGGTAAAGGTTTCCCCTGACATCTAGTCTGTTAGATTGTTTTGCAATCAAGCATGCATTTAGAAATAGCCTTTTCTCTCTAGTCACCATGTTCTGTTTCTGGAAGCTAACACTCTAGCATTCAAAGGTATTTCTTGACCGTCATAAAGTTGCATGCTGGGATATCAGGGAGAGATGGCCGCCACTGACTACATGTCAACTCTCAAGTATTACCCTGGAAATACTGTGACCGCAATAGTATATGCTCAGAGCCAACAACAAGAAGTTGTGGTTGCCAGACCCGGTCAACATCCTCTTAAATAACAAACAATCTCTGGTGACATTCTGTGCTGGTTATATAGACCTCAGATAAGGAGGAACATCTTCTAGAGAAAATAAGTCTACATGTTACATCTTTTTGAGATTATAAAGGAAAGCAAGTTCAGAAGAGCAGGAAGTTAGTATGTTTTTCCTGTGGGCTCTTCCTGATTACACTAAAAATACGAGAGTTCTCATGGTGTAGCTCAGGCATGGGCAAACTTTAGCCCTCCAGGTATTTTGGATTTCAACTCCCACAATTCTTAATAGCCTACCGGCCATTAGGAATTGTGGGAGTTGAAGTCCAAAACACCTGGAGGGCCCAAGTTTGCTTATGCCTGGTGTAGCTCCTATGGTTTGACCTCTGAATAATTCCATTGTATTTTTTCAGGAGGAGGTTTTCTTTCCAATTTTTTCTTGTATTTGCACCAGAGGTTTTCTAAAGGGTTTTTTTTTTTTTACCCCTAGCTGGGGCATGACTTAATGAGATAGTCCAATGGGTTGAAAAGCAAAATTCCTTCTTGTTTATTTAATGATAGTGGTTCACCAAAGCACTGACAGTTCAAGCTCAGACTATTTGAAAAACTGCATCTCTGCATACAAACCAGCATGAGCTCAGCAGTCCATGTAGGAGGTCCTGCTCTCGGTCCCACCCCCGTCTCAGGTATGGCTGGAGGGAACAAGAAAAGAGGCCTTCTCCGTGGCTGCTCCCCGCCTCTGGAACTCGCTCCCCAAAGAACTAAAAATGGCCCCCTTTCTCCTCTCCTTTAAAAAACTTTTAAAGTCTCATCTGTGTAACCTAGAGGAGGAGGACTAGCATATCTTAAACTCATTCTTCCCCGGGCATAGGACACCTATCTCAGCCTGATGATGTAATGCATTATACTATGCTTTTAACGCATTGTGTTTAATTGGTTTGGCATCATGTGTTTATGATGTTTATTTAGTTTAAGCCTAGGTTCTGGTTGTTTATATGTTTATTGAATATATTTATTATATATTTTGCCTTGAGTGCTGTTTATTTGTTTTTTGGCATTGAATGTTTGCCATTTTGTTTTTCTTGTGAACTGGCCTGAGTCCCTTTATAAATAAATATTATTATTATTAATAATAATAATAATAATAATAATAAGGGTGGTTTATAAATAAAGTATTATTATTTTAAGAAAAAAGATATTCAGAATGAAAAGAAACTGACATGGGAGTGTTGCAGCTAGCCTTGAGAACTGCTAGAAAATACAGTCAGTCTCCAAGTAATGAATAAGATAAGTTCTGGGGGTTTGTCCTTATTTATTTATTTACTATATTTATATCCCACCCTTCCCAACCCTATAGGGGACTCAAGGCGGCTTATAGCAGAGGCAAAATTCAATGCCTTAAACAATTCAACAATTAAATTGTTGAATTTGTTTGTAAGTTGGAACAGGTACATTTTCAAAGTGTAACTCCAGACTGCCTGTAGTACTGGACAATAGAATTATAATCTGGATGTATAAAACAAAATTTAGGAACAAGTCCTGCAGTCTCTTGAAACATTCATCCCACCTGGAGGAGTTCTCAGTATGTGTCTGTATGTATATATGTGTTTTATGTCACAAGGTACATGTCATCTTCCTTTAACTCAGAATAAGGAATCTGCAGCCCTTTGCATGTTGGACTGCAACTCCCATCAGCCCTAGCCAACACAATGGACGGGTGGAGTTGCAGTCCAACAACCTCTGAAGGACTCCTCCTTGCCCACTGCTGTCATAAATAATGGAAGCTTTGATCTCGGGGCTTTTCACACTAGGCCCTTATGATTCTACTTTAAGTCCCATGGCCTTAGCCTATGGGAACTAGGCATAAGTAGTGTGTTGTTATTGTGGGCCCTCAAGACATTTCTCATTTAGGGCAACCCTAAAGTGACCCAATCACATAATTAGAATTTTTTATTCTACAGATTTTGGAACAGACTGCTTCTAAAATGATTTTGGAACAGACTGCTTCTAAGATGACTATTTTGACTGCAAAGGCCTGATGCCACTTGCTTTTCATGCAAGACAGAGATGATATTTTGATTTATATGCAGCACACACAAGACCTTTGTATAATCAATTGGCTTTATTGAGTTTCATAAAGCAAGAAAACAGATTAGAAAGAGTCTGGAGGCTCCTGGCATGCTTTACTCACTCTGAGGTGTTGGGGATTTCAGCTCCCCGATTTACATACCCCAGACCAAAGTCTGGCCCTTGAGATGTTGTAAGACTGCAACTCCCATCTGGCCTATCCAGCACAGTCAGTTATGGGAAGTGATGGGAGTCACAGACTGACAAGATCCAGAAAGCTGCATGTCCCCCCACATATCTGCCCTAAGCAGGGTGGGTAGGAAGGGGAATTTCTGCCATCAAATCAAGCGAGGAAAGATGTTGTGCTGTCACTGTGAAGCCGTATGACATTGACAGGAGAGCCAGAGACACAGGAAGAGAAAACAGAAGTTCCCATGCATCTTCAGGAGACAAGAAGATATCCTAGTAGCACCACTAGAAGAGGGATTCGCTTCTCTTTGCCTAGCTTGTTCCCTCAGCCAGGCAGCACAACCTTCTGGATCATACTTGGCAAGGATGGAGAGAAGTTGGGGTAGGGAAGGGACTGTGTAGATGGAAAGCTGGGGCTCAAATCACATCCAGGCGTGCAAAGGACTGGTCCATGCCCAGACTGTTCTCCACAAAGACCTCGTATTTCCCAGCATCAGCCGGCGTCACCTTTTTGATAGTGAGAGTGGTTGAATCACTGCCAATATTGTAGTACAACCTGCAAGTAAAGGAAAGCCAGTGGTCTCAATCCCAGTTCTGACATGTACCTTCAGACTTCCCACTGCGTGCCCTCCACTTTTGTAACTCTCTCCCATTACTATTGTGGTAGGCTGTCCCAATTAACCCAGACCTGATTGTTTTTCACTAGGAACTGAGGTCTAGATCAGTAAAGAACCCTAAAGAATACCCTAGGGCAAGTTTCTATCTGTTCTTCCTTGGAAAAAAGCTACCTGAGATTCTGCCCTAATAACCATGAAAGGTGGACACATCCTTCTTTGAAAGAAGGAGGAGGTCACCTTACATTATTTCAAGTCTACACTTCTTGAAAAAAGTTGGCCTTTGGACTACTCCTAGAATCTTCCAACCATCTTGGTTCTGTACTAGGTTCTATGACTTGTAGTCCAACATGTACTCCTATTCAAGGATTAAGATGATAGTCCAAAACTGCAACTTCGACACCATCCATATTGATTACTAGGCTGCTTGAACTGCTTATAGCAGAGTAGCAAAGGAAGGCATAACTGAGTTACCGGGTATTAGTCTGCTCTTGCTATGCATTGGTTTTGTATACAGTATATACCAGGCATGGCAAACTAAGGACCGGGGGCCAGATGTGTCCCCCTGTGTGGTTATCTCAGGCCCTCCTCATTTTCCCTGTCCTCTTGGTAGAAGGACAAGGCAACCTGCCGTGTCCTTATGCCAAAAGATGGGGGAGGAAGACACATAGCAACTGAGAACCCTCTGGAGTGCTCTCAGCCACCCTGTGTCTCAACCTCCTCCCAGCATAAGGACAGCATGAGCAGACCCATCCTTATGCCAGGGGGATGGCTCAAGGAATACATGTGGCAGCTGAGAGCCCTCCAGAGCACTCTTAGCCATTGCCTGTCTCGTCCTCCTCCCAGCATAATACCAAGAGGGCAGCCCAAGGATTGGGGGAGGAGGATTGGGGGAGGGATTGGAGCAGTCACCATGTGTCCCGCCTTTCCCATGGTATAAGGATGGGGTGAGCAGCCCCATCCTTATGCTGGGAGGCCAACCAGAGTATAACCTGGGCCCTGCCCTGCCCCCTCCTGGCTCTGTCCTCTCCTGGGTCCTCCCCACTCAGCATGTGCCCGGCCCCACTCCCTCCTTGCTCAGCCCTCCTGCAATGCAGCCCCAAGGCAAAAGTTTGCTCATGCCTGGTATGAACTCTTGAATAAGTCCAGAAATTTAAATTAACAACACAAAAAAACCCTACACTGACTGATTCACGGGTCAATGTAAATGCTACACCTTAACTTATTTTTAAAAAATGGAACAATATCCTTTTCAGAGAAGGCAAGAATTTTCTCCATCCAGGGAGAACTTAGAAACACTGATTGCCTCTCCACCTTTTCTGTTTCTGACCATTTTGAATGGTGGTGGTGACCAGAAACAGCTGGACCCTTGAGGCACCTTTGGTGCTTTCCCCTTTCTGCAGAATTGCCATTGACTTATCAACGGGTCATATCAAAATCCATAATATTGTCTCCTAAACCTGCTCTTAACTTATACTTGAGATCAACTTATACATGAGTATATAAGTCTGCTACATGGCTTACAGTCTTACCAGTGGATCTCACTTACCGATCATCCTCTTCAATATCCTCGCCGTCTTTGGCCCAGCCGACATCAGGTGCTGGCTCCCCACTGATCAGGGCGGTCAGGTTTACAGTGGTGCCTTTCTTGGCCTTGGTGCTATCTGGGCCTTTTTTAATCTTGGCAGGCACTGCAAGAGAACAAGTGGTATCAACTTTTAGGGCCCTTACTTTTCAGGAGGAGGGAATTTCTTGCTGAAGCTATAGCAGAAACATGGAAACTTGGACTCTTCTGGTGTTTTAGGCCCCTTCCACATGACTGTATAAAATCCACATTGAGCTGGATTATATAGCATTGTGGACTCAGATAACCCAGTTCAAAGCAGATATTATTATTATTATTATTATTATTATTATTATTATTAAACTTTATTTGTACCCCGCTAGCATCTCCCGATGGACTCGATGCGGCTTACAAAGGCCAAGGCCTCAACACACAATACAACAATACAAAACCCAAGGCAAATTAAAAAACAATTAAAGCAATCTAAACAACAAGCAATAAACAATACACTAAGACACAATAAAACTGGGCCGGGCCAGAGTAATGGGTACAGGAATTAAAAGTGCTGATGTGACAGGTGGAATATAAGGCTTATAGGGCAAGTGCAGTGTGCAGTGTGCGGCAGTCTTAGTTTTAATAAAGTGCTTATGGGACTTGGTATTGGAGGTTTCCTATTCGGGGAAGGCACATCGGAACAGCCAGGTCTTCAAGTTCTTTCTGAAGACTGCCAGTGTAGGGGCCTGTCTAAGATCTTTGGGGAGGGTGTTCCAGAGTCGGGGGCCACCACGGAAAAGGCCCTGTCTTGTGTCCCCACCAAACGCGCTTGCGACGCAGGTGGGATCACGAGCAGGGCCTCTCCAGATGAACGAAGAGAATGCGTAATATTGTGGATTATCTGCCTTGATATTCTGGGTTATAAGGCTGTGTGGAAGGGCCCTGAGTCTATGGGTCTCACAATCTTTGGCCACTGGCAATGATAGGTAGGGTTGGTGTTTCAGGCCAAATTATTTAAAGAACCAAAAGTTTCCCCGTAACTAAGCTATGTGTTTTGGCAAAGTCACAGGTTGGATCTACACTATACTATAGCCCATTATCTGATCCCAGATTATCTTTTCATCCCAGTTTATCTGGCAGTGTAGACTCAGGACCCTTCCACAAAGCCATATGACCCAGAATATCAAGGCAGAAAATCCCACAATATCTGCTTTGAACTGGGTTATCTGAGTCCACACTCAGGGATATAGGGCTGGTGGAAGGGCCCTCATATAATCCAGTTCAAAGCAGATTATCTGGGATCAGATCATGGGATATAGGGTAGTGTAGATCCAGCCTGGGTTTCACATCGCAACCAGGGTGTTGCTGACAACTGCTACAACCCATTGCTTTTTTTGCAGAAATGGCCCAATTTCTGCATTTTTTGTGTGCCCTGTTGCCTTTTTTCCACCAGTCCATCCAACAGACAGCCACATGAGTATGAAGAAGTTATTCTTGTGATATATAGACTTTTAATGCCAGATTCCAGAGTGGGGGTTGTCTAGCAGCAATGACAAGAGTGAAACATATTCAGTTCATCGCCTTCCCTGCACTGATGAGAATGGGGGTGGCAGCTATTCTATCCACACTGTACATTAACTATGAGACTGCTCTGGAGTTTTGTCCAAACTTCAGAATATCCCCTAACTTTCTTTAGTTTAGGGCTAAACTGGTTTAAACAGATGCCATGTCATGTAAGAAGTAATCATCCAGGAGCGGTTTCTCAGGCATTGCGTGCTATTGAGCCCATGTAGAAGAACCCTACATGTTGTTGAACTGCATCTCCCAGCTTTCCTTGCCATTAGCTGCTGGAAGATGTGGCCCAATAACAAAAGGGAGGCTGCAGAATTCTCAGCGATGCTTTGAAATTTGAAGCAGAGAGATTACTTTGAGATTACCTAGAACATTCCTACATTTCCATAGTATGACAATGGATTCTAGTGTTGTGACCACTTGGACCATCCTATGGAATTGGGAGGGTTCTCTCTGGGCTCCAGGGTTTAGTAAAAAGGTCAAGGGATGGAGTTACCATCCCTTGTGATGAAGAGGGTTTTGAATAGCTTTCATGGATATGGACTCATTTACATTTTGATATTCAGTTTCTCCAGTTGCTGTATGTCTTTGAAGATCAAGTGTTGGGTGGTGAGGCAAAGGGATCAGGTTAGTAGAAGACTCACATATAAGACTTGGGAACCGGGCCCTATTTCTGGCTAAGGCATCCCATTCCAACTTGAGTCTGAAGTTAAATGTAAAAGAAGACCTCTCCTGGGTACCAATCTCAGGGATGCATTTCCTTCTACGTTTTACAAGGGCTCCTTTTCTGCTTCTAGGATAAATTGTGGGGGGGAAGTGGACTACATGTCCAGAATTGCCTGGGAAGCACATCCAGCATCTTTCTCTCATCAAATTAGAATTAAAACCTTACTATGCCAAGCTTATGATCTCAGAACAACATCTGAAAGTTCTAGTTCAAAAAAGTTACTTTTCCCCTAGGATGATAGTTATGTAAGAGGAAGTTCCTGATTCTATCTAGAAGGGAGGAATGATGTTCAAATGATAGGTAGAGATGCCTGGAAATCTTAAAATGTAAGCTTTGGGGTGCATCTTCACTGCAGAATTAATGCAGTTTCATGCCACTTTAACTACCATGGCTCAATACTATCGAATCATGGGAGTTGTCATTTACAAGGCCTTTAGAGTTCTGGCGCCTCATCAAACCACAATTCCCACTGAGCATGGCAGTTAAAGTGGTGTCAAACTTTGCTTTGTTCAGGAAGGTCACAGTTCTTTGTGGAACAATTTTTTTTCAAAGTAATTCTTATTGATTACAAACTATTTACAATATCTTAAAACGCCAGAAAGAAAAGCAAAAGGAAGAGCATAATAGGGTATATAGATATAGGGTTTCTTGCCTAGGTGCACTAACAATAATATTGCCAAAAAAATTAAAATAAAATTAATACAAAAGAAAAAATGAAGAAAACAACAACAACAACAACAACACAATTGTATTACTATTGCCTAGGGAATTAGGGAAGGGAAGGGTTTAGCCTAAAAGGGGAAGAGAGAAGAGGAAAATAGGGGAAGAGAGAAGAGGAAAATAGTTGAGAAGAAAAAAAAGACTTCCAATCTTCTCCACTGTGGTCTTAATTGTTCTTTCTTATGTGTGTGAGAGAGCATATATATATGTGTGTGTGTGTGTGTGTGCGTGCACACACACACACACACACACTCACACACACTGCAGTGTTGCTTTCTTTAGTATCCTACTGGGTGACAATTTTTCACTTAATTTTCGATAAAGTTCAATATTTTCAGTAAGGTTCAATTAGCAATTTTGTTTTTCATGTTTCATATAGTCTCTTATTGGTGTCCAATTTGTTGCATTCTTATATCCATATCAAGATTTATTTAATAATTGAGTTAATTCATTACATCATTTATTTTCAATATCCATTCTTCTTTCGTAGGTATTTCTTTTGTTCTCTGGTGTCAGGCATATGTGATTCTGGCTGCTGTTATTAAATAATTTCACTCGTACTGCTCGAGAGCAATACGTGTGAAAAGGATCTTGGGGTCCTTGTGGACAACAAGTTAAACATGAGCCAACAATGTGATGTAGCGGCAAAAAAAGCCAATGGGATTTTGGCCTGCATCTATAGGAGTATAGTGTCTACATCTAGGGAAGTAATGCTACCCCTCTATTCTGCCTTGGTCATACCACACATGGAATATTGTGCCCAATTCTGGGCACCACAATTGAAGAGAGATATTGACAAGCTGGAAAGTGTCCATAGGAAGGCAACTAAAATGATCAAGCGTCTGGAGAGCAAGCCCTATTAGAAGCAGCTTAAAGAGCTGGGCATGTTTAGCCTGAAGAAGAGAAGGCTGAGAGGAGACACAATACCCATGTATAAATATGTGAGGAAGTCATAGGGAGGAGGGAGCAAGCTTGTTTTCTGCTTCCCTGGAGACTAGGACGCGGAACAATGGCTTCAAACTACAAGAAAGGAGATTCCACCTGAACATGAGGAAGAACTTCCTGACTGTGAGAGCCGTTCAGCAGTAGAACTCTCTGCCCCAGAGTGTGGTGGAGGCTCCTCCTTTAGAAGCTTTTAAACAGAGGCTGGATGGCCATCTGTCAGGGGTGCTTTGAATGCCATATTCCTGCTTCTTTGCAGGGAGTTAGACTGGATGGCCTATGAGGTCCCTTCCAACTCTATGATTCTATGTTCCTCACATTTCCAACATTTGTCATGCAGGTTAGGATAGCATTTCGACAATTTCTGTGGAGTTATGTACTTTCTGGAAAGCTTTAACTATGCTGGTTGGAGGATTCTGGATTATATTATCAAAAAGGCAATTTTTCTCAAGCCTTACTCTAGGACCACAGCCAAGGAAAGGTCAGCTTTCTGACTGAAATATAGGGAGGCTATGCCTTGACACAGGCATGGCTGAAATTGAAAGGAGCTTGGCTTTTATCTGCTCAAGACACAAGACTATGAATAGACTAGGGCAGGGCTACAACTCAAAGGAGCAGAGCAGGCAGTGAGATGTCCCACAGGGAAACACTCACTCGAAGAGGAATGCCTCTAGAATGACTTGGCTGCCCAGGGGGACGGCTGTGTCTATGTTTAGTAGGAGAGCGTGGCTATGTAAGGGAGCGAAAGGGGCCACCTTACCTTCTATTAGGAGGCGTGCTGAGTCGGAGCACTCTCCAAAGGGGTTCTTCACAGTGATGGTGTACTTGCCCAAGTCGGGAAGGCCGCCGTCACGCACCACCAGGGCGACAATGTCAGGGTCCTCAAAGACATAGCGGTACTTGGGGCCATCCTTGAGTTCCACGCCATCTTTCAACCAGCGAATGAAGGGGTCTGGGAAGGCACTGATGCGGCATTCCAGCTTGGCTGCGCTCCCTTCGATCAGCACCACGTCCTTGAGGTTCTGCAGCACCCGTGGTGGGCCCTTCTCTTTCAGCTCCTTGCGGGACCTGGTGGTGGACAGTACCACAGCTTGTAAGGGTTAAATATTAGATCTGCAACACCCAGAATCCCCATGCCAACATGGCCACCAAGCCCTTCACTCCACTTTAAATCCCGCAATTTATTTTCTCTTTCAGACTACAGCAAACAAGCTCTGCCTTTGATAGAGTCCAAAGCCAGGCCATGAAGTGAGTTCAGGAGACGTTGCTGGATCTACACTGCGATATAATCCAGTTTCTGAATCCAGATTATCTGCTTTGAACTGAATTACATGAATCTACACACTGCCATATATCGAGCCCCCTGGTGGCACAGCGGGTTAAACTGCTGAGCTGCTGAACTTGCTGACCAAAAGATTGGTGGTTTGAATCTGGGGAGTGGGGTTACCTCCCGCTGTTAGGCCAAGCTTCTGCCAACATAGCAGTTCAAAAACATGCAAATGTGAATAGATAGATCAATTCTGCGGGAATGTAATGGTGCTCTATGCAGTCATGCTGGCCACATGACCTTGGTGACATCTATGGACAATGCCGGCTCTCCAGCTTAGACATGGAGATGAGCACCAACCCCCAGAGTCAAACACAACGAGACTTAATGTCAGGGGAAACTTTTACCTTTACCTTACACTGCCATATAATCTAGCGCATAATATGGATTCAGAAACTGGATTATATGGCAGTCTAGATGGGACCTATGACTCCAGAAAGCAATTGGGGATACACAATCATGCAGGCAGTGTTTAGTACTGACACACTCAATGGCTTAAAGAAAGCACGCATCCATCAACCAGCTTACTTGCCACCCCAAAATTAACTTGATTAAACTGTAGCTAGCTGTGTAATTAAAATAAATTGTTTTCTAGGGAGAATGTGTAGAATCTGATCAATTGTGATAACTGGACAGCTAATTAGGAGAGAAATCACTCGGGCATATTGTAGCATCTTAGAATCCTGTTGGCATATAAGAATTGACTCTTTCTTGCAATTCAACTAGCAGTTCTTGTCCCTTTTTTATCTTATTTTCCCACATCAGCTGCACTTGCCTCAATAAAAAATTGCCTTGGAGCCAAATCACACTGAATATTCAGTATCACTATATTTTCTCTAATGATAGTTTGTTTCTAAGTGTCATGTGTGGCGACAAAATGACTATGGATGTCTTGTTCACCTCTCTTTCCTCTCCTTTTTTGCCACTGCACACTATAATTTCTGCCATATTAAGAGAAACGATTCTCCCTGGTCTACTCAAGAAGTGTGATGGCACTCTGAAATGGAAGCCCTCAGCATTTGATTTAACTCTATGGGCCACCATGTTGTCCTATCTGAATAGACTGAATACATCTGTAAGCTCCATTACTGCAAACACAGTATATTTAAAATAGAGGAGAAAAGTAACAGAAAAAAGATATGCAGTGAAAAACATTTATTTTTGTTTCTTCAACTTTTTACGGCTATGCTAAAGGTAGAATTTTTCCAAACATGATATATTTAGGTACATCTTGAATTCCATATCTACATGTGCACCATTTGTCATGGTTCGTTTCATTTGGGGGGAATACCTTGTAATGTGGGGTGTGGTGGGTAACATTTTGTGCTTTTGCAGCTTATTACTTTACTTTGTTTCATTGCCCTCCTTGTGCAATGTCTCCATGGAAACAGGTTACTATTACTACTTATTATTGTATTCATTTATACCCCATCTTTCTCTCACTAATGGGACTCACGGCATATTTAAAAGTAATACAGGCAATCACCAAGTTACAAACAAGATAGGTTCTGTAGGTTTGTTTTTAAGTTGAATTTGTATGTAAGTCAGAACAGGTATATTTTAAGTGTAACTCGAGCCACATACATATACACACACACACACACACACACACACAAAGATACTCCCCCCCTCTCTCTCTCTCTCTCTCTCTCTATATATATATATATATACGTGTGTGTGTGTGTATGCATGCTTTGGATAGCATAGGGAAGGGTTATCACCCCTATAGTGTTTGTTTTGCTATCTGTGTCCCTGTTTAGAAGATTTCACCTTACTTTCTGTCTCTGTGAGAACTTAATTTTGAAAAATGTTGCTTGTTATGGTGAGAAAGCTTCACTGAAGGCACCTTTTCTCCATTAAAACTTCCAGGAGTTAGTTTCCCTTCCAATGGGTAGATTGATTTATCTCCTTCCCTGTTGTGTCACCTTGTTATTAACTACGAATCGCTTGTAAGGCAGATGTTTGTAACTCTGGGACTGCCTGTACTCCTTTCCTGAGGGGGAAGTTCAGATGCCTGGGAGCAGCCACCAAGAAGGTCCATTTCTACCAAACAAGCCTGAAAATGTAATAGGACAGAGAGAAGGGCCTCTCCAGACAACTGTAGGGTTTTCAGAAAGGTTACAAGTTGCATGGGGCTTTAAGGGCTTAGTATATTTACAAAAAATCGATAAACAGTTGTCACCATTTTAGAAAAAGAATAGAAGCAGCACAGCTCTTTTTTCTTGAATTAGGTTCCATTGTGCACACATACATATAAGATACGGTACCGTAGTCTGGTCATGTTAGTTCTCTTGGTACCATGTCTTCAATCTCGACCTTTACTCATACTGCAAGTCACCAGACACTTAGCAATTCAACTGGAAAAGTCTGTCTCAAAGTACAAGACCTCTTTATATGCGGTTCTGTGATGTACCTAAAATTGATGTAAATCATTGGAACAACTACTAAAAACAAATCGAGAAGCCTTTCCTTGGAATGGCTCTGTGTATGAGTGTATTACAGAAAAAAGGGTGATGATCTGGAGCTTAAAACTTGTTTACCAAACTATGCCCACAGAAATGACTTTATATATGGTTGTTTCCAGGGCATAAATTGCAGCAATTATCCAGACATTAATGTTTCGCTTTTCTGGTTGACCTTTAAAGTCATCACTTCCCATGCTAGGATAGAGGCAAACTCTAAAAGCTAATTAACACAATGACTTGCTTGGCTCAGTTCTCAGCATTATCCAGTTATAATGCTTGAATTTGGATTTTTCCAAAGGGGATTTTCTCATAACCCTTGATCATACAGAACCCAGTAGTTCTTTTAGATGCTAGTAACTCCCATTTCCACCTCAAGTTTGCTTTTAGAGCACTGAAATGTAACTTTTTGGAGACAGGACCCCCAAGTCAGCTTTACTGAATTTCACAGAGTCACTTTTGAAAATTTGGCTTGCTTCTCAGCTCTTAATTCAATGCTCCCCACAAGGCTCTTAGCAAGAATTAGATGTTCAACAACCATGGCAGGATAGATGTCCACTGGAATGCAGGACTAGCTCTTTCTTGACTGGTGGGGTCAGTGAAATCTCAGTGGTTTCTGGAATAGGGTACATTTCTGTTGGAAATGAACAGGATATAAGAAACTATACTCCCCCCCCACCCGTCCCCAAACCCCACACTTCCTGAATTTTAGTAGTACTATGATTTAATTGATAATTGTATGTTATTATCGTTATGTTAGGTTTCTGTATGTGAGGCATTAATTTTTGCCACAATGATGTTGGAAACAGCTTTGAGTCCTCCACTGGGGGGGAGGTGGGGGGGAGAAAAGTGGTATACAAGTGAAATAAATAAATAAATAAGAGTGCAATACACTAAGTTTGTAGAGAGAGTAAAAAAAATAGTTTAAAATTGTTTATGGAGGCCTATGGAGATATGCTAGCATATGAAAAACTGGTAAGAGCTGTCCAACATTGGGATCAATTGCATTAGAGCAGTGGTTCTCAACCTGTTTTTGACCGGGGACCACTTGACCAGGGACCACTCTCTAACATCAGTACCAAAAAGGGTTACTAATCAGGTTTTGGTCAACTTTACATTTGATTTGGGGTGCTGATTCAGAAAACTGCATAGGGTAGACCACATATGCCATGGTCAGCGACAGGGAAGGAGTGACAGGTGGCGCAAAAGGAGTGGAAATAAAATAAAATAAATAGAGAGGAAGGTGGTTTGTGGACCAGATTTTCGTCATCACAGCCTACTGGTGGTTCGCGGTCCACAGGTTAAGAACCACTGCATTAGAGGGTGGTGGACTCTCCTTCTTTGGAGGTCTTTAAAGAGGTGGCTGGCACCTATCAGTGAATGACAAAGACTTGGACTTGATGGCCCTTATGATTCCTTCCATCTATAGGATTCTATGAAAATTGCTTTCTCTTTTTAAAAATTCAACTTTTTAACCAGAAAAAAAAAACAAATAAAGGAAACAACAATGCCTATACAAACATAAACATACTTTAACAAAATTTACATAATTAAGTAAACAGCTCTAGTCTAACTAAACATAAATCTAAAATACAAACATATGTATTCTATGAAAATTGAAACTTGCCTGGATGCAAAATAGGGAGGGATGCAAGGGGGTGAACAGAGAATATCACAACCCACATCATAGGAATGTCACAAACTGAAATCTACTATCCTTTTATGGAGGCATCTTTTTTTAAGAAGAGCATTTGGCTGGAGAAGCATTAAGAAGAGTCAAGAAGGAACATTAAATGATATGACAGGAGGTGGCACAAATCATCAGTCTGGCAGAGCTCTAAGTGGTGGAAATCAGGGCTTCAGCCAAAAAGAGTGTGTTATAAATATTAGATTGTGATGGAGAATGAAGGAGGACAGCTCTCCCATTGAAACAAAGCTGACTCAGTACTCACAAAATTACTTCCTAAAGATAGTTCATACCAAAATTCTTTATATAACCTAAAAAAGCAATTTGTTATTATTACCAATCCAGGGAGCTTTCTCTAACTGCTTGTTTTTCTGTTACTTTTAAAACATATACCTTAAAAAAATATGAAAGATGGGCTGATCCATGAGGTCACGAAGAGTCAGAAGCAACTCAACGAGCAAACAACAATGAAAGATGGATCAAAAAGCATACAATATGCAAAACTAAATCTTTTAAATGCTTTTAGCCATAACTTTTAAAGATAACGATAAAATGCTACTCTTGTTGTTGTATGCCTTCAAATACGTTCCCACTTATAGTGATCCTAAAGTGAACCTATCATGGAGTTTTCCTGGCAAGAATAGTTTGGAGCAGGTTCGGCTTCCCTTCCTCTGAGGCTGAGGGAGTGTGACTTGCCCAAAGTCACCCAGTGGGTTTCCACAGCTGAGCAAGGATTTGAACCCTGTTCTCTGTATTCCAGGGCTCAAATCATTACACCACAGTTGCTTAATACTCATCACACCCACAAGATATAACATTGTTTCCAGTGCCTTTATTACTCTTGAAATGAGGCTCTGATAATCCCTTATTACTTCCTGGCTCAAAACCCTCAAGTTACATAGAGTTATGTGACCTTTAGTTATTTCCAAATTTAGTGACTTCCAAGCTCTGGCAAACACCCATCTTCTTTTCCATTTCATCATCTCATTATGACAGGAAGAGGAGGCAGAGTCCGGATTCAAGACAGTCTGGGGAGCTGAAAAGAGAACTGTACTCTTCAATCTTGCCATTCTCCAAGTTGTCAGAGGTATTTCTTTTCTACCAGCCCCTTCCCTAATGACATCCCTCTCTTACCCAACTACTCATTTCCAAACTATTTCCCCCTGCTTTCTTGAGGTCCTCCTGCCTTCTCCTCAACTCCATCTTGCTCCCTCTTGTCTCCCTGTTTCTCACCATCTCCTTTACTTTCCAACCACTACCCAAGACATGAACACAGTATCTCAAAATATAGTTTTCCATCACATTTATCCATGGACTGCCACCGACAACTGTACCATTTCAGCTATTACCATCGAATTGCATACTATTCCAACAGTTGCCCAATGTTGCTACATCACTTTGACTCTACTGTTTCTACATCCATGCATGAAATTTTATGCATCCACTTCCTGATGTTCGTTAATGCTGGTCTTTTAACTGAAAACACCCACCTCTTCCAAAATATGTTCCCAGAGCATCTTTTACAACAGTGCTTCTCAAGCTATCTCAGGGTGATGGGGAAAGTACCCAGCAAATTCCCCCTCAAGATGCCAGCTGCTAATTGTCTGGAGCCCCTTGTGGCATGGCGGGTTAAATCCCTAAGCTGCTGAACTTGCTGACCGAAAGGCTTTCAGTTCAAATCCGGGGAGTGGGGTGACCTCCCCTTGTTAACCCCAGCTTCTGCCAACATAGCAGTTTGAAAACATGCAAATGTGAATAGATCAATAGGTACTTCTCTGACAGAAGGTAACTGCACTCCATACAGTCATGCTGGCCACATGACCTTGGAGGCATCTACAGACAACGCCAGCTCTTCAGCTTAGAAATGGAGATGAGCATCATCCCCCAGAGTCAGACACAATTAGGCTTAATGTCAAGGGGAAACCTTTACCTTTACCTATTGGCTACAATTCATCTCCTTTTCCTTCTGACTGGTAAGTTATGGTTCATAGATCAGGAGCAGTTTATGTACCACTATTTTACAACACATATTTTACAACACAACAAAATACAGTCCACACAAATCAAATGGTATAAAACCATTCTATAGCAGAATGAATCCATCAGAAGTTGTGTCTGTACTACACAGTTACAGCAGTTTCATGCCACTTGAATTACAGTCTCTCCGTCCTGTACCATTCTAGGACCTAAAGTTTGAGGAATTTTTTAGACTTCTTTGCTAGAGAGTTGTAGTAGTATAATAGAGAGAATTCACTACTAAAATTGTCTAGCAGAGAGTTCTCTGTTCTTCAGTAAACTGAGCGCTAAGTCAGTAGCAATAATAATGCTGTCCCAGGAGTTGTTTGAGCTGCATCCAGCATGGAACAAATCTATAGAAATCAATGGACTATACATTAGTGTATCCACAAATCTACTCCAATAAGTACAGCAAAGTTAAAATTGGCTGCGTGTTATGTTGTATTATGCCCCTTCCCAGTTCCAAAAAAAAAAAAAAGCCTCCAAATGTTATATTCAAAAAAATCTAAAATAAATATCAAAATTCTGTGAATCAGACAAACTGAAAATCAGACAAACCCAAAGGGCTCTAAAGTTTGTCCTTAGGCTGCCTCCTCCACAAATACATTGTGTATCCTTTGTCTCAGTGCCAGGGCCCATTTCCTCCTCCTTCCCCCTCAGTGCCCCTCACCTGTGCCCACGATAGGAGGCTTGGATGCGGATGGCAGCATTCTGCACTTGAGGGTCATTAATGTCCAGAGTGAATCCCGGTGGGGGAGGGGCTGCAGCCTTCTTGGGGGCAGCTTTGGACATCTGGGAGCAAGGGAGAGATGAAAGAGCAGGGTTAACATCCAAGTAAAAATCCCCACTTCCTGATCGGACAGACCCGCAACCCTCCTTCCTCTTTCCACCATTGTCACTCTTCGCTCAAGTTGATTCCCATTGATTGTTCTATGAAGGCACTTCCAATCTTGTATGGTCTATACCCTGCCAAGAAATGTCTCTGAGCTCCATACCCAGATTTTTTTTTTTAAACCACCAGAGCAAATTACCCCAGCAGACCCACTGAGATCAGACTACATTCCTCTCCCAGCTATCTCCTCATAAGTCAAATCCCAGTTTAGACATCTGTGAAGCTTCTGGTGCCTTCATGAACAGTAGCCCCATTGTAGCCACCTAATGGTCTTTCTTGAAGGGAAGTAAGGACCCCTTAGGAGATAGTTAGTCAAGACACAGCTTTCTCTAAATAGTTGTTTCTTAGGGGATGCTGATGTTTTCCCTGAAATGGGGCAGGAGACTTGGTACCCTGCTCTTACCGTGAACAGCACCAGTTGAGCTCCACTGACAGGAAAAAGGCCACAGCCCCCTCATCCCACTCAAATTTATATATCTGGCAGGGAGACTCCAGGTCTGCTGGAGTGCCCAATTGCATTCCTGCCCAGACGTCTCCTTCTTTGGCCAGGGGGCCCCTCTCCTTTGCCCACCCAGGAATCCTGGGCGTTCCCTTATATAGCCTGCTGCCAGGTACCTGTGAGTATTGGGGCTGCGCTGATTCCAGCCCAGTGCTGTGTAATCACATAGGCCAGTCCAGAGGGACCGAGATGGAGCAGCTGCACAATTCCTGCCCTCTGGCTGAGAGACAGTGCGGGACGGGGAGGAGCGAGCCGAGCCCCCTTCTCCCTATTGCTTGATGTCAACACACTCACATACAGCCTTAGGTGGACTGGAAAGGCTTATGAAGAGGTGTGCATCAATATTTAAGGATATCCAAACCATTGGATATAGTAGGAGAGCTGGATACTGTAGTGCTTGTGAGTGGGAGAGGTGTTACATTTTTTGAGCAATGGGGCCATGATGGTTGGATGGTTTTGAGGAGCTTTATCTTTACATTGTTGTCTTTTCCAATGAGTCATCTTACTTGTGATATGTCTAAATGATGGCTGCAGTTTGGGCATTTTGCTTCTAGTGGGGGCTAAAGCTCATTTATTATGACTTTTTGACCGTGTGTGGTCATTTGTAGAACTTTGCTCCAGCACATTTTTTCAAATCAGTTGGTTTTTTTCTGGTCTGCTTTTTTCATTGTCAACTTTCACAATCACACATGCTTCCCACTTTAAAAATTGTTACTTCTGAGTTCCTTTGTCCTCCTACATGGAAAGAAAGTTATTTAATGCAAGGAAGGTATTTAGCATTTGTTTTCAAAGGAAAAGAGATTATAGATTATGATTCTTTGATATATTCGTCCCACCTAATTCCTATAATTTTACAGGATGTGTCTAGATATTGTCATGCTCCATTTATACCCCTCTCATGTTTTCTCACTGCTGTTTCTTTAATTTTTCTAAAGTACATTGTGTTGCTGTGGTTTGAGCATTGGACTACAACTCTGGAAACCAGGAGTCAAATTCCAGCTCAGCCATGAAATCCATTGTGGGACCAAGTCACACTCTCCTGGTCTCCAAGGAAGGCAATGGCAAACCCTGTTTGAAGAACTCTTTCCAAGAAAACTCTGTGATAGGTCTGTCTTTGGTTTGCCATAGGTCAGAAATGACATGGGGGACACAAGTGTTAAGGGATGAAAATTCAGAATACTTCCATTTTACAGGTGAAAAGTTTTCTCCTACTTTTCCTAATTGTAAAGTCTTCTATTGTGGGAGTCCCTTTTTGTGGAACATGGTCAAGCTGCACCATTTCCAGTTTTGCACCATATGACCATTCGGAGATCCAGAAATGGAAATTTTATATATGGTCCCCTCCCCTTGATGCCCTAAGCATGTCTCATTTTGCTTAATAGTTAATCCAGCCCTGTTATTTGCTGTCAAGTTAGAGTTGACTTCTGTCAACCTATAAATGAGAGACCTCCAAGACACTTTACTACTGGCAGCCATATGATTGTATAGAACCCTTAATAGGTGTGTTTGGTCCCTATTTTGAACAGGCTTTGGGCATCGAAACAGTCTTACTACATTTACTGAAAGAACACATCTGGGGTTGGACTTCATATTATTTAGCCATTTTGTATATCTTTATAACAGGAGGGCAAGATATATATGTTTTAATAAATAAGATAAAACAGTAAATCTCAAATCTATATTTTAATATATATTTCTTTTTATAAAACACTTTCCATAAGTTTTAGTAGTACTGCATCTTTTAAGTACTGCCATTCTTCTTTGGAGTCTATGATTTATTTAAATCTTTATACAGTGAGAGCCATGAGCCAACGTGGTATAATGGTTTGAGCATTGGACAATGACTTTGGACACCACAGGGTTGTATCTCCACTTGGCCATGAAACCCATTGGGTGACCTTGGACAGATTTTACTCTCTTGGCCTCAGAGGAATAGTAAGCCCCTTACAAACAAACCTTGCAAAGAAAACCCTGTGATAGATTCAACATGGGGCAGAAATGACTTGGAGGTACACAACGATAATACAGTGAGAGCCAGTGTGATGTAACGGTGACATTTAGATTCCCTGCTCAACTGTGGTAACCCAGTGGATGGCCCTAGGTGGGTCACACATTCTCAGCCTCAGAAAACTCTGTGAGAAGTCCACCTTAATATCCCCATAGATTGCAAATGACTTGAACACACAACAACAACAACAACAACAACAACAACAACAACAACAACAACATGGTTGATGCAATAACACATCGCCTTTCTTGCTAGGTGTAGACTATGGGTAGGACAATGTTGGGCTATCTCAATGAAAAAAACTAAACCCCAGTTTCAGTCTAACAGTATCTGTAGGGCCACAGTCTGAAAGAGTTTCAGGAAGCTGTGTAAATGAGAGGAATTTACCAGGCAATACTTTCCCTTAACAATACTGTCATGGTGAGAAAAACTGAAGCTGGTAGAATGGTCCTTTTTGTGATACATTTGGGTGTCTAATTTGGACAAAACAATTATTTATATATAAATGTTTATCTGGCTTGTTACTGACAGATAAATCCATGCATTCCAGTGAACTATTACTAATTGTTGGAAAGTCCAGCTGTTCACATTAATAATAATTAGCAATCTTGAATTTCAGGAAAGATGCTTGCCTGCACTGTAAATTAATTCTCTGAATATATCAATCATATTATCTCATATTGCAGGATAGGAAAAGCAGCTTCTGTGCCACTTCAAACCTTCCCTGGATAAAAATCAACCCAGAATTGCAAGTGCTGTGCTCTCCAGCATCTCCTCACTGATCAGGTTAAAGAGTATGCATGCTGAATTGGATGTTTTCTATTTGTGACTATTCTGAGTGAAATGGAAGTAATAGGGCTAGATAGGTAGATTGTTGTTGTTGTGCACCTGCAAGTCATTTCCGAGTTATGTTTTTTATGGAGTTGAGGGAGAGTCAAGGCTCAGGGGAAATTCAGAACTACAACTGGGAGATGATTCAAGGAAACCCCGTTCCAATGTGGTGCTGTGCTTGTGAGAAAGCGGAGGGGATCCCTGCTGTTCATTAACTTAGGTTGTGAAAGAAATGGGAGTGCAAAGTTTGTTTTCTCTACTTTAAAAACTTTTGTAGTGATGTGGATTGTCTGCTACAAATGTCTCAATTATTCCCAGAGCATTCTTTCTGTGTATGATGTATGCTCACTGGAGGGAAGGATATTAGAGGCAATGATGAAGTACTTTGGCCACATAATGAGAAGACAGGAAAGCTTGAGAAGACAATGATGCTGGGGGAAATGGAAGGAAAAAGGAAGAGGAGCTGACCAAGGGCAAGATGGATGGATGGTATCCTTGAAGTGACTGGCTTGACTCTGAAGGTCCTGGAGGTGATGACGGCCAACAGGGAGCTCTGTTGTGGGATGGTCCATGAGCTCACAAAGAGTCGGAAGTGACTGAACAAATAAACAACAACATGACAGAAAAATGAAGGTATCAGCATGGACTCCCAAAGCTATCCTGAAGGCAATGGACCTGTCCGATCTGAAAGCTAAGTCGGGTCAGGCTTGGTTAGTATTTGGATGGGGACCACAAAGAGATACCAGTGCTACATTTCAGAAAAGACAAACCACCTCTGAGTACTCTTTGCTTTAAAAAAAACCCAGTGAAATCCACGGGATACTCATAAATTGACACATGACTTGAAGTCACATACGTTCATGCATGTAAGCATCCTTAAGGTCTCTTGCTTTATTTCGAATATAGTCCCTTAGTCTAAAGATTCAGGTTCTTAAATGGCTCCAGCCTTTGTAAACTAGCTATACTTCTCTATTTCTGTTGACGCAGAAGAGGAAAACATTAAACTATGTCTAAGTGAATGAAGTCCATGTCTGCTGTCCTTTGAGGCCATCCTGACATGAAGCACTGACTTAGGCAGTGGAGATATCAATTATAAGCAGGATATGGTTCATGATTTAAATAATTAGTGATAAAGGTACTCTGACAATAATTTCAATGTTAATTTTCTATAAATGTAGAAAAATGCTTATGGGATTTTCTGCCTCGTGCCAAAATAATTTGCTTGGCTTTGTCTCGTGCTGAATGAAGAAAGACAAATGAGACATACTACCATGTCTCCAAATGCTTGCTCACTGTTCTAGTATTGAGTTTGTCAATGGAGGGGTGGGGTGGGATTGTCTACTGCAGGTCCATTGACCGCTGGACAGCTCCTCCTTCTTGTTGTTATTGTATGGTATGCCTTCGAGTCATTTCTGACTTAAGGCAAACTTAAGGCAAACCTATCACAGAGTTTTCATGGCAGGATTTGTCCTGAAGAGGTTTGCCATTACCTTCCTCTGAGGCTGAGTGGGACTTTCCCAAGAACATCTAATGTGTTTCCTGGGCAAGTCGGAATTCAAACTTTAGTCATCAACTAACACGCCAAACACTATGGTATATTGGCACTACATCCTGCTTAATCACCCATGACAAAAAGATGCAGCTGTCATGGTCTGCCTACTACTGGCTCTCCGGTTGGTAAAGGAGCAGGTGGTAGAAATGATGAGGAAGAGGTGGCAATGGTGGCAAAGGAGAAGGTTAATTTTGCAAGGAAGGAAATGCTGGGGTGGTCTTCCCCAAGAGCTCCACAAAATCTGGAGCGAGCAGTATCAACTAAATTGTGGCTTCTAGATTGCATTTGACCAGGACTGCACAATGTGAGTAGAAGTGTATGAAGTGGGGGAGATCAGACTTTGTTCCACAATTCATAATGCAGAATTCATTAGCTTCATATATAAACTCATTGTGAAAGTCAATCCTTACAAGGACAAAGTGGTACCAGGTATACATAATGTATTTGAGAAAGCCTTAAGGTTTGCAGAGGTATCTTCTCAGAACTTAAGGGTGAGCGGGGAGGAATCTCATATTTATTTGGAAAAGAAGCAAAAAAAAAAACCTCCAATAGACACTGGTCATCTTTACTGGTCCCATGAAGTTGAGTGTCGAGTGTCAAGTCAGGTTGGTGGGGGTGGTCAGAGAGAGCTGTAGTGGAATACAGTACAGGCAGCTCTCTGTATCCATGCATTCTGTATCCACAACTTGAAATCCCCTCCCCTCCAAAAAAATCCAAAAAGCAAACCTTGATTTTGGCATTTGGTGTAAGGGACTTTCATAATTTTTTATAAGTATTTTTCCAATTGTGACTTTCATAGTTCAAATGTCTACTAAACACACAGCAGCAGGGACTAATAAACAAGTCAAGTAATGCATTGTCCAATCTCAGTTGCAAACAGATTTTCTCAAGCATTGTTTCAGAAAATCACTTAATGCGCCTTTTCAGTTCCCACAAGCACCTACCATACTTGCATTGCTTTTATTTTGAGTAAAAGGTCTGAAGAGTCACTTACATGCTTTTGACATTCAGTATTATATCTTGAAACAGGTGGGGCAGTGCAGGAGCTGAACCACTGGCTGAGTTGTTAATGGGTTAAATCAGGCATGGGCAAATTTCGGCCCTCCAGATGTTTGGACTTCAACTACCAGCTGTTTGGAATTGTGAGACTTGAAATCCAGAACACCTGGAGGGCCAAAGTTTGCCCATGCCAGGGCTAAGTGAATGACAATAAACTCAAACTGAATCCTGACCAGATGAAAGTACTGTGGGTAGTGGATTCTTGTGTTTGAGAATTATATATATACTCAATTCAAGATTAGGCTTATTTCTGGGTCCAGGATGTCCTTTCATCTTTGTGACCTTGGTAGCATATAATATAATGTTGCAAACTGCAAGCAACTGTGGGCTGGCATATGGTGATTGATGCTGTGATAATGTTCCACCTGGATTACTTTAAGGTGTTGTAGCTAGGGCATCCTTTGTAGACTGTTCAGAAGTTTCAAATAATGTGAAACACAGCTTCCAGGATTTCAAACAATATATGACATCGAGATGGAATTATACTACTTCTATATCTGCTCCTTACTCACTTCCAATCCCAGCTCAAAGAGCAGATGTACCTGTCAATCTAGGAACATGTCTTTTCCTATTTCAGCCTCCTTAACTCATAAGATCTTCAGAGGAGAGTCTTCTTCTTTGACTAAGGAAAACATATTGTGTAGGCAGAAGACCTTCTCTGTAGGTGGACTCCATCTCCGGAATGACAGCTCTACTGAAATTCAATAATCCTACAACTAAGTCACTTAACTGACACTCTATTATTTCCCCAGGCATTTAAAAGCTTTATGCTGATTTGTTTATCTTCTCTGTTGCGTTTTATGTACCTGTTTACTTACACTGGAATGTTTTATACTTTTATTGCATGAAGGCTAGTGTTGTTTATACTGTTTCCATAATCTAGGATGACAGGCAAGTTTTAAGAAATCCTTTTTTGTAAATTAACTCTAATGAATAAACAACCCCACATCTAGAAAGAATTATTGCTAGAGCCTATAAAAACTTCCCTGAGTTTAGTTCAAACAAAGCAGACAAATGTGTACAAAATTTATCTAAGAAACAGTAGCTAGTCTGTGGATTTTTAAGACTTCTTTGCAGTAAAACAACTCGCCCTCTGCTTTTACACTGCAAGCACATACTTCAGTTTACTTTGAAAGCTCATTTTGCTTCTATCACCATATGTCATGCCAATATCAATTCCAATGTCATAAAAACTATTACTGTCATTCTTATGGACATTCCTCCTAAAGTGTTGAATGGCATCTCTTTTCCTGCACTTTAAGTCTATTGGTTTGTGCCTTTGGAGCAGCAGAAAAAACTGCTCTATGTTCTGTAGGGCCTCTCTTAAGATATTTAAAGATGGCTATCATATAATTAGGGGCTGCAGTGGTACAGCAGGTTAAACTACTAAACTGCAGAACTTGCTGACTGGAAGGTCAGCAGTTCAAATCCACAGGATGGGGTGAGCGACCGGTGTTAGCCCCAGCTTCTGCCAACCTAGCAGTTCAAAAACATGTAAATGTGAGTAGATCAATAGCTACTGCTTTGGCAGGAAGATAACTGCACGCTATGCAGTCATGCCGGCCACATTACCTAGGGGGTGTCTACAGACAATGCCGGCTCTTTGCCTTAGAAATGGAGATGAGCACCACCACTCAGAGTCTGGCTCAACTAGACTTAAACCTTTACTTTTACTGATCGTGTATTTTCTTCTGTTGTGGCTAAACATATCCAGCATTCTTAGCATCTTGTAACAAGGCTTGGTTTCCAGACCTTTTCTCATTTTGCCCTGCTTTGGCTATTTTCAAGCTTGTCAATATCCATCTCGGGCTATGGTTACCCAAACTGGTCACAGTGTTCTAGATGAGGTCTGACCAAAGCAGACTAGAATGGAATGATAACACTCCCTGGACATTTTACTCTCGTTGACGCAGCCTACAGTTGCATTGACTTTTTTGGCTACTGTATCATACTAAGGTCTACTACAGTAGATGCTGTTCACTTATATCGTCAAACCAGGTGCCACTCATACTATATTTGTGTATTTAATTTCCCCTGCCTAAGGCAGAACAAACAATCCCAGAACGTTTCCATTCTTGTAGTTAGATACATATAAATGTTGGTGGCACTCATGTTTGCCTCCACCATGGTACTGGGAATAGATGTGTTTAAATATATATTTAACTATATGAACAGCTCTTCTGTCAACTCTCAGATTTCTTAGGGACCACACAGAGCCACTAGGATTATCCACTGCATTTATTTTGACTCAGGCTGTTTCCACATGAGGGATTTGGTATTGAATTTCCATTTCCATTCACAGTGGTAGGGGGAGAAGATCACCATCACCATTGTAATTTTCCAATGTTTTCCCAGTTCTGCTGCCAGCTTTTATGAAAAGAATGAAAGGAAAAGAACACAGACGACCCCCCATCATTTACACAGACAGTGACACAGCAGAAGAGCTTGGGACAGTTACTTTTATGGACTGTAACTTCCTTGAACGTGTTGGCTGGAGGCTTATGGAAACTGCAGTTAAAAACTTTTCCATGCTTTGCCTTTAAGGCAGATAAACTTGTCACAACTCAGCACATTTTAGCCCTTGTGGTGGACACCATTTCATAATCCTAGTAGTTTTTCTCTTATTTTTTATATACTGGTATATTTAAAATATTAATAAAATACTACCCCAATGAAAGTAACATAGTGCTTTAAAATGCAACTTTTTAAAGGGTTGACTTAGGACTGCCAGTTTATACTTCTGATTCACTTTTCCTCCCAAAATATTTTTTAAAAATTGCTGTAGTGCCACAACACTAATTTTGTAATTAAGGAATTTTTAGTAATTTTCATTTTCACCAGTGTGTGCCTTTTCCCCTTTATGTAATAGGCCCGGTGTTTACCTCCAGTCCAAATTGAATGCTTAACAATTAAGGTTGGTGATATTTCAGGGAGAGTGATCATTACTCATCTTTACATCAACAAGCGCTTAACACTATAAATAAATGATTTTTAAAAAATTTAGGTAAGGATTGCAGGAAGTACGCATTGCTATTCTTTCCCAAGAGGTTGTAAACTGCACTTTCCATTTCATGAACCAACTAATCACGGTTATTGGTATGGAGAGAATGTAGCAGGCTAAACATATATTGAATTATCTGTAATAACCACATTGTTTGGAAAGTCAACTACAATTCAACTTGTAACTTACTGTAGAACAGCAATAATTTATTTGTGGTAAGGTCAGTCTGGAAGTAGCCCAGGATGTTCTGCTTGCTCTTGCCAGAGGGAAACTAGCATCCCCACAATCCAGAAATATTGGGTGGTGGAGAAAGGGGGACAGAGATTGGGAACTGGAATCATGGATTCCCACAACCAAGATAGAGCAGAATAGCTGCATTCATGCTGTAGGTTTTGAACCCTGGCCAAAGCCTTGGTTCTCTGCTGAAAAGATAGCACTTTCTAATATTCCCCTAGTTTACCAAAGTATCTGTTTCCTAACTGAGTGCCTATAGCTGTAACAATATACAGATTTTCAGAAAAGCTTCCTGTGTTTTCAGCCCTGCCTCACCTTTAATGGGCACTGCTTGTCTGGGCTACATAACAAAAGGAGAAAGTCTCCAGCTTTTGTCCTAAGTCTCATGAAAAAAAAAAGAAAAGAAATCATTACTTGGGCTGCTGAGGTGGTTTAAGCACTTCAGGAGCCCAATTAATGCACTTGTTTCAGAGCAGAGGTACAACTAACTCCCATCAGCAGACCAAGGCTAAGCAATAGAAAAGCTAAGATGAAAACTACAGGGTTCATTCAATTTTCCTCTCAATAGTAAAATTAGCCCACCAACTGAGGAATAATATATGTGCTAGGAAGGCCAAGTGTATGCCTAATACATCAGGACAAAGTTACATTTTTGGACTGCCACTACTAGAATTCTCTTCCAGTTGCCATGACCATTGGCCAAGCTGGGAGCATTAGACCAAAAAGTAACATTTCCAAACTCTGGTGCCTAACTGCAAAGGAGGAAGGTGTGTAGGTCTAGACTATAGAGCAGGCATGGGCAAACTTGGACACTCCAGGTGGTTTGGACTTCAACTCCCACAATTCCTAACAGCCTACTGGCTGTTAGGAATTGTGAGAGTTGAAGTCCAAACCACCTGGAGGGCCCAAGTTTGCCAATGCCTGCTCTAGAAGCTCTGAATTTCTTTGTATGGGACTCATCTTGCATGATCCCAAGATAGGGTGAAGCAAAGAAGCTCAGAAAAGAGAGCAGGGTATTATGCAGATGAGGAGGGTGTATCTGGAGCACATACACAAATCAAGAAGCTGTGTGTTTTTTTTGCACCAGTTCTGAAGGATAAGAAAGGACATTATTGTGTGCATTCATGTTAGGAAAGCATGTGCAAAAATGCAAGGAAGGCTGCAGGAAAGGATTGTACATGGGTCAGATGCAAACATTGAAGAACTGCTGGCCTTATATTGTTAGCTTCTCCTGGACTCCTATGTAGGGAGAGGAAATTGGGCAGGAAATCCAGGAACATGGCCAGCACCTCTTCACCTCCCTCTAGTTTTGCTATTCCTTGTTTTTGCCTGGTTTCCAATATTTGAGCTTTGTCTTCAGTGCATATCCGCCCAGCCTATACCCCAGGCCCTGCCTTGAGGAACGCAAAAACTCATGGCAGTGAAGAACCAGTCTAACCCTGTGGTGGATTGTCAGGTGCTGCTAGGTTTCTCCATCACAAGACTCTGGGGTTGACTCCTCTTTTTATTCTCCCAGCTCAAACTGCTGGGTTAAAAAAGGGAAAAGATGTCTCACACCTCACACCAGGCATGTTTAGGGTATGCTGTTAGTTAACAAAAGGGATTGGTTGCATCAAAATGCAACACTTTTAGGCACAATGAAGAAGAGGCCCATGGAAGACCCGAGGGAGGAGTTATTTTGAGGAGGAAAAATCAAGGCCTTGGCCTTGACCTTGGCACTGCTTCAAGGCCTCTTGTATGAACCCAACCCCCAGAGTTGGTAATTCTTGTCGGTCTGCCCTTTTCTGTCATCAGGCACTGTCTCACTCTCCTCGAAGCCAGGCATTGGCTGGGCAGAGTGAAGAACACAGCGGTCAGTGCTGACGACTCTTCTTGAACCATGAGGTATATCAACCGATCTCACCCTGGCTGGGTGGACGGTGCTTGGCCCATCTCGCCCCCTGCTGGAATGTTCTGTGGCTCCTCCGGCAGGGCAGGCGGCTAGGGCATGTGGCTGCTGGCGCCGTGGTAGGAGCGCAGTAAGACCTTGTGCTTGGTGGCCACCTCGCTGCGCCGACGCTGGTGCTCCACCAAGAACTCTTTCAGGCGACTCGTGGTGAAAGTGAGGGTCTGGCGCCGCAGCTTCATCAGGTAGGCATCCTGAAGCCAAGGGTTGGCAAAGCAGTCCTTGAGAGTGGGACGGCTCCTGTGAGCCCAAAAGACAAAAGGAAGAAGTTGATCTTTCCATAGCCCTCACCTCCTTGCACATAACAAGGGGGAAACTTAAGTGCAACCAGAGCAGCAGGAAACAGAAAGGAAGCTGCCTTATATAAAGGAAGCTGCCTCAGGCACATCATTTACTTCAGTATTGTCTATACTTACAGTACTGCGGCTATCAAAGGTCTCTGGTAGAAGTTTTTTCCACCTATATCTTGAGCTGGCAAGGAATCTGAGATCTTTTGCATACAAGGCATGAGCATGAAACTATGGATCAGCCAACAATAGCAATGAGGTAAGATTGAGCCCAGATATTCTGCTCCTAGAAGAAGTCTATCCTCACTCACCAAGAGCCCTGCTATGGGGTGGAAATCTTGCATGCACTAACCTGTATGTAAGTCCCATTGAATTTACTGGACTTATTCTGCAAAAGGCTACGATGTCACACCTGAATCCTATTGGTAGCCCCAATTAGAGCAAACCCACGGAATCATTTATTGAAAGGTGAATCAACAGCTCAGTAAATCCCATTGATTTCAGTGCATCTATTCTTGATGGAACTGCCAATAGGATTCTTAATTCCATTTGCTGAAGACAGTGGACATAATACAGTCTTGTAACATATCTCTCTCTTTTAAGAATGCAGCAGGCCTTTTGAAAATGGTTTGAAATCATTCAAAATCTTTGTTCTACATTGACTGTCATTTGCAAGGAGAAGCCTCCTTCATGTGAGATTTGCCTTGAGGATCCACAAATTCTGGTGAGTCAAAGGCTCTTTGGAAATGACAGCTTTTCTTGGCCTGCACCAGTGCATACAGATATTCTGTTCTTAAGATTTCCTTTCTCTGCCATTCACTCACCATGGATGGGCACAGAGTACTTTGCGGATGAAGAGTGCAGCACTTTGGGAGACATTGGGGTATAGCTTGAAGGCATCATAACGGGCTGCCAAAATTCGGCTTTCAGCCTCTAAGGGATCCGCTTCAAGGAAAGGTGAGCGACCACTGAGCCTGGTGGACAAAGTTGAATATATAGTGAGGTGAGAAGATGACGGATGCATAAGATATATCCTTTGCCTATCAATCCAGTTCTTCAAACCATGAAGTATCAAGCAGCAATTCTGTGGGAACTACTCTTATTTAGCAAAGAATATGTAAGATATGATCCTGGAGGCACTTGTCTAGCTACTCTTGTACTGTCAGTGGACATGAGTCAGAAAGAGATCTGATTGCACCCATCTAATCTCACTTCCTCCTTGTGCCCTTCTGCTTTCCCATTTCCACTAGTTTCCTACTCCAATCATACTTACATGATGTATGTAAGCACTCCCACGCCCCAGATGTCAGCCGCTGAGCCAATGGGATCTCCCTTCACCATTTCAGGAGCTGCAAAAAAAGGAGAAAATAATCTCTTTCCCTCAAAAAATGGCAAAACCCAGAACTCAGAAAGGGCTTTGCTCGTTATGCTGGAAAATCCCATTGGTTGCAATTGGCTAGTTCTCATTAGCTCTGTGGTGAAGATGCTACCAAATCTCTATGAGGCCTAACCTGGATAGACATGGTGGGGAAAAACCTTGCCCACTTTCTTCCTTCTCTGTTTGTGGGTTCACAAGAATACATCTTGAACCCATTAGCTGTGTATATGCAGTAGCCTATGTAGGTTCATTTCATGCTATATCTATTTCACATTTGTCTGGCACACAGTATCTCCATCGTCCCCCTAGCCAATTATACGGCATGTCATGTATATACTCACCCATGTACTCCAGCGTGCCAACCCGACGCCCTAGTTGGCGCAACACCAATGGATTGTAAGTCTGGGCACTGCCAAAGTCAATTATTTTTATGGAATTTGGGGTGGAGACAATGATGTTATCAGGCTTCAGGTCAAGGTGGATAATGCGCCGTCCATGCAAATAATCCAGCCCTTGGAAGATCTGTATTACATATCCTACCACATCATCCTCTGAGTATCGGAACCTGTAGGCACAGACATACAATTAAGAGGATAAGGGAATCCTAAGAAGCTCTGTCTGGGCCTAGATTGATACACCTGAAGTTAAGCCACAACAAAGTATCATCAGTTGCAGAGAGACACCCTTGCAGAGGTCTGGTCTGGGCACACAGTGAAGCCATATAATTGTTTGGCCATAGCCTCATATGGTTTCTCAGATATATATATATATATATATTAGGGCTGGGCGGTTTCGTTTCGTTAATTCGTAATTCGTTAATAATTCGTTAATTTTTTCAATTACAAAACGATAACGAACCATTCTGGAGCAATTATAAAAAAACGAATTTTCAAAAACGTTTTGTAAATGCTTCGTATTTCGATATTGTATTCGTTTCGTTATTGTTTTGAGGTCGTTTCGTTATTATTTCCGCATGTCTGGGCCAGTTTTATGGTTTAATTAGTGAAAAAAAATTATAATATCACACCAACAGTCAACAACAGAGGGAGAGGGAAGCTTCAGAAGGTTTTGGAGGTTTTTTAGCATATTTCGCGGCCGCGGCCGCCATTAACGAATCGATTCGTGATTGTTTCGGAAATCGATTCGTTAATTTTTTACCATTTACGAAATTTCGTAAATATCGAACTTTTTAAAAGGAAAATTTTGTAATTATTTTAAATATCGAAACCAAAAAAAAAATACAAATCGATTTTAGAAACAAATTTTTCCGTTGTTACCCAGGCCTAATATATATATATATATATATATATATATATATATATATATATATATAGAACTAGTCTTTCCCTTAAGCTGCTCTGTGTTCTGCTCCGTTCATTAACTATCTGCCTGCAGTTGAAGAATGCTTAAGGAAGATGTCTAGTTTGTGACCCAGGCTGAGGAATTCAGGAGGACAAGGTAACTTTCACACATAAAACTAAATACATTATACACAAGCTTCATTGAAATGCTTCAACTTCAACAACAAACCCCTCAGCTTATAGTCATAAGGCCTGGTTACTAATCTGGAATTTGAATATTTAAAACAGCCAGGCTTTAAGTGAACTGCCTTATACTCTAGGCCAGTGGTTCTCAACCTGTGGGTCTCCAGCTGGTAAACTGGCTGGGATTTCTGGAAGTTGTAGGTCAAAACATCTGGGGATCCACAGGTTGAGAACCACTGATCTAGGAGTACAAGACTCTGGAACCCAGTAAATTCAGAGCTTGAAAAAAATCTTCTTCTGTGTTATAATCCACAGAATACCACAATCTGCATGGACACTGGGATTTCACAGAGCTGTAATCCATAAAGTACAGCATTTATACTCTTAGACCAATACTGTTTTTGTAACGTAAGCTAATAAATTCCGCATTTTGTCCTTCCTCTTTATTGTGTCATTAAATATGACCCTTAGTACATTACAATTCCATTCATTTATGGCAGGAGTGGCAATTTATCTTTCCAAAGAGAGATGCAAAATTCACCACAAAAGGTCAAAGGCCTGGTCTCAAATATAGTCAAAATTAAATTGTAAAATAGCAGCACACTGGTGCTCTTCCTTTTGGAACCACAATATTTGGATCAATTGGGGGTGGCAGGACCAAAAATGGAGGTGGTAAAACTATTTCACTGTATACACTTCAGTATAAGCCAAAATTTTCAGCCCTTTTTAAGGCTGAAAAAGTCCCCCTCGGCTTATGCTCAAGGTTATTTATTATTTTACTTTATTTTTATTACATTTTATTACATTTATTATTTTACTTTTTATTGTTACATTTACAGTAGTTTAATCTATTATTATTTTTATTACATTTATTATTTTACTCTCTATTATTATTGGAAGGATACATAAGCACATTACATTGAAGAAGGTTAGAATAATAGTTTAATCAGAGTTGGACAATCTTATCTTAAATTACAGTTTTATATACATATTCAAAAACATGTAATCTCCTGATGCCTCAATTAATCTAATTTTATTGGTATCTATTTTTATTTTGAAATTCACCAGTAACTGCTGCATTTCCCATCCTTAGCTTATACTTTCCAGTTTTTAGTGGTAAAATCGGGTGCCTCGGCTTTTATTCGGGTCAGCTTATACTCAAGTATATACAGGATTTGCTTTTTCCTTCCACTGTGCCATTCTGTTCATTGGTGGTACATCTAAAGTCCTATTAATCATACAGAGTCTTAAAATGTAAATACTCAAATGAATCTGAACTGATCAGCATGAAGTATCAACTTTGGAAAAGCTTTTTGTGGAAAGACAGAGGCAGACTGTAGTGGAAGCAAAGCCAAAACTTTGGATATCTTTTATAACCCTAGGCTAAAGCTAAACTACTGCTTTTTTCTTTAAAGCTGGCTTTGCTCAGACTTTATTTCCCAAACTGCCATTGCTTCATTCCTGCTTGTCTTAGACATAGAAGCCCAATGCACCTGGGCTCCATCCTATCCCTTCCCCCAACAAACCTTTCAACCAAGTGGTAGAGGATTTCCTTCCCAGTGCAGTTTTCAGCTATCAACACCAGATATCGAGGTGTGATGTAGGCTTCATGTAGTGCCATGATACGCTCATGATGCAGCCCCTTCAGGATCTCATATTCCTGCAAGACACTCTGCTTGCCTTCTGTATCATAGGGCACAATCTTGGCCATAAAACGCTTGCCTGTGGCATTCTCCTTACACTCCCGGATCACTCCAAATCGCCCCCTGGAAATACACACATGAAACATGTTCAATGCACATTCAGATACTTCCTAGGTCTGCCCAATAATATCTGAGGCATCTTTCCCCACCAAAATACAAGACAATGCAATGAACAGAGACACCAATGATGCAGAACTGGGTGGTCCAAATTATCCATGAAGCTTGTCTTATCAATGGCTGTTTATATGTCATCTTCATTTCTTATGGCAAAAGAAACAGGATATTTCTTTCTGACTTCCTATTGTAATGATGGAAATGTGTAATATTCACATTTAGAAACAGTTTCTGCACCACAATTCAAAAGGAAAAAAAGATACTTGTGCTTGGGATATTTCAAAGAAGCACCTCCTGGATTATTAGCACTTCTTGTTCCTCCCACAAGCTGTAATATCCAAAACTGTTTTTCAGTTCTAAGGTTCTAGGCATGGCAGATAGCCTGGAAGACTTTGGGCATGGACACTGGAATAGTGAAGACTAAATGTAGCTTCTAGGATGCATTCTACCTTTTATTATCCTGATGTAATTAGAAAGTTTAACCTCCTGCAGCTTGACTGGAGGAAGTGGATGTTACTCAATACTTACAGCTGTCATGCAGTAAACACTGTTGCGTTAATTGAGTAGGCTGGTATTGAGTGACTACAGACCACAAGCTTTTATTATGGCCGGGGCCCATTAAGGTCTGTTCTGCCCAACAATATGACAAACAGAATATCCACTATTCCAGGGGTCCTCAGACTAAGGCCCGGAGGCCGGATACAGCCCTGCAAGGTCATTTACCCGACCCTCGCTCAAGGTCAACCTAAATCTGAAACGATTTGAAAGCACACAACAATCTTATCTCATCAGCCAAAAGCAGGCCCACACTTCCCATTGAAATAGTAATAAGTTTATATTTCTTAAAATTGTTGTTCATTTTAATTATTGTATTGTTTTTAAGTGTTTTTTGCACTACAAATAAGATATGGTCAATGTGAATAGGAATTCATTCATGTTTTTTTCAAATTATAATCCAGCCCTCCAACAGTTTGAGAGACTGTGACCTGGCCCTCTGTTTAAAAAGTTTCAGGACCCTGCACTATTCCATGGTGATTTACATTCTGATGAAAAGCTTCTACCCCTGGCATCTCCAGCCATAAAATGTTTATGGTCAGAGCTGGGAAATATTTCTTCCTGTTTATCGAGAGAAACACTCTTCCCTGAGACAGGTAATAATGGGGTAGACTACCCAACTGGCCTAACTAAGGAGATAGCGACTTCCTGAGTTCAAAGGACAGAAACCTTACCTTGCTTTCTCATCCAAGAAGGTGTAGGGTTTTTGAGGGACACCTTGGCGCAAGGAGGAGTCATCTTTGGCAGCTGAGGATAGTCTGCTCTGGGCAGTACTACCAGTGTCCCTGCCAGGGGTAACACTCCGGCTCAAGAAGCGTGGTTGAGAAGGCACCTCTTCCATGCTTGGGGTGACTGGAGGACTGGGTCCACCTTCTGGGGTGGTGGGAACTCTTGTTGGGATTGAGACGAAAGAGGTGGCCACATATGGGACAGCTCTTGGAGAGACAGTTACTGGTGAGTCTGCCACTGGAACTGGTGATGCAGGAGAGATAGGAGAGAACTTGGAAGTGGGAGAGCTGGCAGAGGATGTTGGAGCAGGTGAGAGGGTGGAGATGGATGACCCACTGTGGGTACTGAGGGAAGATGCTGTCCTGGAAGGCTTTGATGTTGGCTCAGAGGAGGCTGGACCCTCAGATGCAGGGGTGTCTTTGTTGGATGGAACCAGGGCTGTGATTGGGAGCTTTGCTTTCCCCTCGCTGGCCTGAGTCACTGGTGGGGCAGGTGCCCCCTGTACTCCCACAGGCAAACCTGGCCCCTTCTGCTTCCTGGGAGGGGTGGCTGGAAGAGGACCAGTGCTTTTCAGCTCTGTCTGGGGAGACTGGTTCAAAAGGGCCTGCGAGGATTTGGTAGAAGTGAGTTTCTCTGGTGCAGTTGTACTCTTTTTGCCAGCTTTGGGTTCTAAATGTGAAGAAAAGATTTTAAGTTAGATGCAAAGGACGAGAGAGAGGAAGAGAAGAGGAGAACCCATAGGTCTGCTTCACTACTAAAATCCACAATACATCTGTAGGGGAGTTTTGTTTTTTTTTGAGAGTATAAGACTGGGAATCAAAATTAGCACAGGTCCAGATGAAGAATGAACAGCACCCCTTGCTTCAATAGTTGGATGCATCTTCATGGTAACAGCATGGGCTTGGCAGCCAGATTTTGGAACATGTGCCCTGACCACTATATAACAAGTACATTACTATAGATAACTGGCTATATTGAACAGAACCAATTATTATCAATATATTTTACTTCCATCTCCTTCCAAGTCCCCCCCCCCTTTTTTTTTTTTTTTTTGTGTGTGTCATATACTTTAAATCAGTAATACTCAAACTGGTATTTTGTAGACTAGTGTTGGTTTTTGAGGTATTGGTACCTGATGAGATTCAAAGAAAGAAAGAAACAACTCAGCCAGTAGGCATAAATATGGTACTGGTATTTAGTACAGTGGGTAGTGTTGGTGTGGAGAAAATTGCCATTCTCCCACATCAGATAACTTAAGATGCACCATTTTAGATTGTAAACTGGGGAGAGTGTTTACCTGATGAATAAACAAGTGTTCTGAATGCTTGGAGGTTGAGCTGAAAAGCTGGCTAAAACTGTTTCAAATAAATTTAAAAGGAAGGAAGTCTGTATTCTTTTTACCTGCACTTTCAATTAACACCTTCCCTGAGGGATTGCTGTAAGGACCTTGTCCAGCCTTGTTGACACAGGCAACGCGGAACTTGATGCTGCTCCCCACTGGCAGATCCTTTGCGTTGAAGTAGCAATCAGCGATGCCGAAGCTGACTACTTTCCACTCATGCTCTCCTGGGGAGGAACACAGAGATATGAGCTGCTGGAGTGACTCTTTCAGAGACAGAGCGACCTAGTGCTATGTGGGGCATGCATAATATTATAGATTAAAATAGTTCTCTTCTGCCTTTCAACCTCTTGGAGATCCCCAAGGTGACTTGACAACTGAACCAATATGCATTCTTTAATGCAATCAAGACTAAATGAACAAACAAACAAGAAACAAGCTAAAAATCAGAAGCCATATATTAAAATTACATAAAGCAGGAAAAAAACTCAAGCAAGCCAAAGGGACAGTTATATAAGTAAGAAGAAACACCTTGAAAATGCTCATAAAGAGAGGAGCAGTTGGATTTCCTAAGGCAGGGAATTCAACCACAAGTGGAATAAGGTAATTCTTAGAGGGATCTGATATCTTGCTCCCAAGTCATTTAAGACTTTAATACACGGCAATTGTGCTTCGAATGATTGGCAATACAGTATCTTTTTTTCATGTCAGAAGCGACTTGAGAAACTGCAAGTCACTTCTGCTATGAAAGAATTGGCCGTCTGCAAGGACATTGCCCAGGGGACACCCAGATGATTGATGTTTTACCATGATGTGGGAGGCTTCTCTCATGTCCCCACATGAAATGCTAGAGCTCGGCAGGCAGCTTACCCCACTCCCTGGATTCAAACTGCCTTGCTGGCACAAGGGTTTAACTCATTGTGCTGCCGGGGGCTCCAGTACCATACTGGAAATATATGTTTGCAAATGGAAACACCACACACATCCTTGGCTGCCACATCTTACACTTAACCTCATGCTGTGAAATCTCAGCTGCAAATTTCAGCTCCATATGGCCATGTCATCATTGAATGCAACAGCTCCTTTGTAGGAGCTTATGGAAATGGGAAGTGATAAAGCAGGAATCCAATTTGAGCAAGGCCTTGGGGAATCCTCATCCTTTCACATGGATGAGGACCATTGGACATCAACCTGAGCTTTGGGCTGCATCCATTGGATTGTATATAACATAGTGGGGTGGTGGAAGAAGGCTAGGAAGGGACTATTTCCTGTCTCCATTCACCATTAGCTATTCAGGAAGAAGCAGCCAGTCAAAGGCAGTGGGATTGGATAGGTGACAATTGGTGCACTGTAAGTTCAAAAGAAAGAAACTTACTTCTGCTTGTAAAATCATGGGGAGAAGGCCAACATTGTATAGTGTTTTGAGCATTAGCAATTACTCTGGAGAACAGGATTCAGATCTGGAGAACAGATCCCTGCTCAGCCACAGAGTTCCACTGGATGATCTTGGAAAAGTCACACTCTCTGAGTAAATCTTGCCAAGAAAACTTGCAATAAGTTTGCCTTAGGTTACCATAAGATGAAAACAACTTTAAAGCACACAACAAAACAACAAGATCACGGGGGGTGCATATGATGCTATGAACGGTCTGTCCACAAGGAACATGGGAATATATGGGACACCAGTAAGATAAAACAATATCCAATATCTACATACCATCCGTCTTGCATTCCAGTGTGTATGTGCAAGATGCCTGGCTATCCGCTGGTCTCCAGAGGACCAGAACGGTGTTCCTATACTTCTGGGGGATTTCTGGAGTGCCTGGTCTCCCAGGAAGTCCTGTTGCAAGTAAGTATGAAAATGAGAAGTTAATTCAAAAGATGTAGCAGAGATAGGGCCACACATGTTTATGTTGGGAAGGAGTTAATCATAGGAGGTACTCTTTGATTTCTTACGTGCCACAGCAATGGTGCAGGAACTGGTGGCAGTACCCAGGGCATTTGTGGCATTGCATTCATACAAGCCTGCATCTTTCCTGGAAACTTTAGAGATGGTGAGCAGCTGGCGGCCATCCTTGCATGCTACAATGTTGAGAACTCCTTCTGATATCAGTGCATGTTTATCTGTGGAAGACAGGAGTACTAATCTAGCATACAAAGCATATCAATATTGCACACTGCCTTTCACCATTCCTTTCTAGCTCTGTTGCTTCTCCTCCCCAACCTAGAATGCCTAGAATATCTCCCTTTCCAGATGAAACTAAGATACCCAAATTCCAAAGGAGTCCTATTGTATACCTGGGCTCCAGTAAAGGGAGCCATTTTAGGTAACAACTAGTTAAAGGAATAGGATTTGTGTCACACCAAAATGGTGGTAGCACAATTCATTATACCTCCTTTTTAGTCTTAATACAAGAACAACAACAACAACAACAACAACAACAATCTTTGTTTATATTCCGTTTTATTTCCCTGGAGGTACTAGGAGCAGATTACAGTACACATATAAGGCAAATGTTCAGTGCCATTTACACAAACAACATCATACAATACACAGGCTTCTCCCTTTTTCATTTACCCTCTAAATGAAAGCTTTCAGAGCACTACAAAGCTTGATTGACTCCCAATATTTTTAAGGCTGAAACTGCCTTGGGTGACATCCAATCACTACAATTTGGCAGCAGAACAGTTGGACCAATGGGGGATTGCTAAGTGGATGGAAAAGAAAGTTAAGCTCTGTATACAGTAAGACAAGTCAGGTAGGAATAAGGATACTCTTTCCTGATATTGGGAGCTGGTTTCTTTATTTGGAACTCTATGTTGCATAACCTACCTTTCATCCACAAAATATGAGGGGCAGGGCTGGCTGCGGGAAGACAGCAAAGTTGCACTGCATCTCCTTCCAGCAATACCTGGTCCTTCAATTTTATGTGGAAAACTGGAGGAAAGTCTGGGGATGAAGAAAAGGATAAGAGGAATAAATTAGAGGATGCTATGATGGACCATCTGCTTGGTACTAAAGAAATGGGCAGGAATATTATCCTTTATAGGAAAAGGTATTCCTTATATTACAGACCCCCTAGTGGCGCAGTGGGTTAAACCACTGAGCTGCTGAACTTGCCAAAAGGTTGGTGGTTTGAATCCAGGGAGCGGGGTGAGGTCCCACTGTTAGCCCCAGCTTCTGCCATGCTAGCAGTTCGAAAACATGTAAATGTGAGTAGATCAATAGGTACCGCTTTGGCATTCCATGCAGTCATGCCGGCTACATGAACTTGGATGTGTTTACAGACAATGCCGATTCTTCGGCTTAGAAATTGAGATGAGCATCCCCCGCCCCACCAGGGTCGGAAACAACTATACTTAATGTCAGGGGAAACCTTTACCTTTACTATGCCCTATACTAAAGAATCTATTCTGGAGATCTAGATGATAGATCTTGCCAACCAGAGACTGTTGGCCTTCAGATGGGATGGGTCTTTAGGAAGGGGATGATAGGGAGCCAGCAGAGGGCCAAATTTCAACCCCCCATGGCTAGTTTAGGTTCATGGGCCAGACACCCAGCCCCAGCACTACCATGTTGCATGAGAAAAAGGGATGGAGAGGACACCTCAAGTTTCATCTTTTACTATTGCATTTCCCTAGAGTGCTGCAGTCAAATTAGTGGGACAGTTATATCTTCCTAGCACAGCTAGATGGGAAACACATATTCCCTAGAACTATCCTGCTGGACTGAACTCATTTCAAAGCAGTGCAAGAAGGCATACCTGACTCGCTGAGGACATAGGGCTGACTCACAATGACGACACCTTCTCCTCTCAGGCTGGCAGGAATGTTGGGCTGTGATGCAACCTTGTCTTTCTTGGCTCGGGACAAGCTCCAGCGTTCCCAGCGAGAACTTCGTCGATGAACATCACCAGAAACTGTGGAGACAACTTATATGATTGGGCCTTACCCCAAACAACTAAATTCTGGGAAACAGGAGACAGAGGGGCTGTTGCTTGGCATAGTTCATGCATGAATTATTCACTGTTGCCATACAATCTCCTATCACAGCCATATTTTCATGCTCTCTATACCTTTCCCATTTTGTTCTCACTTCTTCAGTCTTTGTTGGAGTGGTAATTAGATTGTATGTGACTCTCTAGACATTTAGGCCCATAATGTTTATGGTAAATTTCTGTTTGTTTGTTTTGTATTTGTTCACGCACACTCTTTTCCTGGATTACATTGCCATTTCTTGTTCTCTGGGGTCTCGTTTACTCTCACGTCTCTTTCTCCCTCTCTCCCTGCCTGCGCTCCATGAAGCATGTGTGATAAGAGTTCTCTCTGGGTGACATGTGTCAATTCTCTTGATACCATGCAGTAGTCTTTTTATCTTTTAGCAAGAAGAAGAATCTGTGTTTATTGTGGCCATTTTTTCTGAATAAAAATACTTCACATGCCTTATGAGGAAGACTAAATTTTATTTCTTGCCTCTGCTAGATATTGAGTGGGTTGGTAAGCTGTTTAATTTTTGGTCTAATGCGTCAGATGCTCTGCTTAAGAGACCCGCCATAATAACCTCTGAAGAATGCATAAACATCTGACTTATATACTATGCTCTTTTATGAAACCACACAACACTACATAAATTATTGTATTCACATACTTTTAAGGGAATATCTATACCCACATATACAAACAAACAAACCTGTTGCCAAAACAAATAAGGAAGGGAATAGCGCTCATCCTCCTTTCATCTCTTAGTCCCACCCACCGTTTCCCAAAGTTTGTTATGGATCTTGGCTCACCATTGCCTGTGGATGTCTCAGACTGGAAGGACTCTGTGGAGGGGACGTTAGCAGACTGGGCTGCCAGCTGGTTCTGTGGGATGCCCACCTGGCGTAGGCTTTCACCCTCAGAAGTTGCACGGCGCAGTTGAGAAAGGAAAGGAGCTCTTTTCTCAGGTTGCCTGATATTGTCACCAGTAGCGGCCGTATGGTCTTCATCAGAGTGTTGCTGTGACTGGCTGCGAAGGTGGGTGGAGAGGCGCCCCATGGTGTTGCCAATCTTTTTGCGTACAGCCATAACTGGTGACTCACCGGAGCCAGGCTCTGACTTCTGGCTGTCTGAATCCCTTTTGTCCTTGGAAGCCAAACCCCATGAAAATCGCCGACCTTGGGCAGTTCCTCCTGTTTCATCCTCCTTGGCTTTCCTCCTCTCAGTGGGGGGTGTGCGGCGGAGTCGCATTGACATTCTGCGGATGAAACCACCTTCCTTCTCCACCTCATGCAGGTCCTGCACTGAATGTGCCCGTCGAGATATCCCAGCCTTGGACAGCTCTAGAGGGGCACCTGCTGGACTTGGTCGATATATGGAATCTTCCCTCCCCAGAGGCCCAGTCAGATGCCTCTCCTCAGACCTGGAAAGCAGCTTACGTCCCCTGCTGAGGGAACCTTCCCTCCCTCTTTTGAACTTGGCCTCAAACACTTCTTCAGAATCAATATCCTGGATGTGCTCAGAACTGGAAGAGTGAACTGTGTTGGTAGGTTCTTTGCCAGGCTTCTGTGCTGCTATCTTGGGATCGGCTGCATTTTGCGATTGTGTTTCAGCTGCTGAGATCTGAGACATACTTTCTGAGGCAGTGATAGAAGGCTCTGTTGCATCCCTCTGAGGGACTTGGGCTGATTCACCAGCCAGGGAAAGCATGACATCAGCATAGGCAGAACGCTTGGGTGCTGAGGTACCAGAGTCAGGTGAAGTTGGCATGAGTTGTTTTGACCCCCTTGAGGAGCCTATGGCTTTTGCAACTTGTGAGGTGTCAGGTTTGGCCAATCTGGTCACCAGCTTGTCTTCAGATCCTCTTGGGCCAGGTTTCCTGATGCTAGACCTGGTGATGGGCTTTGTTCCTGCATCTAGCTCAGGGGTGGAGGGGTTGGAGGGGACCTCCTGTGGGGTGTGCGGAGTGTGAGGCCTTGAGTCATTCAGAGCTGAAAGGGAAGGTGTCTCCCTTAATCTTTGACCTTGTGCCATTGGGATTTCTAGGGGTTCTCCAGAGCGTCGATGCAAGATGACAGGTTCCCCATCACCCTGGCTGAAAGAGCTGCTCTTCTGAAGGAGGCGCCCCTCAGGGGGAAGGTGATAGGGAGCTGTCTCACTGGAAGCTGCTCGCACCATCTTATGTCCAGGGGACAGCTGCTTCTCCAGGCGGGGAGGTCTCAACACCTTCTTCTCGAGGCCAAGTGTTTCCAGCAAGGGTCCCCGCAGACCACTCAATTTGCCATCCACAGGGCTGCCCCGTAGCAAGCGCTGACGCATGACCTCTAGGCGCTGGGTATATTCCTCCTCAGGTAACACTTTCCGATGGTACAGTGTACCTGGGCTAGGGCTACGGCGAGGCAACTCCATGGATGCTGCCTTGGTCAGGCTTTTATGGAAGGGAGGTTCTGCCTCATCTGAGGGGAGGTTCAGCAAGAGGGCGCTATCTGCAGAGCTCCCACGACGCAGCTCCCCCTTGCGTGAGGCCCTTTCAGAAACTCCCGGGGAGTCCAAGCTAGATCCTTTCTTCAGTGCTCTCCTTTTTTCTGGCCTTTTCTGAGCCTCACGATGACCTTCCTCATCAGAAGAGCCAGGCTCCTCAAACTCTGTGGAACGCTTTCGTGGCAATATGCCCTTCTGTCTCCTAACTCCTGGCTCCCCTTCTTCCTTCTTCTTGTGATTCACTGAGGCCCCTTGCCCCTCTTCCTGCCACTCCATGGACATACCCTCCTCATCCACTGGAGCTCCGTTTGGACCCGTGGGCTCATCATCGGTTGGGATCTCAGTGAGAGACATGCGGGAACCAGAAAATTCAGGCTGATGGGGCATAGGAATGTAGGGCAACTCTTCGGGGTCATCAGAATCTGAAGAGGAGGACAGCACTGATGTCGCCTTGAGAAGGCGCGGCACAGCAATAGACAAGTGGCTGGATGTGTCCTCTAGAAGCTCAGGAATTGAGCGCGGCACCATGTTGCACTTGTAGCTAATCTGAGAGCGCTGGAGAGTAAAAGTATATGGCAAGAGAGATTAAGAAAATATTCTCATCCCACTCATACCTTCCATCATAGTATATTTATGTTTGCCTACCCAATGACTCTTCCTTGCTCCGTGAAAGTGCCCAGCAGTAAGAGCAATAAACTTTCCCATACCATTTAACAGGAGCAAGATAACAGCATTCCTGTGTCCAAATAACCTCTGGAAAAACTGGTAATTCCCATTCACAATGAAAGAAAGACCCTCCTTCTTCCTGACAGTTTTTTTCTACATTAACATTAAAAAAAAAAACATCACCCATAAGAATTTTTTCAACTGCTGTGACAAAATAGTTCTTTTCATTTTTTTAGGTACATTATAGCTTAACTTAACTAGGTCGAGCTTTAGCACAGCAGGTGAACCACCAGCTGCCAACTGAAAGGTTAGCAGTTCAAAGCCTGGGTTGGGGGTGAGAGCCCGACCTTCAGCCCAGCTCACTGCCCACCTAGCAGACTGAAAACAGTTGTGAGTAGATATAGGTACCGCTTAAGCGGGGAGGTATTTTAATAGCACCATATGGAAATATCAGAAAAATGCCTGTGATCAAAAAGGAGGAAGTCCTCTTCGACATGGAGGATAGAGTGACAGCAGAAGATGGGGAATGCTTATATACCTCTATCTGTACTGTTGTCTGTCCTGTCTACATATAACGGTATTGAATGTTTGCTGTATATGTGTTCTGTGATCTGCCCTGACTCCCCTTCGGGATGAGAAGGGCAGAATATAAATACTGTAAATAAATAAACAAACTAGTCAAGAAATATCTGCAAGGCACATCCCCTTTCTTCCTGCCCCTTCAACTCAGCTAGGATGTTGTGTGATCATAGAAAAAATGGACTGCTAAGACAGACACAGAAGAAGGGGCTAGGAAGAAACCAAGACAGAGAGTACACACTCACAGAATCACAGTAGTGGAGAATTGGAAGAGAGCCCACAGGACATCCACCCAACCTGCTGTCAGTATAGGTATTTATTGTAGAGCATCTCTGAGAGGTGGAACATAAGTTCTGTTGTTGTTGTTGTTGTTGTTTTTTTAAAAAAATGGGAGTTTACAAATACAAAGGGCTGTGTAAGTGTTTCTATGGAGTCTCTACATATGCTCAAGTGGAATATTTGCAGATAATGAACAAAAATATTACTGAATGCCATCCAGCATAAAACCAAACTAAATTAAACATGGAGCTTTGGCATTTCTCACTGTACAGAGAAAAGGTTCCTTTATGGAGGAATAACTAAATAGGGTAATTGAGAAAGGATAAATGAAGGAACATAAATAATAACATTTTATATAAGACTTGTACAGATACAAAAGGAACCTCCAGGTTTTATTTCCTAATTTATCCCTGATTTCTGGCCATCCCATATCCTTTTGCCAGCATTATTTGCTAATATTCTTCCACCAGTGGCCTGCTTAACCTAGACTAAGACCTCTTGCGGCATCCAAACAACCAGGTATGCTTATATTCCCAAATCCTTCCCCATGCTAGATCAGCAGACTTTTCAATTACACCTAGAAATATTATATTATCACTTTGGGCTGTAATTCCCAAAACTCCCCAGTCATGTTGTCTGACGGATTCTGGGAGATGTATCTTCCTCCACAAAGGGAATAATTTGGAGCTCTGTGCTCCAGCCTACTGGTCTAAACATCTCTTTACCACTTCTGCTCCTAATGAACCACCACTACCCATTTGTGTCTTCCTCCTTGGCTGTAAATGCTGTCAATATAGAAAATTCCTCATTCCTTGACACCGTCACAGATATAAATGGTGCAGAGAAAGAGACTAGTGTTGCATGCAGAAATGCGCAATAGCACATTTGCCACTTTGTCCTATTAAAGGTATCACTTTCAACCCTTAAAGCTTACTCATTCATGTGCGGGGACTGTCAAGAACAATTTTCAACCATAAGTAACAGGTAAGCATATGTGTACTAGTGAGTTAGAAATGACCAAGCTTCTGATGTGCATTTGTGGAAATAGTCTAAGCTCATATTCCCACCCACTTTTATGAAATTCTCGACCCAAGCAACTGGTGAGCTGCTGCCAGTTCAACAGCCACTAAGGAGTGTCCTGTGTCTTATCGCTATAAGAATCATATTTACCTGCCACTTCCTACGAGATATGAAGAGCTTGAGATGATCCGTACTAATACTCTTCCCTTTTGCCAGGGTCTGAAACAAAGGACAAATGGAGGCAAAGTCAGGCAATTGAAAAGAGCTGCTTTTCCCCCTTGGAATATGGGACAGAAGCCAAAACCCAAAGGGATCCTTGCCACTTTGATTCACCTTTATCTTTGTAGAGCAGTATTTCTCAACCTGTGGGTCCCCAGGTGTTTTGGCCTACAACTTCCAGAAATCCCCGCCAGTTTACCAGCTCTTAGGATTTCTGGGAGTTAAAGGCCAAAACATCTGGGGACCCACAGGTTGAGAACCACTGTTGTAAAGTAACACTAGGAACTATTTAATCCTAACCTTCCCCAACATTTGCTAGGTTGACTAGTGCTGCTGTGTGGTGCAGTTGAAAAATATCTGGACAGCCACACAAGCTACAGAGGGCTCCCTCAGCCCAGTACCCCAAAGCTAGTATGAACCCCACTGTTCTTTCTAAGTCGACTTCAACATTGGATTCACCTTGAACCAGGGATGCTCCAGAGTCTGCTCTGCATTGGGCCTCCTATTTTAAAAAGGGAGAGATAAGAGTCAAAATATGGAAATAAATAAGTACTAAATAAGTGATATATTACTACCGTAGTGTACAAGAAAGTCAGGGTGAATATATAAGGCAAGAGTGAGGAACTATTGGGGGTTTATTTATTTTGTATCAAAAGCATTGCATAAATTAGAAGGAGAACAAGTGGCTAAATATCTTGTCTGTAGCTTTCAACTATTCTCCCCCTGTACATGATGCAGGACATTGTGGACAAGCATACAGATGCGGAGTTGTCTGTTCTGCTCCACAGTCGCATAAGGGTTAAAGACTACATTATCCTTCCAGCAAACTTGGTAACCTGCATTTTGCCCCCAATTCCCCCAAAGGTGTGGGTGTCTAAATTGTTGTATTTTTTTGCCCACCTGTGACAATGTATGCTCTGCAGAGGCCTTTTTTTCCAACAGGAAATGACCTGAATCAATTTATAGGTCATTTCCAGTAGAAGAAAAAGTTCTCTCCTGGAACTATATTGGCTGGGATGACGATAATATGGAGACATTGTCCCTGAAGCCCCAAAGGGGCCAAAATGTTTCTGGAACAGGGAGGGTCCTAGAAACCACAAAGGCAGCCCTAGGATGCCCAGCTTCAGCCTTCCTCCACCTATTTTGGACTTCACCTCGCACAATTCTTAAGATAAGGCACAGGCCAACTTTGGCCCTCCTCCAGCAGTTGGGAGCCTCTCCCCCCAGCACTAACTGCTGCTCTGGGACCAGAGTAAAGAGAGGGGGCCAGGAAGACAGTTCCACCTTGTCTCCTGCACTGTGCTAATAATATAATATAAAATAATATATTGAAGATACATATAATATTGATAATATTATAATGTAATATAATATAATAATACTACTAATAATATGATTTTATAATTATATATTTTATATTACATGTAATATTACAGTATAATGGTATAGTACAATTTGCTATGGTAATAATATAATATATTGTATTTACATATTACTTATAAGCTGATTTGAGTCCCCTTCAGGGTGAGAAGGGGATAAATAAATAAATAAATAAACAAACAAACAGGATTTCACTGTCCCACTTCTGACATAGAGTGATCATATTATTTCTATGTATGTTTCTTTGTTCTCAACCTCATTCTGTCCTTCTCCCGGGTTTTTTCTGTCCCTCTGGCCATGGGGCTTTCCCCTTCTGTCTCACTGGAGGGAGATCAAAACTTCTTTTCTGTTTCTGCTCATTACATGGTGCAGGAGAGAGTTGGAGCCCTCTTTGTTTCTTTATTTACAAACTTTGGAGCTTCACATTTGAAAACAACCCATAACAGTGGTAATAAAACATACAATAAACATCAGGCCACATTCAATTGTATCCGTCTATGATATAGGTAGCAGGTTGGATTATGCAAAGAAGACTTGTAAAATAATGGTGATTTTTAAAATAGGCATAAAGCTGGTGCAGCATGCTCAATTTCAGATTGAGTTGAAGGTTTTGTGGGCCTGCACATAAAAGCCTCAATCCCTCCCTGAAAGAGGACCCTAAAAAGACCCCATTACTCACAGGCGATCATTCACTAACACTTTGATGACAAAGCCTTTTGCCTCTCTTGTCAATCCTGTGAACATACTCTCCTCAAAAGCCACATTGTAGTTGCGGATATTCATGAGTGTTGTCTTGTCATTCTCACCCACAAATGGGGAGATCCCTGTGAGACTGAGAGAAAGAAAATAATAAGCAAATCCTTTGCAGGTAGTCAAAGTGCATGCTTGGGATAAACTCCGAAGGACACCTAAGCCCACCCAACATATAGGCAAATAGTTTTGGTGTAATTGGTGAAATGTATTGGGATAGGTTTTCAAGGGTCCTCGCCCCCATTTAGTAGAGTCTCAGAAAGCAGAATGAGGCATTATGTCAGTGCATAGAGGGGTGGGATTATCAGACCTCGAACAAGTTTCTTTACGGACTATGATTGGTCATCACTGTATTCCAAAAATGTAATTTTCCCCATGCTCCAGGAATTATCATTTTAATGTACAAGAAAATACTTGCTCTTGTGCATTTGTGCCACCAGTTCATTCAGTATGATGGAGATGCATGAAAAATAATAATAATAATAATAATAATAATAATAATAATAGGCGACTAAAAGGAAGGAGGAAGTCCTGACAGCAATTCATCATAGAGGATAGAGCAACAGCATCCCCTGGACTTGAGGCCAACCTTCCATGGCACCAAAAACAGCTGGACACTGAGTCGAAACAAAAGCCACCTCCTTCTGTTCTGTCTGTGCATTGTCTATACAAAGCGGCATAGGATGTTTGCTGTGTATATGTACTGTGATCCGCCCTGATTCCCCTTTGGGGTGAAAAAGGCAGAATATAAATAAAGTGTTATTATTAGATGCATGAAGTATGAGAAAAACTTGTATGGCCCTAGCTCAATTCCCTGGATTTAAGGCTTACCATAGATATGTGATGACTCCCAGTGGCCTGTAAAAAGAAAACAGACATATTTGCTCCGGGTCTCTTCAATACCCAACACAGAAGTGAAAAAAATGTATCACAGTAAGGTTCACCGTGGCAAACGAGAAGAACACTTTTGGTTGATGTTCATTACCTTTAAAAGGGAATGGCAGAAACTTGTTCACAAAAGTCAAAATAGAAGAGACCACACAAGCTGTGGCTCTGAGTCATCCCACAACCCCTTACTATTATCTTACTATAATTTTAAATACCACAGCCACCAGAATTCTCAGGGCAATCCGCTCTAGCCATATCTGCTCCTGCTTTTTTTTCTCATGACAGGAGTGATTTGAGAAACTGCAAGAATTGGTCATGTGCAAGGACGTTGCCCAGGGGACGCCCAGATATTTTACCATCCTGTGGGAGGCTTCTCTCATGTCCCCGCATGGGGAGCTGGAGCTGACAGACGGGAGCCCACCCTGCTTCCCAGATTCAAACTGCCAACCTTTCTTTCAGCAGTCTTGCTGGCACAAGGGTTTAGTAGTAATCCCTTGCTGTAGTAATCCTCTCTGGAACAAGCCCGGTGCTTAAACTAAGCATTTTATTTCTCTAAAAGCACACCACATTTTGTCAGTGACTCTTTTTACCAGACATCGGTGACACCGGAGACAGGACTCTGGCTGATGATCTCGGGGCCCACGAATTCAGGGGTGCCATATTTGCAGTACTGGGGCTCATCTGGAGTCAGCTCCTGGGCATTGCCAAAATCACAGATTCTCACCTGATCACTGCCTGGTTCGGCCAACAGCAGGTTTTCTGGCTGCGAGGAAGAACAAAGCAGAGAAGGGTTAAAAGCTGTTTGCTTACAAAAAATTAACTTGCCACTGAGAAATGTCCAGACCTTCAGGAGGGATAATCACCAAGCACAACTTTTAATGGGAAAAGATTACAGAAATGATTCCCTTCTCCAGGAAATTCTATGCAATCAACATTATATTATTTATGATTGATAAAAGTATATTTCTTAGGGCATTCGGCTTTCATCTGGAAATACATGAGGATTGACTCCTCCACAAGGAAACTGCCCCTGCAGTTAACCCCATTGTTGCTTAATTCTGAGAAAAGGGGGCACTAGCACAGATTTATGCTCTCTTGCATCTTGCTTAATATAGGAACTACTTCACAGTCCATATTCTCACCCCCTTGGAAGCCTTGAAATGTTTCTTGTCCACTCACCTGCCATCTGCTTGTCAATATGTTAAGCATCCTGAGCTCCTGCTGGAGTCTATCAGAGATGATGCCAAATAGAGGGGAGCGGGGAGGCTTTCCCTGCCTCAAGGCAGATTAAGCTAACCATTTGCAGCCCATTCACAAATCCAATGTATACCATAAAATCAGAACATCTTTTGGGTTTTGGCACCAAACACAGTCCTTGAAACTTTTTTCCCCTGTATCCTCTCATTTTGAGTTGTTCATCAAGATGCGATCCACGTTCTCACAAAGGCCTGGCCTGCATTTGTTGTTGTTCTGCCAACCTCCCCGTTGCAACACTTTTATTAAAGAAACCATTCTGCTTGGAACTGAGGCTTCTCCCATGGGGTCTCAGACATCCACTCCATTCATTTCCCACAGTGATGAAAGTGGAAAATATTCTTGAATGTTTTGCTGCTATGCTAAGGAACAGGAACAGGAGGGGGTAGTTAAACTCACACTGACTTGTGGGCTTCCTAGCAGCATCTAGTTAGCTGCTCTGAGGAACAGAATACTGAATTACAGAAGCCTCCGGTCTGGCTCAGCAAGTCTCTTCTTATGTTAGAACAGGGATGAAATGTCTTGGATACCCTGCTGTTTGCCAATAATCTGTACTTGTCCAGTCATATCTACTCTTCTTCTGGGGAAGTGGCTCATATGTTACATTTATTCCTGACTTTGACCATGCTGGCTTGAGATTCTGAAAGCTGTAATATAAACTCTTCCAGTCTCTTAGGAAATCCCAATAGCATCATTCCTGCTCAACCCTCTTCATCCCACTTCATCACATTTATTAAATACCACTGAGTGCTATATTTAAAATGCGGAAAGCCACTGTTCCCATCACATTGGGTTCACATGTAGGATGCAGCATTCTTTATGTATTTTAAGTGTGGTGGTCCACACTTCTTTTCAAACATTTCAACCCAGTGGTGGGAAAGTGAATTTTTGATAATGATCCGGATGTGTGGCCATTTCTGTCATGCAATGGCATTAGTTACTCCCAGATTTAAAATGAAATGTTTCCTCAATTTGTGAGAAGAGCCAAGCCAATAATTGGGTGCATCTGCACTGGAGAATAAGTGCAGTTGGGACCCACTTTAAATAAGAAAGCTCCATACTATGCAGTCCTAGGAGCAATTGTTTGCCAAGCTCCGTACCCTCCTCTGGGTGCATCTGTACTGGAGAACAAATGCAGTTGGGACCCACTTTAACATAGCTCCATACTATGCAGTATTGGGAGTTATAGTTTCTCAGGGTCTACATCCTTCTCTGTGGGACAGCTGAGAGAGAAAGAGAGGGAGGGCATCACTGCTTTTCCTCCCACCCTGCTTCTGAAATTGAAGACACATAACAACTGACATTTTAAAGAGAGTATATTTTTTCTAAGGGATGGGAAAGATGGTGGACCGGGCCAAATCTTTAAAGTGTGATAGCAAATAAACTAAAAGAATACTGAGTAACATTTAACAGCGTGATGAAGGTAGGGCAATCATCAATTTCATTTCAAAACTGAGCTCTACTATGCCTAACACTTCCCTGTTTCAATGTGATCATCTGGCTTCTTTCTACAAATTTTAGCAGGATGGGTGGAGCAAGGGGCATACCAAAATACCCTATAAAGCACAATAATAATGTCTCAAACCTCTTTTTCCAACTGAAGGGAAGTCTCTTCATTGCATGACATGACTGAGGTAAAATTCCAATACGGATAACAAAACTAGCACAACAAGGATACTTTTTCTGTAAATTGAGGAGAGCTAGGAAGCTTCTCTTCCTTCTCATTTCCTGTTCTTCCTATCCTGTTTTCCATCAGACTATATTTCCCAGCAATCAATGATTGTAGTGCTGTAGATACAGGTTAGGGCCTAAAGGCACCAGGTCATGTCTGATCTTAGAAGCTTAAAAGGGTTAGTTCCGATAAGTACTTTGATGGGAGACTGCCAATAAATATGCTATATTTCAGAGGAAGGAATTGGTAAAATCATCTCTTAAGCATTCCTTGACTAATAAAACTCTATAAAATGCCTGTTTTTTTCTCCTTAAGTTCACATGTGACTTAAAGGCACAAATACACATCTATCACAGGTTAATCTGAACAACCAACAGGCTATCCCTTTGACCAAGCTTAATAGCTCTAGCAACCAGGCAATTTTTAGACAAGCAATTGTTATAGTCTACTATGCAGAAAGAAGTAGACAGAGCAATGGATTTGAAAACCAAGAATATTTGCTGCTTTAAGAGTAGGAGATTTAAGTTCTGTTGACTCTGTAAGAGTGAATGTCAGCTTTCACCAATTATTTAAGAAGCAAAGCCTAATTCTATAGCATTTACAATCACATTAAGCATTTATGTTACTTGTTTCAGCTGAACAAGATTATTATGGTCCCATGCAAAAGTTGAGCCAAATGCTTAGGGAACCCAACAAAGTCATGGATAGACTACAGGGAATGTTGGAATATACTCACCTTAATATCAAGATGTAAGATTCCATGATGATGAAGGTAGTTGATTCCCTCTAGGACCTGCCGCATGTAGGAGCGTATCTGCATGGAGTGTAAGCCACAGTTAATATGATATCAAATCAAGTCCCATGTACTGAATGGAGGAAAATGGATCACCAAACCATAATACTATCTCCACCCCAGATGAAATGGAAATCTGTTTGCCATCCATTAATATTTGATGTTTATTTTACTTAAGTACTTTTTGTCTTTACTGTTCTAATGTAGCACAAATTCTACGTATAATCATACTACGTATTTTTGACATTACTATTGAAATCTGAAATACATCAGATATGCCTTTGTGGGACTTGGTACTACAATTGCTTTGCTCATCCAAAATATTGCTAGGAAAAAGACTGGAGGGAGGCCTTATGAACACTTCTGAACATCTTAGAAGATTTCATTGTCATCAGCTGAGTGACAAAGAATCTGAAGCTCATTGTAGAGACAGAGCTGATGTGAATTATTCATCTGATGCTGAAGGTGGTGTTTCCACGTTATTCTAGATATTGTTCCACTGCCTTCTTCAGACATCCATAAAAGGAGAAGTCCTCTTAGGCTGAGCCTTCTCTTGGAAGTTCCTAGTGATCATAGTAAGGAAACTTTGAGTCAGATATGTCAGTTTCTGCTACTCCAGGATAGAGTTAGCTGGGCCTGGCCTTGGTTGACTATGCTCTGGTAGCATTGTCTCTTGATTACGGCATGAAATGCAGTTGCTCTTGAAGACTCTTCGGAAACTACATTTGGTTCAGAGAGATGTAATGGAGGTACTTGCTGGCAGAGAGAGAAACAGCAACAGTTTTAAGACAACTCACCAGCTCCTTTTTCAGTTTCAAACATAAATGAAAATGTTACTGTGACTTTTAAAGCTCTGAAATGTTTGATCCCTGTTTATCTAAGCATTTCTTATGATACACAAACCAAAGTTTTAGGGCCTTTCTATGAGGCCCCTTGCTATCATAATTAAGAGTTGGTGACTTAAACCAAACTCTGCTGGTGGCTTTGTTCTTAGCTTTTATTTGTTTTTTTTTTAATTACATGCAAACTGTTCTAAAATCCCAATTGAAGAGTGTCTAATGTGTTTCCTAATACATAAATCTTTTCATTGCATGAGCAGATGAGAAGGGACCTGTATTACCTGTATTATTACAGCCTTGAACTTACTTCGGATTCGTTCACGGAAGACTTCCTTGCTATACGTTCCAGTAGTTCATCTCCAGTGCAGCTACACAATCCGTCAAGGAAAACGATATCTAAAATGGTACTATACAGTTTCCTACCATAGAGGCCTGCCCTGTTATCTTCCCACAGCAGTTCCCTAAATTCTGTGTTCATATAGTTGTCAGGTGATCCTGGAAACAGTGTGCATACAAGAAATCTCAGGGCCCTTCCACACAGTCCCTATAACCCAGAATATCAAGGCAGAAAATCCTACAATATCTGTTTTGAACTGGGTTATCTGAGTCTATACTCAGATAATATGAGATTTTCTACCTTGATATTCTGGGATATAGGGCTGTGTGGAAGGTCCCTCAGGTGCCATTTTAGGAGTAAATAGAGAAGAATTGTCCACTGCCTAGATTCAGTGTTCTCACCCAACGAGAACCCAGAAATAGGGCCATCCTGAGTCATGCCGAAGGGGAAAGTCAGCAAAGACAGTTGGGGTATAACAGTCAACAAATAAACTAAGATATATAAATAAAATGGAGGAGGATACAGCTCCATGACAATGATGAGGGCATTTCTTTTCTCAAAGGCATCATGGAAGTAGACAACACGTTCATGGTCAAGCTGAGCTAGGATGCCAAGTTCACGGCGTGCTGATTTCTTGGCTTTGGCACGGCATGGGATGAACTTGGCAGCAAAGGCCAAACCGGAACTCTTCTGGGTCACGCGTCGCACATACGAAAAGGCTCCCCTGGGAAACACACATCAACTGAGAGTCTGCCAAGTAAAGTTCCCTTGCCCCTTCTCCTTGCTTTGGCAGAACTTGGATGTTACACATTACAAACAACTACTTACTTACAATTACTTCCTTTCCCCAGTAAAAATGGTGCAACTATACTATAGTAGTATTGCAACTTTTCAGGTGATTACTTCCTTTCTTTTGCTGTACAGCTGCAAATGTACCAATATTTCCAACAACTACAGCTGCAGAGAACCTGTGCTACACATCAAAGGTCAGCCAACTGCATAGTGAGAGAATGGGTTGGATCAATGCATAAACGAATCCACACTTGTAAATCTTGTCCATAGAGCAATACAGCTCCTGTAAGTGAAATGTGCATCCCTTTCTATGCCAAGAAGCTTTCTAATGGATTTGACTCCACCAAATAAAGGTCCCACCCAACACAGCCACAGCCTATCTTCTTTCCCTTTTGCTGATGGCTTTCTCCTTCTTCCCTCACCTGTTGATCTCCTCATGGACATCATAATAGTCAGCCAGGCGGCGGGCTGTGTGGGACTCTTCCTCTGCCCGTGCAGCATCCGCATCTGCTACAGCTACAAGGAAAGCAGGGGAAAAGGGGGCAGAGAAGGAGAAAAGCAACTGTAAGTAGAAGAAAAGCATTCACTCTGCAACTCCATTCTTGAGTTCCTTCTATCTATAGAATTCCTTCTATCCTATTCCTTCTATCTATAGAATCATATAGAATTTGTTTTGTCCTTATTACAGCTCATTTGGAATCATTAGCCTAATTCATGTTATGAAGAGGAAAATATTTGCAGGAACCTTTAGCAGGGAGTGCACTATCAGAAACTCTTAAGTACGAACCAAGAACCTCTTGGACCTGACTTTAAGTCTCAGTGAGAAAAGACTGTAGCTCTGTGACGGAGTGCACGCTTGGCATGAAAAAAGTCCCAATTTTTGTCAGGTAAGGTCAGTTGCACCCCCAATCTGAGTCCTTGGAGAGCCAGTGTTAGTCAGTGTGTGCACACGTATAAAATAAATAATCCAGCTCTATGGTTTGGTATGACGTAGCTGTTGGAGCATGCAAGGAATCAGTAAGTGTGTGTGTGCCAAATGTAAAATAAGATGCATGAAGCCGATTGGTCAGGCAATGCCTGGGGAGCAGGCTGAGACTGGGACATTTGGTTACTGTTACATTTTTGTTCAGGCTTGAGCTAAGCAGGTGCAGAGAGAGAAGAAAGAAGAAGCAGAGAGATAATTTGGAGTGTGTTCTTGCTTCATGAGCTGTTGCAGGCATTTATCTACATGGACAAAAGAAATACTATTTTAAATCTCTCATAAAAGCACATTATGGGAGTGCTGTGATTGATCACACTGTAAATATGTTGTTCTGAACTATTAGTAAATATGTTGTTCTGAACAATAAAGAACAAGTAAACTACTTGTTCTTTATTGTTCATCTGTGTGGCATATTTTCTTTCTCTGACAAGACAGTGTGTGGGCTGATCAAATGTGAACTACACGTGGTTTATTTTACATTACGCCACAGTAGCCTCCTTTATCCTTCTACATGTGCAACTAGTCCTGAGGGGATATATTCCTTCAGGGACAAGAGGTAATATATCGTTGCTGGAGTAGAAGACTGCTAACGGTTTGTGATCTGCTTATGGATATGCTATGGTCTCCTGATTGGCACTGTGGGAAGAGAACACTGGGCTAAATAGGTCTGATCAATCACATCTCTTTTAAAATTTAATATATCTTCTGTGGTTGTAAAGCAGTCTCTGGCTTGGCCAGTATTACTCTTCATACCACAGGAGTCTAGCCCCTGCATGGTTAAAACAATGGCACTTTATGCATGATGAACTATAACCTTTAGCTCCAGCAAGAGACCTCAGGAACACTGGGTTTGATGGTCCATATTCTAGATCTGGATTGAAGATGTATCACCAAAGAACTCTAGCTGCGTTCTAACACTCACTATATAATTATAATAATAATAACAATAATAACAACAATATTGCTCAGTAGTAGACCACCATCAATTCTCAACCCTACTTGGGGAGTCCTGCTGCCTGGTGCTACCTATAAGCTAACAACTGGCAGCTCTTTTGGCTAGTATGATATCACCTACCTGCACGAACTACAAGCTCAGCTTTGCAAGACACTTCTCCAGCCACGTTGCGTGCAATACATGTGTAAACCCCACTGTCTTGCTCTGTGGTGTTCAGTATCACTAGTGAGCATTCACTTTCCTCATACACAAAACTCAGGTGGTTGCTTTCAGTCAGGAGCACCTCATCCTATTGGAGACATATTGGGACAAAAATATTTGCAAACAGGGGGTTAGGCAACTAGTAATCCTCCAGATATGAGGCCACAGCCCCCCCCCCCCCCCCCCCCCCCCCCCCCCCCCCGCCCCCAACCCTTACTACTGGCTATGCACACTATGGCTGATGTCTGTTCCATTCTGACAACATTCAGAGTCAAAAGTTGCTCACTGCTGGGTTAGAGAAATGGCCACCGAGGGTTTCCCCTTGTTGTGCTTTTACAAGCCTGCTGCAGGAAGACAATGCTCCTTCATGAGATTCTCCACTCAAGTTTTCTTCATCTTTCCCCAACTGCTTCTCTCTCTGGGAAAGTCACCCCAACCTCTCCACCATTATTCATGGTTCAGGAATGAGTGGCTAACTTCCAGAACCTTAGACTTCAGACAGGCAAAATGCAAGCACAGTCTGGCTATCCACCTCAAAGTGCAGAAGGCTCATGTCCCCATCAAAGCTCTTAGTCTCACTACACTGTGTCATATCAAGAAAACCTAGAATGCATCTGAGTTGTGGGACAGGGGAGGGGCTGAGCATAAGAGATGACCAGTGAGAGGAACTTATATGATGATCATCAAAAAGCTGCATAAGATGAGGCTTTAAAAATCTTCAGTGAAAGACAACCATAGCAGTCTCCTTCAGATCTGGGCCCACACTTACCTTGTACCACATGATGTCTGGAAGGGGTTTTCCCTCTACAACTACAGCAAACTGTGGGGTCTCACCCACACCAACTTCAATGTCTTCCATGATTGATTCAAAGCGGGGTGCCTCTGGGGATAGGAACACAAGCTGCTGAAGCAGGAGAAGACCTACTAAGTTCATTAATTAAAGTTCACCAACCTCACACCCACCACTACATGCAAGTCTATTTCCTTCTTTTCCTGCTTCAGTCTATTGATATATAGTCTAAAGCAGAAGTTATCAACCTGTGGGTCCCCAGGTGTTTTGGCCTACAACTCCCAGAAATCCCAGCCAGTTTACCAGCTGTTAGGATTTCTGGGAGCTGAAGGCAAAAACATCTGGGAACACACAGGTTGAGAACCGCTGGTCTAAAGGCAACAAGCCATGGGAGCAAGAACCTCTAACAACGCACCACTGCTCATATGTGTGACCGTGGCTCTGCCCCATATTATGAGAATGCCTTGTATCCCAATAAGGATGTGGGACATGATTCCCAGGGAAGGTATTGTTCTCAGAGTATGAACTTGAGGTGATGGTGGAGCAAGAATTTAGGGCAATCTGAGCATCCCATACCTGCTAGTTCCAAGTTGATGAAGCAGTGGTCATATCCATGCTGGTTGCTCACCTCACAGGTCATTTCCCCCACATCCCCCCTACCCACTCGGACAAATCGTATAGAGTGTTGGTCATCATCAGGCATGCTCATCTCCCAGTTGGGATCACCATCCTTCAAGACCACACCAGACCTGGGAAAGATGAGAAAGAAGAAAAGTACAGGATGGGAAGCTATGAATTTTACCAGTTCAGTCTAAGCCCTCTATCAGAGAGCTTTGTTGGCTGCCTCCATGGCTTCTCAGCTGCCTTAATCCCTAACCAAGGTGCCTCAGGCTCCATCTACACTACCATATAATCCAGTTTCTGAATGCAGATTATGTGCTTTATACTGGATTATATGGCAGTTGGTAGATGGGACCTTAGCAACAGACCTTGAAAAAATTCTGCCTTAGATTAGACCTCTCAGAATCCTGCAACTCACACAGACCAATAGCTGCTTAAGGAAATTTGAGGAGTTGCACTAAAAAACCTTTTCCAAACTTTGTGCATCAATAAGAATTCACCTCATGCTTTTCCAGACTCTTAAGTCAATGTTCTTGAGGAGAAACACAGCATATTGCATGAACAGTGGTGATGATTCACAATATCTCTTTATTGTTGTTGTTTAAATTATTTATTGGAAAACCCATCTTCTCTGCCTTTTAGTGCTTATGCACCACTCGGGGCAGCTAACAGCAATTAAAACTCACAATAAAGCACAATAAAATCCAAAACAGCAGCAACAGCAGTATAACAAAAACAGACAGCTGCAGCCGATAAAACACATTACCTGGAAACAATAACATCAGCAAAACAAGAAGCTGTTCAGGCACACCTAAAGCTGAAATTGCATGATATAAAATATTTGTTACAATTCTTTATATAGTCTTTAAATTAAAAGATGAAAATCACTATCGCTTTGTTTCCCAAACCCTGTAATTGTGTAGAGACACTTACACTCATTAGATTACACCTACAATGTTTGTAGCATCATAAACCCAAGAGCATAAATATGAGAAACACAAAGTGCAGACACATGAATCAGAGAAGTGTACTCACAAGGGAGCACACCATGACAGGCTACAACACTTTGATGAGTGTACACCCGGTTGTAAATGTACAAACCTAGGTTTGCCTACAAAAAAAATGGATCTTTATCCAGTGAATACTTTGGGGACATAACGAATCTCAAATTAATGACATCAAGCATTCTGAACTCAAAGAATTGAACAGGATCTAGATAACAACAATAATGACAGCATATAAAAGTAACCAAGAAATCACAGTAAAAACTGCCCTGGGATACATCCTTCACCATTCCTTCTTGTCTTTCCCTTTCTCTCTTCATCATCTCCCAAAGACTGGGCATCCTCTTAGCCAGTCGTTCTCAACCTGCCACTTTACCAGCTGTTAGGATTTCTGGGAGTTGAAGGCCAAAACCTCTGGGGACCCACAGGTTGAGAACCACTGCTCTTAGCATTAGTTTAGTCTCTTTCACAATAGCATTATGATTCAACTTTAACTGCTATAGTTCCAGCCAGGAGGAATGCTTAGCATTCTCAGCCCAAGAGGTCTAGGATCTTCCCAAACTACAAATCCCAGGATTCCAGATGATGGAGCCATGGCAACTCACATAATATCAGAATACTACTATTGAATAGTATGAAAATACTCCTCATAGCATCCCCAATAATATGGGTGGAGGGAGTACAATGAGCTACATATACGACTGCCAAGTGGAGGGCTGCCCTACCTCCTCCAGGTAACAGCAACCTCTACGTGATTGAGGGTTACTGTAATACAGGCTGATTGGCCCTCTACCGCATACATCACATCTGGTTTGTCCAGGATTATGGGGGCCTCTTCCAAGTAAGGACCTGCAAGCACAAGTCACCAAAGTAAGAAGAATTAGGACCAAGAAAGTCAGATTGCTGTTCTAGACCTGGAGTGAGCAACTGCAGTGGGTACAGGAGTGGGTTTTGTGCCTTCAGGCTGCCCCAAGTAAAAACCAAATCTAAGCAAATAGTGGTTGCTAGGGAAGGCAATAACCCCACACATACACATACTTTGTGCCAGAAAAGGAGCAGGGTTCAAGGGTTCATAAACAGCTCATGAGTGGGAGGAGCTGAATACATACACTCCAACTATCCTGGTTTGGCAGGAATAGTCCTAATTAATCCTCCATTGGTCCCACTTCTTTCAGCTGCTTTTAAAATGTCCATAGTTTCTTCTCTTACCGGCTTCTTCCTTTCTTGGATTACTTTGGTTGCTTCCATCTGAAGCTGGATCAATACTACCATATAATGCAGACTCTGAATCCAGATAATCTGCTTGTAAATGGATAATCCAGTTCAAAGTAGATCATCTAGATTCGGAAACTGGATGGTATGGTATAGATCAGTGTTTCTCAACCTTCCCCTTAATACAGGTCCTCATGTTGTAGTGACTCCCAACCATAAAATTATTTTCGTTGCTACTTTGTAACTATTGTTTTACTACTGTAAATATCTTATATGCAGGATGTATTTTCATTAGCTGGACCAAATTTGGCACAAATACCCAATATGCCCAAATTTGAATACTTGTAAGATTGGGGGGATTGATTTTGCCATTTGGGAGTTGTAGTTGCTGGGATTTATAGTTAAGTTACAATCAAAGAGCATTTTGAATTCAACCAAGGATGGAATTGAACAAACTCGGCACATAGAATTCCCATGACCAACAGAAAATACTGGAAGGGTTTGGTGGGCTTTGACCTTGAGTTTGGGAGTTGTAGTTCACCTACATCCAGAGAACACTGTGGACTCAAACAATAATGGATTTGGACTAAACTTGGACTAAACTTGGCTCGAATGCTTAATATACCCAAATGTGGACACTGTTGGAGTTTATGGAAAATAGACCTTAATATTCGGAAGTTGTAGTTGCTGGGATTGATAGTTCACCTACAATCAAAGAGTATTCTGAACCCCAGCATTGACAGAATTGGGCCAAACTTCCTAAACAGGACCCCATTACCAACAGAAAATACTGTTTTCTTATGGTCTTTAGCAACCCCTCTGGCACCCCCTCGTGACTCCCCCAAGGGCCCCGACCCCCAAGTTGAGGAACGCTGGTATAGATCCAGCCTGGGTTTAAAGTTCCAAGTACTTTGATACTCAATTAATTTAGTTGGAGGTGAGAGGAGAACAAAAAGTTGGAATCTTTCCCTTCCCAGTGGGCTCTGACAAAAGCAAACTGCTGCAGCACTTCGCCACACGTGTCCTTGTTTTCATCTGTGATATATGGGAGGGTGTATGAATGCATCATTTATATATGAGACCAAGTTCATCCAAATCATACCTATTTTGTTCTTGATACTAGGTTTCTTTACAAGCACAACTCTTTTCCAATAAATTGTTTTACCAGTGGTTCTTTCCTTGAATCCTGGAAACTGCAGTACCATGAGGGCATTCACAGCATCCTCACCAGTCTACTGTTTCAAAGATTATTTAGGGAAAGCCAAATTGACAGCCCCTTTATGCACTTTCTGGAAAATGCAGATTGAAACAAAAATGTTTTAAATGTATTTAAATGATGAAACTCTAGATATATCTTGCAAGAGAAAGTTTCAAAATGAGGTCATCACTGAAACACCCCATCTCGAGTGCCCACAACTCTAGCATACATTTTACAAAATCGAATTCATTATATAGCATGGGCAAACTTCGGCCCTCCAGGTGTTTTGGACTTCAACTCCCACAATTCCTAACAGCCTACCGACTATTAGGAATTGTGGGAGTTGAAGTCCAAAACACCTGGAGGGCTGAAGTTTGCCCATGCCTGTTATATAGGAACCTATTTCCATAAAGCTTTAATACTACTACTAGCATTTGTCGTGAGTAGAAGGGAAAATTTCCCATGACCTTTAAGATGATGATGAGACAAGCTAAAAATAAATGGTTTTATGTGTTTTGGAACCTTCAGTTGCTAATAATGCTTATATAAATGTTCGACACCCAGAGAGGCGGGGGAATTTAAAAGGTAAGGTCCGTGAATTTACATTTAAACAGAAGAACAACCACAAAATTGCTGCAGAAAGCAAGTTTTCCTGACAGAGAAAATATTCATGGATTTTGTTTTTCCTGCAGAGTCTGGAGAAATAGCAGCATCAAATAGATTAGATTTTTAATCTTTAGTACTGAACCTTGGGCTTTTGTAAACCCTATAAACTAATTAAAACAACAGACAAGAAAGCAAGAGGTTAAAAATGCAACATTTTTCTTCTGTTCCCATAAATACTTTTGACCATTGGCCTCCTCAGTCATTCTGTATAAAAATAAATTTAATTTAATGGCAGATAGGTTGGACAAGGATGGAAACATCCAATATTCAAATCCCCATTCTGTCAGTAGAAAGCTGCATGGTTTGTCCAAAATTTTACTTTTCTAGCATTTGTAAATGGTGAACAAGGACCCTCTTTTACTTTAGTTGAAGCAGAGGGGTGGAGAGACAGAGTCGTCTCCAGTTTCCTCTTTCTTCTTTAACTACCTCATCACACTAGAGAATAAATCCACTTTAAATCTGGTTTCTGCCTCCTGCAGAATTTTGAGGTTTGTAGTTTAGGGAGGAGCCTTCACAGCCTTACTAAAACAAAAATCCCAGAATTCTGCAGGAGGCAGAAACCAGATTTAAAGTGGATTCATTCTCTAGTGTAATGAGTGAGTCCGAGTCAATGTTTCTATATGTATTTCATATTGTGCTCACGCCTATGTTTTGTTTTTAGACACTTTTTGTCACTGTAAGCCTCCCCGGGTCCCTTTGGGGAGATGGTGGTGGGATATAAGAATAAAGTTGTTGTTGTTACTACTACTACTACTGCTACTACTACTTCCACCTCTGGCCTTTCCTCTTTCTCCCCTGCTTTCATGTCAGCTTACCACGGTCAAGGAGCTGCACAGGCTCAGAGGATGGAGAGGGCTTGCTGTTGGTTTTGGCTGTTGTTGTGAGTACACGAAACATATACCGGATCCCCTTTTTCAGAGCAAGAACAGTGTAGGTTGTGTGACGCACACCCGTGGCAAAAACTGTCCAGTGGCTGGTACCCAGGACCTGTTGCTGGAGGGTATAGGTCACAGTGGCAGGGTCTGAGGACAGGATAAGAAAGACATTCCAATACAAGACAATAAGACTACGGACCACACACTCGGAGGACATTACCACACACTTGCCATTATCCTGCAAACTGGGATAGCAGCAACTTGCCATCACACAGTTGTTGGCATTGTGCAATTGTGGTGCCTCAACTGTGCAAATTTGCACTTCTGGATGGGCAGTGTAACTTTTCCCTTTTGCTGTGTCACTTTCCTTTCTTTCTTTAAAAAAATAGAGTCCTAACTCTAGACTTTATTGCACACCTTCATGCAATACAGTGTGGAGTTAGGACTCTGTGCTTTACACCCCAAAAGTGCTTCATGGACTTGTTTGTATGAGGATATGGCAATCTTTGCCATTGTTTTAAAAAGAGAAAAATACATTGTTTCTCCCCTAAAAACTTGTTACTACCTTTTAAATCCCCACGAATAACAGTTTTTGGTAATATCACAAGTAGTTTTTAGTCTCTGTTGGTTTCAAACATATGCCTGGAATGCATGTGCAGTATCTACTGAAATCTTCAAGTAGCTGAATATGATTGGGGTGGGAGGAAAGGCTTCAGATTGCCTTTTCCAGAGCAAAAGACTTGCACAGGCTATTCTATGGCTATTAGGGCCCCCTGGTAGCACAGCAGGTTAAACCACTGAGCTGCTGAATTTGCTGACCAAAAGGTTGGTGGTTCGAATTCAGGGAGCGGGGTGAGCTCCCAGTGTTAACCCCAGTTTCTACTAACCTAGCAATTCGAAAACATGCAAGTATGAGTAGATCAATAGGTACCACTTCTGCGGGAAGGCAAAGGCACTCCATGCAGTCATGCTAGCCACATGACCTAGGAGGTGTCTATGGAAAACGCCGGCTCTTTGGTTTAGAAATGAAGATGAGCACCACCCCCAGTGTTGGACACGACTAGACTTAATGTCAGGGGAAATCTTTACCTTTTAATGGCTAGTAGAATCAGAATGAATTATGTGGAACATTAACAAAATAACACTGTGTATATTTGCCTATAGACTGTACAGGCTACATAATCCAGAATTTCTTGAATCAGATTTGTTTGGGAGTGGGTAAGACTTGATAAAGCCTGGCAAAAACTGATCAGTGCTCATTTTAACACACTTTCTAATTAATTTATGAAAATATGTAATGTCCTCATGCCTACCAGTAGCACACAGAGTGAGTGGGCTGTAGAACAATACAACAGTAGCAGCTGTCAGTTGCTGTGGGCTTTGTTTGCGATGCAAGTACTGTGCCAGGTTGTGTATGGATCTGCCCAGTAACAAATGCCAGCCTTCTCAGCAGAGCTGTATTGCTTCATTAAAATATAACACTAAGCCTACAGCATAAAGCATCTAGAATTCATATTTTGTGACTTCTTCATATGCAAGATGAAGTATCTTGGAAACCTTTTTCATCATCTCACTTCACACTAACTCGTCTTTTTTGCTTACCAATGGCCGAATCAAGCCACTTGGGCTTGTTCCACTTCAGTGTGACAGCCCGGCCAGTGACAGAAACTATGGAAGGTGGCCCATCAGGGGGTGTGGGCACCACATCTGTAAGGCAAAGCATGGAGACTGAGCATCCTCAGAGAACATAGCAAGAGGCAAGATGGTCTGCTTTCTAATCTGAAATCACACTTCCACCTCCTCCTCCCTCTCCACTTTAGTACTTATTTTCAATTAGTGGGTGCTTCAGTCACTTTCATAAGAGAGGCACCAAGGACATTATAGGCTCTCTCACATATCAGGAAATGAAAACTGACAGCCATCAGAAAACATGCAGTATCAGAAAAGCATTTTCATCAAAGAATCGGAATTGCCTGCAGCTAGTGCCAGGGAGGCTGGCAGAAGCTATGTCACAACAGCTGTGAAGGTGTGTACCTAGCCCAGCCTTTTCCAAATTTGATGTCCTGCATATGTTTGAGCTAGTTTCCATCACCCCCAATCATGCATGGTAGGAGCTTCCTCCATTGTTTTCTATCCTTACCTGTGACATAGAGGTGTGCATAGCAGGTGGCTTTACCCACTTTGTTGGCAATGACACTTTTATAGACTCCAGCATGAACATGACTGACAGAGGGGAAGACCAAGCGGTGCACATCTTTGTCTGTCAAGGTTAGAAGAGTTGGGTGGGGAGAGAAAGGGTTACATGGTCCTTCTAGGAAAGATCAAGAGTACACATACACAAGTGGATAGCAGGTATGAGTCTGGGAAAATAAGTAAGAGATATGAGTTGGGAGAGAAATGGAATCTTAGAATCACAGAGCTGGAAGAGGCCTTGTGGGCCATCCAATCCAACCCCCTGCTAAGAAGCAGGAAAATGGCATTCAAAGAACCCCTGACAGATGGCCATCCAGCCTTTGTTCAAAAGCCTCCAAAGAAGGAGCCTCCACCACACTCCAGGGCAGAGAGTTCCATTGCTGAACAGCTCTCACAGTCAGGAAGTTCTTCCTCACATTCAGGTAGAATCTCCTTTCCTGTAGTTTGAAGCCATTGTTCTGCGTCCTAAACCCCCAGTGCAGCAGAAAACAAGCCTCTTCCTTCTCCCCTATGACTTCCCCTCACATATTTATCCATGACCCTCATCATGTCTCCTCTCAGCTTTCTCTTCTGCAGGCTAAACATGCCCAGCTCTTTAAGCCACTCCTCATAGGGCTTGTTCTCCAGACCCTTGATCATTTTAGTCGCTCTCCTCTGTACACATTCCAGCTTGTCAACATCTCCCTTCAATTGCGGTGCCCAGAATTGGACCCAGAGTGATTCTGACCAAGGCAGAATAGAGGGGTAGCATGACTTCCCTGGTAACTTATAGGTACTAATGTTGTTTTACAGACCTGGTGAGGGTAAGGCGGGCATAAACAATTCTACCTTTTGGATCACAGTTCTTAGAATTCTCCTGCCAGCATGATCTGTGGCCATGATAGCTAGTAGGTTCTCAGAACTGTATTTTTTAAAATGCTGGTTTGGTCCAGGTTGATAAAGGTGGCATTCCTGGTGGACACTATATCTCAAATTGCCATGTGGTATGATGTGGCAGCAGGAACAAGTAGAAGAGTTCCAATAAAGATGTAAATAGAGACGCAAACAAAATCTAATCTAAACTGAGCACAGTGCTTCCGCAGGTTATTAAGGATTTGCCCTGCCTCATTTATGAAGAGCTACAAGGAAACAATAATTATACCATTTCCAATTCTCCAGTATTTTCCCAACAGTACTGCATTTCTGACCACAAATATCTATAAATGAAAATATATTATAGATGCATGTTTTCTTCAAAAAAACAAAAACAAAAAACAAATAGTAGCATTAGGAGCCAACCATCTGGAAACTTAGCAGATGCTATACAAGCAGGAACACGGTCATCCATTTTCATGGGTATTTGGCAGGGTTGGCCCCAAACATTTTACTGCCTGAGGGAAAGGACAAGATGACACTCACCTCCATAAAGAAGCTGGCAGAAATAGCTGTGAAAATCTAACTTAAAGCACTCTTGATGAGATAGCAGCATCCTTCACACCTGAGAGCAGCAAGCTAGTTTACAGTGTGAAGGACAAACAATATGGCACATATAGCTCTGTCCTCCAAGATCAGTGGGGATGGGAAGCCAGAAAACTACCTGTACTGTCAATAATACTTACTACCTGAAATGCCTATCTAATTCTAATGCTAGGGCCATTGCCAACAGGAAAGCATTTCTATAGATCATCCCCATATTTATTTGTGATAAGAGGAGATGGGCAACATTTAATTTTAGTGTTTCATGTACCAATATATGTCGATACCTTGCTTCATTTGAGTACTGCCTTCTATTAGCTTGCAGTAAGAAAGAGCTCAGTCGGCACCCCAATTTCCACTGTGGCTCTTATGTCTGGGCTGATGCCAGAGGTTGGCATGCTCAAGCATTTGCTGTATCTCTTGGGCCACACAGGGCACCCACTGTTAAGATATCTCAATCATTTCCCAGCCTTTCTCTTCACCACTGTCCCCAGCCCACTTGCTTGTTCTTTTCTTCAGGCTGCAAAGGGATGGGCATGAAAAAAGATGGGAGAGGAGCAGGCACCAAAGCTTGCATAGCTACCCATCTTTTTTCCCTGGCAGTAACCAGCCAAGCAATGGTGTTCAGCAGGAGCTTCAGCTGATAGCAAGGTGAGCCAGGAGGCATATTAAGGGTGCCTAGCTCAAAGGTATTTCTCCAAGCCTTTGAGCCAGCCCTGTTCCACATGGCAATTCCTGTCCATGTGTGTGTGTGTGGCAGGGGGAATCAAAGGATGAAGCATACACTGCATCATCCTGCGATCATCGGTGCTCTCAATGCGCCAGCCATTGTGGAACCAGGTGATGGCGGGGTAGGGCAGCCCAGCTACTTGGCACTCTAGGATGGCCTCCTTGGATTCCACCACATCCAGGTCATGCAATGGCCGCAAGAAGTCTGGCATGGTGAACCGTTCCACTTCACTCTCCCCTTGCTCTGGCTCCTCGGGGATGGAGGGCATCTTCTCCAGCTTGGAGCTGAAAGAGAAAGGGAGACATCTAACCAACAGTAGTCAGCTCTGACACAAAGCAGCTACCTGCCATGCTCATGGGGCACATCATAGCAGACCATAAAGGATTATCCCAGAGAGAAAGGACCCGTCCACATAGCCCTATATCTCAGAATATCAAGGCACAAAATCCCGCAATATCTGCTTTGAACTGGGTTATCTGAGTCCACACTCAGATAATGTGGGATTTTGTGCCTTGATATTCTGGGATATAGGGCTGTGTGGAAGGGCCCAAAGTTACTTCTTTGTTGGTGGTGGTGAGCAAAGGGAAGTCTGGGCCACCAGCCATTTCTGTGGCCCTTGATCTCTCAAAGCTCTCCATCACCATTCTTTTGTTGGCTAGAAAGGTATGCATTTCCTCTTTATCAAGCATTTAAGACTGGAAATTCACTGTTTGAATATGTTTATGTCATCTTCCCATCCATAAAGGTTTTCCCTTGAAATTAGGTCTAGTCATGTCTGATTCTGGGGAGTGTTGCTTATCTCCATTTTTAAGCCAAAGTGTCTAAGGCATTGTCCATAGACACTTCCAAAGTCATGTGGCCAGCATGACTACATGGAGTGCTGTTATCCTCCCGCCAAAGCAGTACCTATTGATCTACTAACATTGGCATGTTTTTGAACTGCTAGTTGGCAGAAGCTGGGGCTAACAGCAGGAGCTTACCCTGCTCCCCGCTTTGGACCATCGACCTTTTAGTCAGCAAGTTTAGCAGCTCAGAGGTATTAACCTGCTGCACCACTGAGGTCTCCTTCCCATCCATACTGTTTTTTAAAAAGTATACTTCTTACAAATCAGAAATGGACTTCCAACCAAATAAGCAGGGAGTGGAAGGAAAGAGGTATTTCAGGTTTTCTTTTTGGCACTTTTGGCAGTCATGTATCCAGAAAGAACTCCCAAAATTGGCCTCTGGGCCTGCTTCAATTGCCCACCCTTGTTCTAACCTGATGGACCACAGGGAAAACCACCTTTCTGAGCAACCCAAGGTCATGTTTCACAAGAATAACCATGGCAAGATGTTCTAAACAAAATATTAATAATATAATGACTTTATTTTTGTACCCCGCCTCCATCTCTCCGAAGGGACTCAGGGTGGCTTACAAGGGGCCAAAAATGCAGCAGCTCAAAAGAAGGGGAAGCCAACAAGAAGGGAAGATTCCATATGAACACTCCCTGAGTGCGGGAAGGAGGGGAGATTAAAGGGGAAAACTCAGAAGTAAGAATTGGGCTGGCAAAAGTATGTGAATTGCAGAATGATGGCTAGGTCGATCTCATCCTGCTGTGGGAGGATGGGACTGAGAAAGAGACTTGAGAATCCCAACTGTTTGGTTTAGCAACCAAATTACTAAATCATTAAGGATGCAAAGAGAAATCAGCTGGGGAATACAAGCAGCTTTATAAATAGAAAATTATAGGGAACTCCAGCCTTGGAGTAATAGACACCCTGTTTAATTTAATCTGCATATTGCATGCTGTCTCATGGCTACCAAAAATTGTTCTTTATAATTACAGGAGCGGTTTTTGCCAGCCACAGGACAGTATGCTGATTGCATTAAATGGGGCACTATATTGCATAGATATAGTGTAATCACTTCAGGACTCTCTCCACATTTAGGAGGAATGGAAAATGTTTGCCTCTAATGAAAATTGAGCTGTTTGTGCAATCAAGCCAATGTCCTTTTTTGCCTGGGTAATACTTCTCACTCTTCTGGACAGCCAGATAACTGTTTGTTTTTATGTGGTGCCAGAGATATCTGTTATTCTCTGTTGCAACTGATTAACTCTCCCGGTTCTCCTCTATGTTACATATAATGAGTTCAATTGGCCTTAATATCAAATGTCTTTATTTCGTCTCACTAATGTCCCTCTTTTTAAGCGTGCTATTTATAGCTGCTGATGCGTATGTGCTCTGAAGAGTGTGTGCATTTCCAAAACCTGGAACTGGATAACCCTGAGGAAGCCTGTGAGGGCTGCAAGCAAGATCATTCCCCAAAAGGCTGAAATATACCCCATGTTTGTGTGGCTTTGTCTGTATGTGTGTGCTTGGGAGCCACTGTGATAGAGACTACATTCCAGAGAGCTGCATGTGAGTTTGGGCCAGTGAGAACAGCGGCTGTATCTGGTTCTCATGAATAGAGTGACTCCCAAATTTAGCAATTTGGGAAAGGGTTGTAAGGGCATCATTCATTCACTTGTGTCAACAGAGCAATCCATTTAAGAGGAAGGAAATAGTATTACTTTGCAGTCTTGCTCAATGGGACGCATATAGTAATATGTGCCACCAGAAATGCTGGCTGGCTGATGGATCTCTTGGTCCAAAACATCCAAAAGGGTTCCAGGTTTTAGGTAAGGCTCCTACATAAGAACAATTTCTAGCTATTCATTGTCTAATATTGCACCAGAGCTGGGAGGGAAGATCTGGGTAGGTAGAAGCCAAAGAAAACAAAGCCCTCCACATTAACTTGGGTTAGGGGCACAGGACCCTTGCAAAAATGGGAAAACTGCAAGTAAAAAAACCCCCAATTTTTGCCCACTTTTTGCTCTCTAAGAATCTATAGGCCCTGCAGCACAACTCTGTGGTCAATATCTGCCAGAAGATTGAATCATGCTGGAGGACCTACAAATATGCAGATAAGTGTTGTCTATGAATCTTTAGGTTCTCTAATGCAAAAGTTGACTGGAGGGCATAGAGAGAACATATTAGTGAAATCTGCGAATACTCAAATCTGCCAAAGTGAAACCTCCAAATGTGGATGGCTGACACCCCAGAAATATTATTCAAACCACAGCTAGAGCATGGTTTGAATCAGAGGACAGAGGTTATACCAACATAACCAAAGTACAATATGGGCCTATCTCATGGTGGCGCCTTTGCCATCCATGTCTGCCAGTTAATGGTCCATTTCAACAACTACTATTCTACTCAACCACCTTTCCTTCTTCTTACACTCACATCTGGGAGCTGGCTGCTGGACGTGGCTCCTCCACATACAGGTCTGCAGTACACTCCGCTCTGCCGTGCTTGTTGTGGGCAGTCACACCATACTGTCCCTCATCCTCAGATCTCACGTGAAGGAGGACCAGGGAGTGCAGCCCTCCATCCTTGTAGACACGTACTGTTTCCCCCTCTTGCACAGACTGACCTGTATCAGACATACCATGGTCAGAATGTGGCCAAGGAGAAGGAAATACACACAGAGAGACTCACACTTGACAGAAGTGAGTCCCATTCCATCATCTGGAAGACCAAACATTTCTCACCCCCAAATGACAGCATTTGGACCACTGAAGGGAAAAGAAAAACACAAATCAAAAGGAAGTCAACAACAATAGAGGATAGAATTACCTTGGCGCCTTCCAGAAATACCAGGGTGAGAGGTATCTTGGAGATGATGACAGAGCAGCAGCTAAGGCATATTGTGCTACATACAAAAGCTTCACTGCAACCATTGTAGAGAGTTTTTCCATCATCAACCTCTAGACCAGTGGTTCTCAACCTGTGGGTCCCCAGGTGTATTGACCTACAACTCCAAAATACCCCAACCACTTTCCCAGCTGTTAGGATTTCTAGGAGTTGAAGGCCAAAACATCTGGAGATCCACAGTTTGAGAACCACTGCTCTAGACCAACAACAGACTGCCATGTCACTCAGAACTATGGCTAGGTTCAGAGGTGGGAATGAGATATACATAGGTTTAGACCTACCATGCACTTGAGAATCTTTTGATTTGATCACTGCGTCATCAGGGCTAATGTCAATAGATGAGAAACAGTCTTGTACATATTTATCCTTCCGCTGCAGTCAAGATGACTTGAATTTAGAATATCAAATATTCAAAAGTCTCCTCTAATAGGGACAGATGAATCTATCTGTATTGCTTCCTCCCACATTCAATTTGTTGCAGTCTCTGCTTCTTCCACTCAAATTCCAAAACTGGCAATGTCTTGGTCAAATTCAATGCAGTATAAAATAGGTCATGTTGTAGCTGCCTGCCATATAACTGTTTATGATGAGAAGCCTGTCAGAGAAAAGGTTTTGGCAACCCTAGCATGGCTGAATGGTTGAAAATTCAACACTGAATCTCTCTGCTTGGACAGATGAATCTGGCCATTGATTTTTTTAAAAAAATACTCTAATTTTTTGAGTCCATTGTAAGGGAAGATTCCAACTTCTGGAAAGATATTATGGGAAAAAATGAACCAAATGACATTCTCATCCATCCCAAATTGAGACAATTACCAAATCGTGTCCAGGCAGTGGTTGGTGGCGGGTCCCCACTGATCTTGCAGTCAAACCGTGCTGCACGTCCTTCCACTACAGCCACGGACTCAAGTTTGCGGGTGAAGAGTGGCTGCCGTGAAGGCCCGACCGTCAGCTTGGCACTGCATGTCAGCTCATCTGTAAAGCATAGCAAATGGTCAGCTACCCATGCCCAGAGGGCCCAGAGAACAACTTCTACTTCTTGTCTAAAGGGTTCAGTATCACAAGAGACAACAGCTTGTGAGAGAAGCTTGTCCTTATTTTCTTGAACTTGGATGATTGCAAGAATATTTGTGCTCATGAAGTACAGAGGGCAAAACATAGAAGGAACGACTATAGGAGAAGTTTGGGATATTAAGAAAAAAAGAGGGCGAGGATTTGTAGGATTAAGAATTCTTTGCTGAAGCTGTTTTATTGTTGTTTGGTGCCTTGAAGTCATTTCCTATTTATGCTGACCCACAAAGCAAACCTAACACAGAATGTTCTTGGCAAGATTTCTTCAGAGGAGGTTTACCTTCCTCTAAGGGCCCATCCAGACAGTACCTTTATCCCAGAAGCTTCCACAGCAAAAAAGAGGGTGGCCAGACACCGTTCCCTGTAAACACGGAAGCAATTGCTACAAAAGGCAAAAAATGCGAGATTTCCAGGTGCGGGAATATCACGGGCTTTAGCTGAATATGCGGATCTTTGCATATCTGTATGGGTATGCCCCTTCAGTTGGAAATCATGGGATTTTATATCTGGTTTTGTTCCTGATTGGTCAGTTCCTAAAAAGTAGTTAACACTTGAGTAGAAAGCAAAAACTTTGTGTGCCAGAAACTTCATGAAATGTGTGGAGGGCACATTTTCTTTGGCCAGGACAAAAAAATGAAACTTTTGCAGTGATTCACTGCAGTGATTCTCCGCATATCCACATCTCAAAGTTTTTTTAAAAAACTTCTGAAGTTTCCAGCAGAACTTCAACGGCAGCCATCTTGGGAGCCTCTAAATCTCATAACAAAGCATCAAGTCTGGACAATGGAGGCAGAAATCCCAGGGCCAACAGGTCTATATGTGGACCTCTTCTGGAGTCCCAGGATTTTTTGCCCATGTTTAAAACCTGTGGTTTAGTGCTGTTTGGAAGCACCCTAAACTGGGAGGAATAAAGTAAGTTCTGCTTATTTGCTGCGGTTAGGGGCAGAGAAATTCTGCAAAAGTGGGAATACTACCAAAAAAAACCCACACTCTTTTTTTAAATCTATGAGAACATTTTTCTAGGAATCTCTAGGTCTTCCAGCAGGACTCTATGCACAATTTCCACCAGATGTTGACCATAGTATCACACTGGGGGAGCTAGAAATTCCTAGAGAAACTAATCTGTGAATAATCAAACCTGGAGAAAGTACATTCCGCAAATGTGGAGGGACAACGGTATAAGCTACTACTAAGTCACAAATGAACTATTTCTAGCTCCCAGTATCTCTATTTTTTCTCAGGATTGTCATAAGATATTCCAACTTAACTAAACATTTTCTGATCTACAGAAATGAATCATCAAACATTTTTCTCCTCATATAATATCTCAATGCCAAGAAAATCTTCATCTGCTATATGTCTGCTTATGAGATTTCCGTTAAAAGCCTGGGAGCCAGGCCAGGAAGAAAGAAAAAAAAATGAAATGGCAACGTTGGCTGGAGCCTTTCCCCCAAATCTGTCAAACTCTGATCTAATGCCTATACAGTAAGCATTCAGATGTGTCAGGTTCCTTTCTCCTCTCTGCTCTTTAATGTTTATCATTCCAGGGTGTTATAGATGTCACCTGATTTTGAGCATCGCATCCGCATTTCTGAGAGAAAATGTGAATATAAATAAGCAAGAGGTGTTTGCTTCCCTATGAGACTGCTACTGTCCATGTTAGACTGACAGAAAGAGCTGTTTGTTTATCTTATTTTTTTTGATACTGCTCCATGAATACAGCTTATGAAAACCCATGGTTGTTTTTAGCTGAGAGCTTTTGTCAGGGCATAGAGGGAGCAAGATACAAATAACATTTTTGTTGGTTTTGTTTTGTTTTCTGGAGTGTGGCAACAGCAAGGCAATAAAAGTATCACGATGCCCCACTGCAAAGTAACACATGAAGAGGGGTTCATCATGCTGCCTTATTGGTATAATGGACAATCTTTTCTATATAGCCTTCAAAATTATTTTAAAGGACATTTTGGCAAGTTTTGTGCCATCCATGTAATCAATAAAGCAAAATAAATGAGTAACACATGAACATGCTTTCTAAAACATTTCAATGAAATGCAACTTCATTTTTCAAATAGTATAGCAAATAACAGGAACATATTTTTTAAAATGCATCTCTCATGTACTGAATTTTGCCATATTTGTTGTTCTTAACTGCTGTTAATTGGAATGATGTATGGTGACTACTGCATCAACTGTACTTTCAATAATCTGAAAAACTTATCTGAGAAGTACAAAAAACAGATTGAAATAAATATGTGAGTCAGCATGGGAAACAAGACCACTCTCAAACTATGTTAACCTCGTTAAAAGCCTATTGGCTAACTTCCGTTTGGAAACTTCTTTTTCAAATGGGATTCCCTCTGCTATAAGCTACAGGAAAGCAAACTCATGGGGAAAACCACCTTTTTCCATGAATTAGCATGGGCTTTGAGATCTGCTGGGGAGGCCCTTCTCTCAATCCCACCACCATCTCAAATGCAGTTGGTGGGGATGAGAGGGAGGGCCTTCTCAGCGGTGGCTCCCTAGCTCTGGAATGCCTCCCTAGAGAGGTTAGGTTAGCCTCCGCTCTCCATTCCTTCTGATCTAGTCTAAAAACATGGTTTTTTAATCAAGCCTTTGACTTGGAGTAGACTGAAATGGATGCATATGAGGGCTGACTATTCACATTGGCACTTTAGTTCGTTAATTAATGGCAGCCAGTTTTATCTGCAGGTACTTCTGCATTTTATAAATTTTAACCATGTTTTACTATGTGAAGTTATGTGCGCTTCGTTGTGGGTGTCGCTGTAATTTGTGTTGTTATTTTAACCATGTTTTACTATGTGAAGTTATGTGCGCTTCGTTGTGGGTGTCGCTGTAATTTGTGCTGTAATTTGTGTTGTTTAAGCTTATATATTGTCTATTTCATATGCAGCACTTTGGAGTTCTTTTGTGAGCTGCCCTGAATTCCTTGGGAGATGGTGGCTGGGTATAACTAAAGATGATGATGATGATGATCATCATCATCATCATCATGATCATCATCATGCACTAGAAGTTGCCTGTAATAACTGTTAACCACATTGGAAAAGAAGGGGGCCAAGGGAAGCTGACATAGGAGCGGATCCTCAGGGTGGTGAGATCATGAAGGACCTGTTTCGACAGGCTAAACAAAAAGAATGGGGTGACCCCAGCCAATGCTGCCAGGGGACCTATCACAGCTTTCCTTTACAGAGTAAAGAGTTCCTGTGTTATACAAAGGCCATACATTATTGTTTCCTTTATGAAATTGTGTTATAATGGTAGACACATAACTGGGGAAGGCCTTTTCAGTGGAGGTGCCATCTCTATAGAATTCCTTCCTGAAAGGACATATGGTTGGTCACTCCATAATTGCAAATGCCTCCAAGACTTTTTTGTTTCAAGCTACTTTTAGTTAGATTGCAAGTTGTCTCCAGAACACCAGCATAAAACACAGAAGAAACAGATGAGTATGGAGTTAATTCTTCAGAAATCTCTTTTCTCTCCCATCCAACTTTGCCCCATTAAATTGCAAGTTATGGCTTCCTAGGATCTCTCATCTTCCAGGAAGTTAAGTACTGAATTGCATTATAAGCATTTTGTGATTCTATTATCCAGCGCTCCTAATCACCACACCCTGGGAGCCTGTCTCTTTTCTTGTTCCTAATTGATTAACTGCCTAGAAAAGAACAAGAAGACCATTTCCTGAAAGGAATAGAGGAGGAAGCTGATGTCAGGCACATCATGCTAGGGTCAATACAGCTTAGCAGGAAAGCAGGGGTTATTTTTCAGAACCCTTTGTATTGAAAGATAGGTCACAAAAGAGCATGTAGTGTGGGTATGTCAACAAGTAGTCCCTCAAAATTCCGTCATTGGAAACGATAGTCTTGGTCATTCATTTTTGTTGCTGACTTCTCAATATAAGCTGATTAATTTGGAAGCCATGTCATATGAGGAATGACTTGGAGAGTTGGATAAGTTCTGCTTGGAAAAGAGAAGACTGAAATGTGGCATAATAGCTATCTTCAACTATCTGAAAAGCTGTCATGTAGGAGATGAAGCCAGATTCTTTTTTTGCTGCTCCAGAACATGAACCAATGGATTCAAATTACAAGAAAAGAGATTCCTCTTCAACAGTAGGAAAATAATTTTCAGTGTATGAGCAGTGTAACAGCAGAATACATTGCCTCGGTGGGTGATACTGGACTTGACGATCCTTGTGATCCCTTCTAAGTAAGAGCCTGTTGTTCTGTTCAATTATTATTCCATTCTGGGTTTTTTTTCACACACACATTATACAATATTCAGTAACAATTTGTTGTATTTGGAACTGCTTGGTCCTTTTCACATGTCCCCTTCTCAGGTTATCCCATTTTTCTATCAAATGTCTTCTTTTTAATTTCCTTATGAATTAAATAGTAAATGCTGGTTTTCGGTGAATGGCTGGGAATTATGGTGTAGTTCTACTCATCTTTGAAAGGAAATAGACAATCTAAGCAGAGCTGGAGGCATAAATGCTCTTGATGTTCACTGCCTCCAGGTAGCGGTCCCTCTGCCAATATACATTATTCCCTCCATCTTCTGTATTGGTTATTCTTGCTTGCAAATGTCTTTAATATGGTCTCTTTTGCCCACAGTTTCATCCCACTCCTTCCTCCCTATCACAGATGCATTCACGGGGGGGGGGGGGGGGGGGGGGGGGGAGATAAATGCTCAGTTTTTTGCATTTATATTTGTGTGTTTTTAAAAAGCCAAATGAAGGAAATGGAAAACTTCTAGAAAGAGATGGAGGACAGAAATCGTGGGGATGGGGTTATGCAGTGGCCACAGCCGTTACAGGGCTCAGGCCTCTTCAGGAATTCCTCCATATTAACCTGTACAGGTTTTTGAAATCACCAATAAAACATTATGTTCAGTGAAGAGAAATTTTGTAAGAGTGATCTACTTATTTGAAAGAAAGACAGGGGCCTAAATATAATTCTTAGTCTTAAGTGGAGTACCTACTGAATCATTGGAAACTTTGTATGTCAATAATTATGTAAGTTTCATAGATTTAATTAGTCTTCTCTAATTGATCTGAATGTGATTTTCCTGCTTCTTGGCAGGAGGGTGGACTGGATGGCCCATGAGGTCTCTTCCAATTCTATGATTCATTGACAGCATAGTGTACTGGTTTGAGCTTTAGACTAGGACTCTGCAGACCAGAGTTTGAAAACCCACTTGATCATGGAAACCCACTAGGTGACCTTTGGCAAGTCACAGAGAGGAATTCAAAGGCAAGCCTCATCTGAACAAATCTTATCAAGAAAATCCCATGGAAGGTTTGCTTTAGGGTCGCCATAAGTTGGAAATGACTTAAAGATACACAACAACAAACTCTGATTGAGACTAGCAATGGCACTTAGGCCGGGGCCTACTATCAATGGCTACATGATGACTTGGGACCATTCCACACAGCCATATAACCCAGAATCTCAAGGCAAAAAATCCCACAATATCTGCTTTGTACTGGGTTATCTGAGTCCATACTGCCATATATCCCAGTTCAAAGCCGAAAATGTAGGATTTTATTTAGCTTTGTGAAAGGGGCCTAAGAAAACAAAGAAGAAAACATGTCACATCTGAGAGTTGATAAATGAGGAAACACACACTAAATATGTGTCACTAATTATGTTGTCCCTTGTTGTCCAATTGCACATTTCCGTTTACAAGACTTTAAGCCACTGAAATCCTGTGCTTGTCATCTATTCTGCGGGATCCAGTTCCAAAATGTATGAAGATCACTTCTATATGTTAAGGGTAAGCTTGAGTGGAATTATTTTTTTCTGCTCACTTTTACAGATTGAGTGAGTATGGGTATATGGGCAGCTGTGTGTAACTTGTCTCCTTACACAAGTTATCTTTTTGGCACTAACACACACGAATGTGCAAGAATGTCTGTGGAAATGAATTTTGGATTGTGTTAATTGAACTACCAGTTCAAAAACCCCATGTATGGCTACATTCAGATCCATCATGTTAATATATTTCTTCAACTTCTAATATAGTATATTATGCCTTGATGTGGGCTGAGAGATCACAATTCAGGTGACCCAGATCTAGAGTCAGCAATTAGCATTTGTTTCCAAAGTCTCCATGATGATGAGGTTACACTATTATTTCCTCTACTGGACCGTAGACCTAAATCGTTTATATACATGTAAGACTGCATTAGTCAGGAAATGAAGAAAGTGATAGTGAAAATAAAGAATGATTTCTTATAGCATAGCTCTGGCACTCCAGATGCCAAGTTGAAAAGAAATACTTGTTTTTATGCCAATTTGGGAGCATGGCAGAGATGAGAAAGACTTGAGATACTAACACAATGCAGATCATATCACTGTCTCAGTATTATGATGGTGGAATCTCACTTCTTTGATCAGGTGGCACCTGTTTTCACCATATTATCAGGAAGTCAATGCATGGCCAGGGCTCATACAATAAAACTTATACTCTGTTTTCCAAATTTACTTAATTTCTCCCTACAAGATGCTTAGTGTTATTGGTGTGATAGAATTCTTGATGTAACCCTCAACCTAAACAATATTATTTTGTCATGGGCTTCTCTTTTCCACATGTTGAGGTGTTGCTTTTTGCACTAAGCACATACACATTAATCGGCACCTTACATATGCACACACTGCTAAACCCAGAGGGCATTCTTGTACCTTTGAAAACTAGTGTGCAGCATTTCCAGCTACAGAGAATATTACACCTGAACAGTGTCTTCCTGCTGGGTAGCTAGATACAAGACGTGAAGAAGCATCTTTCAATGTCATACTTTGGTACTCTTTAGCCCTCATGCCCATTGTATACAATATTCTCCTGCAGGTATTATGCCCATGTCTTTTTAGGGATGGTGAAACTGACTGCATGTGATTCTTTAGGAGAAGGGAAGCAGCTCATTGGGTACTTAGGGACAGCTCATTGGGTACTTAGGCAACAGCCAAATCTGCATCCCACAGTTAAAGAGGATCCTTCTGTTGTTCTTATTTTAAAAACAAGAATAACAACCATTCCTGTTTTGGAGTGTGTAATCAATTTTCGCATGGACTGCAGCTAGAATATATCAATTTCTTCCCCCTCGGCTTCTGTAGCTGGAGTATAAACTTGGATTGTAGTTACTAGAGTTGGATATCAGCAACAATATGGAGTTTGTTCCCAAATGCATCTGTTTAACATCAGGGCAATAAAAGTAAACTCCATTTTATTCCTGTTGACCAGTACAATGATTTATGCGAGTTTAAAATGTCAAGCCCCACATGCTGTATCAATACAGGCTAAAACTCTATGCTAATTTACTTTCTGAGCTCTCTAATGTACATGTGATCCAGTCAAAGCAGTCATTATCCAATTACAATGATGCTTCAAAGCACTTGGTTTAATCTGCATGCTCTACAAGCACACTTTTTGTTGTTGTTGCTATTTTTTTATAACTGCTGATTTTGTCAAATTTTGTGGTATATAAACTACAATATTGTGTCGTCTATGATTCTATGATTGTGGTATGGCCTGGTACAGAGAGGTCCATGGGGTGACACCAAGTGTTAACACACTAGTGATGCCATTGCCTTTGTCAAATTGCTTTTAAACTTATAGCTACAGTGTTAAGCTGAAAAGTTGGCAAACCTAACTGTAAGTATTCGCATTTCTATCTCAGTGTCACCTTTTCCTCCTGGACTACTGTCAGTGCAACACTTCCTTCCCCCTTACCTTTGGCTGTGCTTAGCTTGCATGTGTAGACACCACTGTCATCCTCATGCACAGAGGTAAGCAGCAGCTTGCACTTGCGCCCGTCGAAATGCATCTTGCACTGAAGCAGGGCAGGCTGGAGCAGGCGCCCCCGCCACAGCCAGTCCACATCCACATCAGGTGGGCCCGTCACCAGGCACTCGAAGATAGCTGCATCCCCAGCCCCCACCACCACGTCCTGCAGGGGGGCCAGCACGGCCAGGGACTGGGTCTCAGGGTGCACTGGGGAGAAGGAAGGGAGGGAAGGGAAGGGGAAGGGAAGGGGGAGGAAATGGAAAGAGAGAGAAAGAGAGGTGTCTCTGAGCAATGGAACAAAAATAGGAAGGAATGCAGGGCACAAGGTGGGGAAAAAGTGTGGTGGGTATCTATGGCTTAGTAAAATTGCCAAGCTGGGCATTATCTTGTTGACTGTAATTGTCAGTGAGATCAAGGCCTGGCATTCCCTCCCTGAGTTTCTTTTTTAAATGTCATGCAATGTGCTGATGGGAGGTAGGGCAAACTTGCATTTACTAACACTGACTGTTTTTGAGATGCAGGTATGCACTGTCAACATATTTCTGGCTATGGTCACGGTCAATATTCCCATGGAATGCACTTAATTAACAGAAGAACCAAGTATAGTCCAGTTTCCTATGATAGATCTGAGGTGTGAATTTCAGCAAGAGCTGTGTGAAACATAGGGGAACCTGGTGTCATCTCCTCTACAAATTACCTTAGGTAGCCACGATGCAAAAAACCTAAGAAGCACTTATATACTTATGCTTCCATTCTCTAACACAATACAAATACGCAAAACCACTACAAGTGGAAAACTTTGATTCACTTTGATTCTAGTGATGAACTAGGATGTAAAGCTGTAAGAACTAAACCAGTTTTCTGGCAGGAGTATATTATTTCAGAATTCTAGTGAACCCACCCATGTTTAAATTTCACACATGTTGAAACTAGCAATCAGGGCTAATTATGGCAAATGCTTCTGCATATACTCAGTTTTGATGCTGTAACAATAAATATGAGACTAGTTTTTCCCTATTCCTTTAGAAGAAGAGGCTCAAGCACTACTGGTATATGTCTCATCTGGGATTACTTTCACCCAGTAATCTGGCAACCCATTAGCCATTGCAACAGGAAATAAAAAAAATAGAGAGAGGGAAGCAGCCATATTCAGAAGCAAATTAAACCTGAATGAAAGAATGATGGACTGTGAAGAACACAAGAGCAGGATATGAGGGAAAGAAGGGGACACAGGGAAGAGGGAGACAGGGATCTGTGCCAGGAACAAACCACACAGCACTTTTACCAAACAAACAGACTTTATTTCATCTACAAAAAGGGGTTCACTGTATCCCAGCCCCTGTGAAACCCTCCCAGAGAGAGGGCACAATGGTGGTAAGAGACTGTACCCTTGGCCTCCTCCATTCAAGATGCTCCATAAACCCAGACCACCCAAGTCTAAATGGGCTCCCATTATTTCCCTGAGCCACCCCAATCCTCATTGCTCTGGGCAAAGGGCCTTTTGCAAGTCGGTTTGTGCTGTCCAAAGATTTCATGTGAGTAGGGATGCTGCCTCTTGCAATGTTCAGCTACGTTCCTTCTGCCCACAGTGACTTACATGGGCTCAAACCTGATCTGATCCTTCCATATGTGCCTCCCTTTCATATATGGGTTCTATAGGGGAGCAGAGGGAGGGAGAAGAAATGTTGGTGCTCTACCCCAGGCCCCTGGTAACAGGACTGTGCAAACAGGGGCAAGGAGACATGGACACACGGAGAAAACAAAGAGCACCACATGTTGGCCACAGTTCAGGCCAGACAGAAATGGATGTTGGCATGAGGATTACACACCATCAGCACTTAGAGGTGTAATGCCTGGTAGGCAGGCATGGTGCCCACCACTGGAATTATATACCCTAGAGTAGATCATGTGGAGACCCATTGGATAAAGACTTCCTGCCCAAGTGCTAAGGAGATACCATAAATTAGTTCAGCTCACACAGCTAGAAGGAACCCAAAACTACTCTCCCACCCCTGGAGTCCCACTCCTCCAGCTGGAACCAGGCCCTGTGGGTCCAGGTGAGTCTCGGCGCTGGCCATCCAGTGGGTGGGGGCAGGAGCCAAGCCTTGCCAGCCTGGTTTGTTCAGTCACGCTGGGAGCAGAGGCAACTGCCCAAGATGTCTGGCTAGAATGACCCAGGGGTCAGCAGTACCTTAGCTCACTCCCCCTGTACAGACAAAAACACAGTCAGCAAGCGAAGGGTTAGTGTAGCATGATGGACACAGAGGCAAAGCACAGAGACATTCACACATGCTAGGTATAAGCAAAAGGTGTACGTAGCGAAGTTGCAAAGACATTGCCTGGCAAAGCAAAGCTATTATCCCAACACATTTGCACATAAACACAGATACACTTGGCTGACACTGACCCTATGATTATATTACCCACCCCACCCAGTGAAATTAGGTAGAACCTGTCACAGGAACTGTTAAACTCTTCTTCTCGTCTAGTAAAGTGCTGTGGATCCAGCAATAGAAGGAATGGATCCTGCAGGTACTTTTTATGCTACAAAGCAGCTTAGTACTCCATCCCCTTTGAGCCAATCAAAGGAGGTTTCCATTCAACACAAAGAGAAAGCAAAGGAAGCTGGTCAAAGTGGAAAGACACAAAATAAAACTGAAGCAATCAACTGGGTGTACAGGAAAGGACAAAATATGCCACCAGGGTGTGGTGAGCCAGTACAATATATCACGACTGGGGAACCTTTGGCACGCCAAATATTTTGGGGCTGTATAATCATACTGGTGCAACTTTTCAAAGTTAAAATCCAAAATGTCTGGAGAGCCAGAACCTTGTTATACACCCTCAGCCATCAATAACAAACTATACATAGGTTTGGCTCCTTCCACTGCACTCCAGTTTCACAGTACAATACATCCAATTTCAGCTCATGCCAGATATGGCAGGATTAAATGACCAGAGCAAACCTAGGAGCTACACATTCCCATAGTTTGGGCCACTTGAGAATGATAAAGAGATCCTCATGTAGGGAAGGAGGTTGTTTTCTTCCTTGAGGTAACAGATGAAACTTGGTACAACACAATGTAAAGCACCTGCCGAATACCGGCTACCTGAACTGAATAAAGGATACAAACTACTGTCTTGAGTATCATGGAATAGGCAGAGAGAGAAGATAAGGAGACCAGACCAGACTTTGTGTGGGGGGTCAAGCATAAACAGCAGGCCAAGCTACATGTGTCAAGACCTTGCGTCTAACAGCAACCAGACGCAGAGCCTTTACAGCAGTGGCACCATCACTCTGGAATACTCTGCCACCTGAAGTCTGTGCCTTGCGGGATTCATCAGCTTTCCGCAGGGCATGTAAGACATATCTATTTCGACGGGCCTTTGATCTCTGATTGTTTTTAAATTATTTTAAATTGTTTTTAAATTGTGTTCGATTTTAGCCTGTTCTTGTAAGCTGCTCCGAGCCCCAGGGAAGTGGTGGCATATAAGTTCAAATAATAAATAAATAAATGTGATATTTCCCCATTACACTTGTTGGTAAGTGGCCGCGACCTTAGGAGCTGCAGCTGGGAGAAAAGGAGAACTGGGAATGGGGTGTCCTGCTTGGCTGTTTCCCCTCAGGAGAAACACAGGTGAAATGTTAAGTGGACAAATAGCTGGATAATGAATGGTTGAAGCACCCACAACCTCTGGTGCTATTTGGGTACCAATCAAGATTGCTTTTTATTTAACCAAAAAAACCCCTCAAATATTTAGGATGAAAGGGAAGCAGAAATGCTTACTATATTTCATTTTGTCCTCTTTTCCAGATCTATAACAACCAAACGTCTAAGTGCAATTCTTTGAGGGTTCATGGCCAAGACAGTCTGGAATCTGATGTAAGAAATCCAAATCCAACAATAAATGAAATCATTGTTCCGAAAGAATAGTGCTCCTGAGATGGACCATTTCAACCTGTCTAATATATTAAGAATTTACCAAAATAACACGAGCTTCAACTTTTATATTTTCCTTTTCTATCCCCATTCGGGGTTTTTTTTTTTTTTTTGAGGGTTTTTTTACTCACATTTTTTGTTTAGACTATAAGGCTGAGAGCAAGTGGCTGTGGTATTTTGTTTTTGACACACGAGCTGCCCTGAGAGCCTTTCCAGCTGCACACCAGAGTAGGAATACTACAAATAAAATAAAAACAGGCCAGTGCAAGCCTTACCATGCAGTCATGCTGGCTACATGACCTGGGAGGCTCTTCGGCTCAGAAATGGAGATGAGCACCACCTCCCAGAGTCAGACACGACTAGACTTAATGTCAGGGGAAACCTTTACCTTTACCTATAGAAATAATAATAATGAATGGCACTTGTGCTCTCTTCTTGCTGTTATCTATTCCTTATGCCTCCTTTGCCCCTTAACATGAAAGTAGCCAAAGTGAGTCACAGAAGCCATTTTGTTTGGACTTCTCGAATATCAAGTTGCAGTTTTCAATTATTATTTTTTAAACTTTATTTATACACAACCTTTCTCCTAAATGTTGAGGCCGGAGGAACGTTACACAATAAAATGGGTACAGCTGAGTCCCAACACTCCTAAACGTAATGGGGAAAAAATAGTTATGGGAAACGTCTGTGGCAGGTGGCTACATTATGGTAAACTTGGCCACCAAGCAGCCACAGAGCCACAGGCTTTTGGTGGGGAGAGGTTTGGCAACCAGGAGGTTGTGGCAGGTGAGAGCAACTCGTGTGATGAAAGGAGGAAACATGCAAACATAATCTTCCGGGGTCATACTATAGCAAGCAAGCACTAAAACCCTCATGCTCTGTGGCTCCCCCAAGTACCTTGTATATCGAGCTTGGCTTCACACTGCTTGGTTCCATACTCGTTGATGGCCTTGCAGGCATAATAGCCAGCATCTGTGCACTCTGCCATGTGAATATGTAGGCAAAAAGTGCCATCCTCTTCTTCCACAGCAGAAATGTGTCGTCCATACTTGACCGGATGCCTGTTTTTCAGCCTGCAAGACAAACCACAGGATCTGAAAGCCTGTCATGCTTACAACCTCACCCAGTTTCTAGATAGTCCTGCCCTCCTACTGGCAACTATCTTACTTTCTTCCTCAACAGCAGCATGCATAACAAAGGTAAGTTCGACCCTTCCCTTTATTATGGCTACAAACCTAAATTTGGGTTGTTGTAGGTTTTTCGGGTTGTATAGACATGTTCTAGAAGCATTCTCTCCTGACATTTTGCCTGCATCTATGGCAGGTGTCCTCAGAGGTTGTGACAATACATTAAACCTAAATTTGTAGGTCAGTCAAATTCAGGAGAGCAAAGATCCCATTCTTTGCTACACCCTCCCATCTAGACCTGTCTGTGTCGTGTGATGCCAATATTATTTCTAATTGAGGGATGATTGTACTTAAGAGTAAAAGAACTGAGATAAGTCTGGGGTCCCAGATTTACTCATCTGGTACCAAAATATGCCTTCCCTTCTCATGACACCATATTTTGGTCATTTCCCAGCTACTGTATGTTTCTCTTTTTCCATTTTGTAAGGTTGGAATACTTCTCTTTAGGCTTAGTTATTGGCAGGAGTTTTAAGATAGTATATTTAACCTGATTTTTTTAACCTTTGGCTCTGTCTAACAATGGAAGTCACACACTCTCAATCCCAGAGGCTGGCAATGGAAAACCTCATCTGAAGAAATCTTGCCAAGAAAACTTTGTGATATGTTCACCTTAGAGTATACAAGAAATGATATGTTATTGTTATTATAGAAACATCAAATGTGCTGTAAGGTAGTCAGTTTTTTTATACACAACATTCAAATACAAATCTTAAACTTATCTCTATTGTAGGTAAATATACGTATTTACATAAATGGGAGACATAAATCACTTCTTAGTAAAGACAATTTAGAGGTCCATTGTATTGACAGGATCTGTCTAGTAGTTCAAAAAGTGAACCTTGAATTTTTTTGAGCATCTTTTGTTACATGAAGAATTGCCATAGTGTCAGAGAAGAGTTCTAAAAGATTACTACAAGGTATCCAGGGTTGTATTTCCTTGTTTTGGCGTTTGTTGTGGGTACACAACAAACAGTCCTCGAAGTAATTCAAGATTGACTTTTTGAACTACTAGACAGATCCTCTAAATACAATGGACCTCTAAATGATCTTTACTAAGAAGAGATTTATGTCTCCCGTGTATGTAAATACATATATTTATCTACAATAAAGATAAGTTTAAGATTTGTATATAAAAAACTGACTACATTACAGCACATTGATGTTTCTATAATAATAATAATAATAATAATAATAATAATAATAATAATAATAATAATAATAATAAACAACAACATACAATTTCCTGTATACTCTGTCATATAGATATCTAGTTTTATCTTAGGGTCAAGATAATTCTGAAATGGCTTGAAGGTACAGCACCACAACTGCCTTACGTCAGAGCAGAACTTTACAAACGTTTCATGTTGGTGACATGCCCTTTTAGACATGCATCATTTCACAACACAGTAATTCACTTTTACCAGTAAACTAAAGATTAAGCCAACCCCTGATAAGAGATATGGACATGCACATACATTGTAATAATGAAATGTATGGGAACACAATATATGTAAAAAAAAACCTTTCATTTATATATATTTAAATGCATTGCTTATTCATATAGATGCAGAGGTTTTTTGTCACATTCACGTGACACACCTTCACACTGTGGCTGATATACTAAGGTGTTGTAACACAGAGTTTGGAAAACTCTGCTTTAGAGGATAAATGAGGTGGAACTCCTTCACTTTTCCATTCTGGTACTTGAGTGCAAACTAACCATTCCCATATGGACCTAGAGTACCAAGGAAATGAAATACTGTTTGAATGTATGTGCCTTCAAGTTGCCTGTTTGGCCTACAGGGACCCTGTGAATTTATTAGGTCTTTTAGGCAAGGAATACTCAGAGGTAGTCTTGCCAATTCCTTCCTCTGAAATGTAGCCTGTAGTACCTGGTATTCGCATGTGCTCTCTCGTTCAAGTAATAACCAGGGCTGACCTTGCTTAGCTTCCAAGATCAGATTGGATCTGATGCCTTTGGGGGCTGTAGGCTTGATAATGAAAGACTAGCTTTGCCAATTCCACAAAGACTTTTCAAAAACTATTCTGCCAGCCTACACATTATAATTTTTTAGTTCATTGTGGTATATTGAATTTTGTTCTAAATGTCTAAACAATTCCCAGATTTCTCATCTGAAGGTGCTTTTTACTTGCTAGACTGGGAAACCGAACCATCTCACCATTTGACCTCTGCCAATGTGAATGTCAAGACAAGAGGGCTTACTTTTCAAGTTCATTTATACAACACAGGCCACTTACCAGTGTACAATTGGTTTGGGTTCCCCTTGCACCCGAATGCGCAGGACCACATCCTGTCCTTCCAGTACTACTTGGTCATTCAGTGTCACCTGCAGGAGACAACCTCAAGTTCACGCCAACTGACAAAGTGAACAGGGAAGCAGATCTTCTGTAATACACAGCTCACAAATTTTTAGACAAGGAATATTTGAGGTTGGGGATATTAGAAGTAGGTGCAATAGCTTAGGCAAAGAAAACCTTGCCTGTCATATTTTTCTGTTTCTCAGTGGCTGAGCCAATGGCTAGTGCGTCTGCTATCAATAATCCACAGCTACTCAAGGGAACAATTCCTTATTCAGGTATGCCAAAGCTGCTTTCCCCTTGCTGACCTTTGGCTTCATCCCTTTGCTCACCTCAAAGGATGGTGCAGCTTTGAAGTTGATGCCTACGTGTGCAGGAGTTGGGGCAATTTCAGACCGGGGCTGCACTTTCATGACAGGTTCATGCCGAGGGGTGCTGCACTCCGGGAACTCTTCCAAGGGACTCAAATACTCTTCGTCGGATGTGACAGGGCTGGTGAGCTCGTGGTGAGGCATTAATCGGCTGTGGCTCTCTGGGGGAGCTAGGCAGGTGAGAGAGTGCAAGGATTAGTGACTGCAGAGCAAAGCATAAAGGCAAAGTTCCCTAGCTCAAAATGGGAAAGCACCAGGATAGAAGGCACCAAGTAACGAGTGCTTGTGCCCACAGATTTTAGCTGGCAAGCAGAGCACATTACAGAATCTAGCTTCCCACATTTTTTTTCGTGTCAGAAGGGACTTGAGAAACCCCAAGTTGCATCTGGTGTGAGAGAATTGGCCATCTGCAAGGACGTTGCCCAGGGGACGCCCGGATGTTTTGATGTTTTATCATCCTTGTGGGAGGCTTCTCCTCATGTCCTCACATTTGGGAGCTGAAGCTTCCCACATGATAAGCCAGCACACTGCTCTGTTCTCCCAGAATTTAAGTGTCTTTTTTGCTTTTTTCAAAAAGTACAATGCACTGATGTGAAACATAAATATGAATGACATAAAACAGCTATGAGAATATATTGGCTCTTTCCAAACAGCTAGAGAATAGTATTTCCAAATGGCACCACTAATGAAATATTTCAAGTATGACTTATATAATCTGTAGAGACTATTTGCAAATGGCAAATGAAATATCTTCCCTCATTCTATGAAACATATACTGCCCTTCCTAATAACCATAATCATGCATAAGGATAGCTTGGATCCTCTGAAAATTGTAGACATAATCACTAAATCATAAAAAGGACCGCAGAGCATCTGATTAGGAGGCAGATGCCATTCATTTTCTTCTTGCAATACAGAAAATTATGGTTAATAATTTCACGTGACCACATCCCACTCTATATGTGAGATGCAGCCACATGGCCAGCTCTTTCCCGTGTGATATTCATAACTGAGATGTTAATTAGATCAGCACAGGATGGACCCCTGGGGAAGTAGCAATCATGTCACACCATTACTTCCCAAAATGAGGGATAACAAAGGGGAGGTTACAGATGCAGCCTGAAGTCATGGTGGAGATGAAATTTTAAAATGCTAGGCTTGGCTGAAATATTCAAATATTTAATACTCACACTAGTTGAAACATGATAGGTTTGATTTATACTGACATTTTTTAGAAAAATAAAATAATATTAAAGCATTTATGTGGATATTTCAACCCTCCCTACATGCCCCAGATATCTAGCAAAAGCAATTAGTTCTTTGATCTTAAACAACAACATCAAATAAGAACCAATTGATTTTTTTGAAAGACTAGGGTAATGAGGATTTGGTGAAAAATGATACATGATGCATGCTGACAAGTCTAAAGAGCATCGATTTAAGACTGGCCTGGCAATGTAAACACTGACTCTAAGAGATGGGGCCAAAGTAGCTCATGTTTTGTTTCTCATTGTCTCTTCCCATTACTTCCAAGTTCAAATGACCTATCCCTACCCACACTAGCTAATGTCCCAATCTTCTTTCTATCCTCTTGACTATTCTGCTATGCCCTAATTTGCAATTAGGACACTGTACCAAACCTAGCATGAATTATATTATCTCAATTAGACCCTTTCCACTTCTATTGAATGGAGCTAGAGGCTAATATAGAGTAGAGTTATACGGTCGGAAACACTGCATGGGATGAAAACCAAGACTGTTCTACTAAAGAATATACTTGGAGGATCAGTTGCTACACCATTAAAAGCCAATCTTGCCCTAATTCCTTGATCTCCAGCAAAACGATTCAAAAGTTGCCCAATTCCGTTACATAGGAAATTTATCAGTTCAGGCATTTGTCAAAATCAATCCCTGTATGACATCTGCCTGTTCAGAAGTAAAGTTACATCCAATTTTTCATCAACCCTGAAGCTTATGAAGGCACATTTTCCTATTTTAGCTCACCTCAAAAATGCTGTATTGAATTTTTAAAAATCAAGAGAAAGAATATGCACATTGCCCTGAGTCCGTCAGAGGAAATGTGACAGTAAATGCAATAATTACGATTAGCATATCTGACATACACTCCTGCCCTGACAATGGATATTTGCCTCAACTTGCTAATGTGTTATATTATATTATGCTTTAAATGTATTGGGTATTAATCTGTATGACTCTTTCTGTCTGTAAAAGGTAAAGGTTGTCCCCTGACATTAAGTCCAGTCATGTCTGACTCTGGGGAGTGGTGCTCATCTCCATTTCTAAGCTGAAGAGCCGGCATTGTCCATAGACACCTCCAAGGTCATGTGGCCGGCATGACTGCATGGAGTGCCTTTACCTTGCCATCGAATCAATACCTTCTACTTGCATTTTTTCTGTTTCTGCATTCTGCGTGTTATGTTTATTTAATTTAACACTTGGAATTGGTTGTTTATAAGTTATATTGAATTTACTTTATTTAATATTTTGTCTTGATTGTTTACTTGTTTTGGGGCATTGAATGTTTGCCATTTTTGTTATTTTTCATAAACCACCCTAAGTCCCTTTGGGGAGAGAGGGCAGACTATAAATACATTATAATTACTAATAATAAAGCTAACCAATAAACAAGCATCCACTTTTCAGGAATCTGCTTATAACAGTGCTGTTTTAAATACACAATTTCCAATGCATATCTGCTGTAATAAGGTAGCAAACCAGTAACAAAATTGTTTGATCAGATACAATCTCTATAACATGTATATATAATTTACATAGTGCATTGTTTATGGTAAATGCAAATAATTTGGTGGTCTTTGTTATGGGACCTATTGTATTTGGCAATAATGTTGATGTCCTATTCAGCAAACACAATAGAGCAATGAGTCCCCTTCCCTACTGCAATTTCAGAAGCCACTGCCAAGTTCCATGGGCATTACCTATTAATGGATGAGGGTAAGGCAAAGATAAAGGTTTCCCCTTGACATTAAGTCTAGTCCAGTGTGACTCTGGCGGTGGTGCTCATCTCCATTTCTAAGCCAAAGAGCCGGCATTGTCCATAGATGCCTCCAAAGTCATGTGGCCGGCATGACTGCGTGGAGTGCCATTACCTTCCCATCAAAGTGGTACCTATTGATCTACACACATTTGCATGTTTTCGAACTGCTAGGCTGGCAGAAGCTGGAGCTAACAATGGTGTCCCATGAATTCAAACTGCTGGCCTTCTGGTCAGCAAGTTCTGCATTTTAGCAATTTAACCCGTTGCACCACTGCTGCCCCAATGGATGAGAGTAGCATTGAGATAATCCGCAAAACAAGAGATAATCAGCAAGAACTGGGCAGTGCCAGGATTGAATGTGATCGCTCCCTTTTCATACAGGCAGTGTCTGGGCTTGCTCTCCTTGGAAGAGGCCAAGGTGACCTTAGGAGTGAGAACAATCACAGTTTGGCCATTATGCATGGTGAGGGGGCTTGCTGTGAAAAGGCAGAATAGCTTGTTAAAAGGTAACAATTTCCATGATAATGTTACCCTTCAAGCTGAAGAGGTGTTTATAAGAAGATGGTGTATGTATGTGCATACTGATCCTGTGCCGTCCCCAGAGCTAAACTGAAGGTTTTAGTTTTTTGCTCAAAGCAGGTGGGCAGGCAAAGCCCTGTCTGAGCCAGACAAAATAGTTTTGTCTTTCAAGCACGACATCCAGCTCAGTTGTAGGAAGGGGACAACCACCTTGTGTGGGATGGAAGGAAAAACCTGGGGCCTCTCCTATTGTTCCCTGAGTTGCCCTAATTCCTTGATCCGCAGCAAAACCATTCAAAAGTTAAGCATTAAATCAATGCAAAATGGCAGCCTTCTTTTCTGAGTCGTGCCCATACTGTAAAGAGTGAGGCCCAGAAAGAAATTCAGTTAAAAGTTATGGCTTTGAGAACTTACAACCCAAAATGTCCAGATGGATAGTGGCACCCAAAGGAAGAACCCCAGTTTCTATGAGGCGGTGGTTCTCAACCTGTGGGCCACTAGATGTTTTGGCCTACAACTCCCAGGAATCTCAGCCAATTTACCAGCTGTTAGGATGCCTGGGAGTTGAAGGCCAAAACATCTGGGGATCCACAGGTTGAGAACCACTGCCCCAGATTAACACACAAAAGTCAACTACTCCTGGTGGCTTTGTAAAACCATCTCCATTACCTCCTTTAAAAGGGGGTACCAATGTGTACTGGCTTTAGTGCTGGTCTATGACTCTGGAGACCAGGGTTTGAATTCCCTTTTGAGCATGGAAACCCATTGGGTGACCTTGAGGAAGTCACACGTTTTCAGCTATAGATCAGAAATGACTTGAAGGAATGCCAATCATACTGCCTCGATACATAAAGAACCCTTCCTTTTTGCCATTCCAGCACATGAATACAAACTAACAATTAACCAGATGGGCAAAGGGTGAACACACACTGTTGGATTAATGCAGGTTGACACAATTTTAAATGCCACAGCTCAGTGCTATGCAACTATGAGAGGTATAGTTTGATGAGACACCAATACTATTTGGCAGAGGAAACTGAAGATGTTGTCGAAGGCTTTCATGGCGCAGAATAATTGGGTTGGTATGAGTTTTCCAGGCTGTACGCCCATGTTCCAGAAGCATTCTCTCCTGACATTTTGCCCACTTCTCTGGCAGGCATCCTCAGAGGTTGTGAGGTCTGTTGGAAACTAGGTAAGTGAGGTTTATATATCTGTGGCATGTCCAGGGTTGGAAAAATAACTCTTGTCTTTTTGAGGCAAGTGTGAATGTTGCAATTCACCACCTTGGCTCCTCTGTGTAGATTGACATGGTGGTTGTCAGAGTGGTCCAGCATTTCTGTGTTCTCAAGTAATATGCTGTGTCCAGGTTGGTTCATCAGGTGCTCTGCTATGGCTGACTTCTCAAGTTGAATGGTAGACTACACAGAGAAACCATCGAAATCCACATGCATGTGGACAATTTGAACAGAAATGAGGAAACCATGAAAATGAACACAATCTGGCTACCAATATTATTTTAAAAAATTAAAATCAGGAGAGTAAATAAAAAGCAACACCCAAAAAACAGGGGAAATCCAGACAGGAAACAATCAAGGCCAGCCAACACCTCCCAACAAAGGATTCCCCAGGCAGGAAGCAGCCAGGCTTTGAAGCTGCAAGGCTATTCAATGTTAATCAAGGTGGCCAATTGCAACAGTCACATTTGCCTCAAGAAGTTCTTTTCCCACCCTGGACATTTCACAGATATATACACCCCACTTGCCTAGTTTCCAACATATCTCACAACCTCTGAGAATGCCTGCCATAGATGTGAGCGAAACGTCAGGAGAGAATGCTTCTCGAACATGGTCATACAGCCCAGAAAACTCTAAGCAACCTTATGCTGAAGGTATTGTAAGACTACACTCCCATAGTTCTGTAGCACTGAGTAATGACATTTAAAGTAGTGACTACGTTAATTCTACAGAGTATATGCACCTATACTGTATCAAGCAGCAACAACAAGCTCACACTCCCCCCTCTTTTTTTGGAGTCCTCATTCCTACCACACCTGCCAAGCTATGGCCAACTTACCTGCGATACTACTTCACTGAATGCAGTGCAACTTACTTTCATGGAAACCTGCCCAGGAGGACCACTCATGAGGAGGAGTCAGTCACTCCCGACCACAGGGCTTGGGTGGACATCTCCTCGATCCAACATTTCCCCCTCTTATCCCTCTCAGTCCCCCTCTTTTTTCTCTTCAAGATCATAAACAGTCCCCTTCAAAGGTCATATCCACTATGGACGAGACGGGTGAGCAAATAGTAGCCAGCTAAGCAAGGCTGAAAGGAGAAGCCAGAGCCCAGACAAAAGCCAACTGCCTCCCTCACAAGCACTTCAGACAGGACACCCCTCCCCTCGCCGCCGGGGCTCACATTTCAGATCAACCCACAAATGTCCTCATTTGCATCTTTGCAGCCCCCAGAAACTTACACACTGCCCCCAGGGATGCGGGGCTGGTCCCAGTCCAGTGGGTGAGCTGCAGCTGGGATAAAGGAGGCACCTTGGGGCCAAGCAGGCTGGCCCCTGCCCTCTGCATGCTGGCCCAGCCGCCTCTCCCTTCTTCTTCCCTCCAGTCGAAGCTGCTGGCTGTTTGTCAGCCAGACAGCCTGGTCTAAACCAAGCCTTGTAGGGTAAAGGCAGCCTCCTGGCTCTTTCATCAGCAGCAGCAAGAGCAGCAATAAGCTGGCAGAGAGGGTCCCCCTAGCACCATCAAAACCAAAGCCTGTAGGGAAATATATTGTCGCCTCTCCACATCTGCAGTTTTGACATTTGTGGATTTGATTATTCATGGATTTAATTAAAATGTTCTCTCCAGGAAGCTCTAGGGTCCTTCAGCATGGCTCTATGGTCACCATCCTCCAATTATGCTGGAGGCCCTAGAGCATGGGAGTTATAGTTTTACAAGGCCTATAACCTTTTGTCAAATAGTGCTAGTGCTTCATCATACTATAACTCCCATGATTGAATAGTATTGAGCAATGGCAGTAGTGTCAAACCACATTAATATGACAGAATAGATCAAGCATGGGCAAACTTGGGACCTCCAGGTGTTTTGGACTCCAACTCCCACCATTCCTAACAGCCTCAGGCCCTTTCCTTTCCCCCCTCAGCCACCTAAGTGGCTGAGGGGGAAAAGGAAGAAGCCTGAGACTGTTTGAAATTGTTGGAGTTGAAGTCTTAAACCCCTGGAGTGCCCAAGTTTGTCCATGCCTCCAATAAGCCATGGTTTAAACAGCCATGGCTCAATGCTAAGGGATTCTGGGATTTGTAAATTCAGTGAGGCATCAGCAATCTTGGTAGAGAAGGCTAAAGACCTTGTAAAACTACACCTTTCATGAGTCCATTTCACTGAAGCATAGAAGTTAAAGTGGTGTCAAACAGCATTCATTCTACAGTTGAGATGCACCATTAGGGCCCTTCCACACAGCCATATAATCCAGAATATCAAGACAGATAATCCACATTATCTGCTTTGAACTGGATTATCTGAGTTCACACAGTCATATAATCCAGTTCAAAGCAGATAATGTGGATTTTATACAGCTGTGCAGAAGGGGCCTTAGATTCCCTAGGTCCCCCCCCCCCTAATAAGCTTCCAGCATAGATTGATTTGAGAAACTTGTTGGAAGACCTAAAAATTTGCAGAGGTGTTCTCTCAAGTTTTTAAAAACAGAAGCAATGTCTTTGGGTTGTTGTAAGTTTTTTGGGTTGTGTGGCCATGTTCTAGAAGCCTTGTCTCCTGACGTTTCACCCGCATCTATGGCAGGCATCCTCAGTTGTTGTGAGGTCTGCTGGAAACTACGAAAATTGGGTTTATAATGTCTTTATTCACATGTTTTCATTTTGGTGGGTCCTGCGGCCCTAACCCCAGCAAATGTGGGGACCTAACTGTATGAGGCTACATAGATTCCTGGTTTTATGGACCAAAACTGGATCCCCACACCAGTTCTTTCATGGGTGAACTACCTTTGCTTTAGTCCCAGCATACCACCATAATATCCTTACCGGGCCGCACATTCAAGATGGCACTACAGCAGGCTTCGCCCACCTCGTTGGTGGCACAGACGGTGTAAAGGCCGGCATCAGCCACACGGACATTCCTGACCAGCAGGGTGTGGCGTTCTCCCTCTGCTTTGATAGGTCGGTTGGTGCTGCTCCGAAAGGGAACGCCATCTTTTCGCCATGACACTGTGGCAAACATGTGAGTGGACATGAGAAGTCAGAGTGGGGGAGACATCACACTTCCCCACTCATGCTCTCTCTCTCTCTCTCTCACACACACACACACACATACACACACACACACACACACACACAAGTAAAATTGGCCATTTTAGCCATAGAGTTCTGCAAATGCCAAAGATTATCAGTTCTGCTAGAAACAGATGGGTGTGAAAACGTAAGTGCTGCCTTTTCTGAATTCCCTGGAAAGGACAACCTGCACATTCCTTTCATAGATGTGGCTATTTCCCGCCCCCAGTCATAATATGGGGCAATATTTCACTGCCATAAGAGGGGAGAAGGTTTCAGTACTACTTAATGGTTAAAAGTGTTAACTTTTGCAAATAACAAAATGTGATATGCAAGGTGTGGGAACACTTTGTCACAGGACAATAAAGCATCCCAGGACACCTTTGGGCTTAAAAAAAATTAGAGCATGAGTTGAAAAAATAGCAGGTTATTATATCTCAGTGCAGCTCAAGCTCTAGTAATTGGGTTTTGCTTTGTTTTTCTGTTTTGCTCCAATATATACTAACATGGTCACCTTGAAAACTTTCAATTGAATAGGAAATCCCAGACCAAATTTCAAGTTTGAATCCAAAGGGCAGAATCCAACAGTTTTTTTAGTGGGACAAGATCAAATACACTGCAAAAACATAACTGTCTACCTAAAATAGGCAGGTTAAATAAAATGGCCTTTGTCTCTGGGTTGTTGTAGGTTTTTTGGGCTATATGGGCATGTTCTAGAAGCATTCTCTCCTGACATTTTGCCTGCATCTATGGCAGGCATCCTCAGAGGTTGTGAGGTCACTACCTCACTGCCTTACTACCTCTAAGGATGCCTGCCACAGATGCAGGCAAAATGTCAGGAGAGAACATGCCCATACAGTCCGAAAAACAACAACCCAGTGATTCCGGCCATGAAAACCTTCAACAACGGCGTTTGTCTCCTTGTTTTTCCTGTAACAAAAGTTTGGCCAGGTGACCATGAGTCATGTTCAGAAGCTAAAAAAAAAAAAAAAGAAGACCTCAATGATGTAAACTAATCAGCATAATCTCTGAATTGCTATATTACTATTGTGGTTGGAGGTGAAATTTCTAAAATCCTTAAAAACTGAAGCTCCTTCCACACAGCCCTATATACCAGAATATCAAGGCAGAAAATGCCACAATATCTGCTTTGAACTGGGTTATCTGAGTCCACACTGCCATATATTCCAGTTCAAAGCAAAACATGTGGGATTTTATTCAGCTGTGTAGAAGGGGACTGATATATCAAGGAAGCATCAGCAAGACAGTCCACCCATGGCCTATCTCAGTCTAGTCTGTCCAGGGAACACATATGTGCATTAACCTACAGCATTTATCCTACACACCCACTCTGAAATCTAGGCCCCGCAAAGACTTGCCTTCTGGGGAAGGATTGCCTGTGATGATACATTTGAACAGCACCTCAGTTCCAGCTATGATTGTGGCATCCTGGATAGGGATCTCAAAGATGGGGGCCTCCAGTGGGTCCTCGCCTGCTGAGATGTAGGAATCATCAGAAGATTCTGCAGAGAAAGAGGGAGAAAAGGAAGCTGCAGGATTGTCTTTTTTCTGCTGGAAGACTGAGTGGCCTGAAAACCCAGGAGTGGCGGAATGGCCTTAAAGCTGAACTCCATGTTCCACAGAAAAGCTCAGAAAGTCTAGGACTGGTTCTGTTACCAGGAGCAATGCCTCAGGAGAGTGATTTTTACATCTTAAACTTATAACTTAAGTACTTGAAATCCTTTTTCTATTTCTATTTCTAGCTTTTACAACAGTGGATTCTTTGGCTGCTGCCACTTGGTTAAGTCCCTCTTGAGTGGCAAAAAACATACAGTTACCTCTTGGTAGACAGACTGCCAGTACATGTGAATTAATGATTACTTACTGACTGGGCTATTTGGGAAGGAAATCATATCCAAAATATAAATGAAGGAAAATGGTATTTCAGAAGTGTAGAGGAAAACAAACTTTGACTGAACTGGAGCATTTACCAGCTTTCTTGATAAGCTCATTCAGTCCTAAATAGGCACTGGACCGAATCTCAAGGATGTAGCCTATCCTGGGGGAAAGAGTACTATAGAGGGAGCACTTATATCTAGAATTTTCCCCTTGCCATGTTTTTCTCCATGGGATCATAGTAGTCCTTTTTCCATACCTGGTTCAGGAGATGTCCGTCGGGTCCGTCGGCCTTTGCCCCTGCTCCGTGCGCTCTTTCCTTCCTGAGACTGCAGAGCATTGTCCTTTTTCTCTGCAACTCTTCCAGTCTTTCTCTCAGCATGGGTCCCTGACCTGCCTCTATCTGTGCCGGGTTCTGTCCTACCCCAGGCCAGGGAATGTCCATCTTCTTGGCCAGACTCCCGTTTCCATGTAGGCAGAACTTCACCCAAACCCTTTGCCTCATGAGTCCCTTTTGACATCTTTAGAGAGCCTCCATCCACACACTCGTTCCCATCTGAAGACCTCAGTAGGTCCCTTTTTCCTAATGGGGCCGCATGGGACAGTGGGAACTGTTCCACCTTCCGCCTCAGGTCCTGTCCATTCATCTCACTCTCCTTCTGACTTCTGCTCTGTTCAGCTGCCTGCTCTGCAATGGCTCCACTCTTCAACAGAGACTTTTGTGTCCCCTTGGACTCATCTCTGGCTCCTACTAGCCCCACACTAGACAACACCAACTGCTGCACACCATGAGTATTCTCCACATGTGGCAAAGCCTTGAGCGGCTTGAGTTTCCGTGGTGGTGGAACCTTGGGGGCAGGTGGCTCAGCAGAAGCACATGGAGAAGGAGACCTGAACAATTCTTGGGATCGGCGCAGCTGCTGCTGGGACACCGTGCGCTTAATGCGGCCAAGTTCCTCTGTGAATTTATGCTCCACGTCATACACACGATTGGAGAAGCGGCCACGCTCATCCAAGGAAGCTGCCTTCTGGTGGAAGGCCTGGCGCCGGAACGCCACACCACCCACTTCCGAGTGGATGTCATCTTGGAGGTCCTCATGTGAGGCAGCAGAGAGGAAGGGGCTGGCATCATCCAAGCCAGGCTGGTCAAAGGAGCGGGTCTTGCGTAAGGGCAGCCATGTGTGGCCTGCAAAGGGGTTCTCATTCTGCTCCAGGCTTTTCCGCCGCTCCTCAAAGAACTTGAGCTTGTCAAAGATCTTGGAACCTGACCGTGGCAGTTTGGGTGATGGGCGGAGGACAGACACGCGGCTGGAGGCTTCGCTTAGTGGGGTCTGGGGCCGTGAGTCTCCTGTGCCGGCCTGAGAGTAGACTGATGATTTGGAGCGCTTCAGCTTTTCATCAAATTCTTCTGATGTTGTATCTGAAAATTCAGGGGGCATCAGCAGCTTTCTGCGAGGAGCTACAGGTGGTGTGGGGCCCCGGCTGGTTCCCGGTGGCTGGACTGGGCACTGCCCTGCTCGAGGGGACACTGGGCGATGAAGAGGAGGTTTCTGTGCAGGTGGGTGGAGGGTATCTGTGCTGGTTTTGCTGCTGCTGTTGGCTTCATCCCTCCGGTATCCACCATGGGGAAGGCTGCTGCAGTTGGAAAATGAGATATGGCAAGGTTTGCTAAGGCAAGGGAGACTGGCTAGTCCAGGGAAGTGAACCACAAGGAAGAAGAGGCCTAGAGGGACAATAAACTATGGCCATGAAGACAGCTGCCCACAATGGCACCAGGGGTAAATTATCCATGTAAGAGGGAGAATGTTTTCCTTTCTGGAGGAGGGGAAATGATCCATGGGAATTTATTCAGTCCCAAGCTAAAGCCTTGACACAGGACAGAACTGTTTCCTCCAGCAGACTTGCTTCTGTCCTCTGTATGAGTTTCTGTAGACTCCACAAAGGAGAAGTTGGTTGATTTGTTTTGGCCTTTCCTATAACATACAGCCTGACTTGCTATGTGAGTCTCCAAGAGCAGTTTGCTCCACCTAAAAATTTTTGCCCTCTGCCATACTTTGGTTTGAATTACATATTGATAGATGTTGCCTCATACCTAAGGCTTATGTTTCCTTCCAGTTAAATATTTCCAAGAACGGCTGCATGGATAACCAGGTTTCTTTGCACAAAATGCAAGGAAATGCAGCCTCTCTTGATGGCAGAATCCAGCAGGCCTTACCTTATGAATGAACTGTTCTAAAGAGCCACACAAGGGCAGAGGAAGAAATCTGGGGGTTAGTCAGGCTGTAGTTCAGTGATAAATTAGTATCTGTTGGCCTCACCTAAGGACAGGGCAAGGGTGGGATCGACATGGGGGAGACCCTGGTGCAGCCAAAAATGCAACAGAAAAAGGAGAGGAGAGTATATCGAGCTGCAACCTGCACAGCACACACAAACATGCTTCTTCTTAGAGGCACAAATAACTTACTCAGCTGCATGTATAAGCAGGCCCACACATTCATCCCCCAGCCAACTCAGTTCCTGAGAAGAAATGGGTTTGCATGTTCAGCAGCACACACATGCATGTGCACACATCTCCACACCCACACATAGAGCGACAATTGTACACATGTATATTTAGTCATATATAAATTAGCCTTTTCTTCGCTCATTAATAGCAAGGCAGTTTTGATGGTAAGCATGAGGAGAAGGTGGGGGGAAATCAAACTCAGGAAGGAGGAGGAGGGAGATGAGGGTATCTCTAAGCATTGCTGGTTCCCCAGGGGACTCCCAACCCTCCTATTGCTCTGTGCACCTCCTCCATTAGATCTTCACCAGTCTTCCTGCCTCTGCAATTCAGCCTGGGATTTGCTGTCATTGTCAGATCATGATGACTCTCAGCTTTCCATTTAAGTAAAACTCCTGATGTCAAGCTCTCCATTATTGCAGAGAAGAAAGAATAAAATATGTGTGGGCAGAACCTACTTAATGGCTCAGAAGCTGAAGGAAACCTTAATATGGTTTCCGAGGAAGGGCTCTGGGACTCTGAATGGCTTTTTATATCTCTCCTGAAGGTCTTACAGGTTTGCCTCCCTATACTACTTTGTGACATTTCTAGTAATAGACATCTTCATTCAACTACCAAAAAACCCGCATTGCCTGTAGCAAAAGCACTGCTACTGGTGCAAACTGGTAGCCACAGTCCAACAACTGTGTCTTAAATATAGGTTGAATCCCCTTTATCCAAATTGCTTGGGATCAGAAGTGGTTTGGAATTTGGATTTTTTTCCAGATTTTCAAACACCTCTATTTGCATATATGTACATAATGAGATACCTTGGAGATAGGATCCCACTATAAATACAGAGTTTATGTTTCATATACTCATAGAATCATGAGTTGGGAGAGACCTTGTGGGCCATCCAGTCCAACCCCCTGCCAAGAAGCAGGAAAATCGCATTCAAAGCACCCCGACAAATGGCCATCCAGCCTCTGTTTAAAAGCCTCCAAAGAAGGAGCCTCCACCACAGTCAGGAAGTTCTTCCTAATGTTATGTCTAATGCTTGTAGACATAGCCTGAAAGTAATTTTATACACAATATGTTTGAATAATTTTGTATATGCAACAAAGTTTGTACATATTCGATCATCAGAAAGCATAGATGTTTCTCTCAGCCTTTTATGAGGACAATTTTGGAATTCTGGATAGCCCCTATCTATGATGAACAATGGTCCTTGTTATCTTGCACCTTGTCTCCCTCTTACCTTCCTGCAAGCAAACCTAGATAGCTTGTGTCTCAAACTGAAATGCAATTTTCCTATCAGATTAATATAGGCTAGTTATATTAGCTTACTTACAGCATTTCTATGTTCCATTGATTTAAATAAACAAATATTGTACGAGTATTTGAGGTACTGAGAATGGGCCACCAATTTGAGTAGTTGGTTTTTGAATTCAAACAGATAGAAAATTGTCCTGCTCTCTATACACTTGTAATAAAATGCACCATTATCTGTTTGGAGTTAGTGACAGCCTGTGAAGGCTTTCCTATCATCTCATGACATGTGTAACCAAGCTTAGAGTCATAGAAAGAGAGCGATCTTCAGAGTGAAAGGAATTGGTGGATTCTGCTCCCTATATTGATAGAAGAGACTCTGGTTTGGCTGGGCCAGAGTAGAATGGATACATACCTCTGTAAACTATCATCCGCCCAGCAAAGCCCTACGAGAATGATGGCAGGAAGATGTGGAAGTGACAAAAGGGAGAAGAGTGCAACAAAAGAAGGCAGCAAAGGAGGCAATGGAAGGATAGTGGGGCTGGTTTCAAAGGGCTGGGTGCAGAAGGGGCTTTGGATGGAGTATGCTATGACAGCAAGGGTCAAGGTTATGATGGAGGGGCTCAGGAGGGATTTAGTGGTGTGTTGGAACCAAAGACTCAAAGAGTACAGGGGTCTGTGGGGATCATGACTGGAGAGGATTTTAGGGAGAAATGATGGTCCCAGCACAATGGCCCCTGCACCCCACTCCACCGCCCCATGGCTACTTACACGTGCAGGGAGAGGGCACGGCCCCGGTACAGGCTGAAGGCGCTGCCGTAGGGGTCGCTCCCCAGAGACAGGCTGTCCTCGGACCCCGGGGCCACGCCAATCAGCTCCGCCCGTGATGCCCGTACCAGCGGCTCCACCCCCAGGTGCCGGGCCTCGGCAGGTGCTTGCCTTGGAATGCTGGGGTGCAGGTAGGGTCCCCTCACCGTGGGGCCGGCCTCTGGATCCTTCTCCAACACCGTGGTCTGGCTCCCTGACCAACTGGAGTGCTCATCTGTCTGGGACAGGCCTGGCACTGAGGTCGGAGTGGTCTTCATGGACGCGTCCACCAGTGTGTCCGACTCCCCTGCCAGAAGCACAAACAAGAGATGATTGAGACAACTGGGCTCTTTCCCTTTGCCTTTCCATAACCAGCCCAGGTCATTGGGCCAGGACTGACAGAAATGGATAATGCTCGCTAGAAGTCAGCCCTATCATTAGGCAGAATGAGGCATGCACTCATGTGCTGTCATATGTATAGGTATGCATGTATGTGATTTCAAATCACCTGTTGACTTATAGCAACCTCACACATTCCATAAGGTTTTCTCAGGTGAGGAATACTCAGAGGTGGATTAATCTGAAATACAACCTACAGCCACAGAAAAACAATAAATAATTCTTAATATTCTTATTGTATACTAACCGTCGCCCGCCATGCATTGCTGTGGCCCAGTCTGTGTATATGAGCTTTGTGTGTGTGTATATTTCTGTATATGTGAATATATGTGTGTTTGTGTATATATACATGGTTTTGCACACACGCTGTAATATAATTTTTGTTTTTTGGCTTTTTAAGTTTCTTCCACTGTGTTTTTCAGTGTTTATGAGTGATGGTCACTCATTGGCCTGATAGGTATATTGTGTCCAAATTTGGTGTCAGTGGTTTTTGAGTTATGTTAATCCCACAAACAAACATTACATTTTTATTTATATAGATGTTTCATTACAGACAACTATTATTATTTTTTTCTGCTTCCTATGACAAAAGGAGTCCCCAGTGGTGTAGTGGGTTAAACTGCTGATCTGCTGAACTTGCTGACTGAAAGGTCACTTTCAAATCTGGGGAACTGTGTGAGCTCCCACTGTTAGCCCCAGCTTCTGCAAACCTACCAGTTTGAAAACATGCAAATGTAAACAGATCAATAGGTACCACTCCGGCAGGAAGGTAACGATGCTCCATAAAGTCATGCTGGCCACATGACCTTGGAGCTGTCTATGGACAACACTGCTATTTGACTTCGAAATGGAGATGAGCACCAACCCCCAGAGTCTGACACAACTGGACTTAATGTCAAGGGAAAACGTTTAATTTTTCACCTATGACAAAATTACTTGCCTAGCTTTGGGTCCTGTCACTTGGAAATTGAGCAGTTGAGGCCGTTTTAATGACAGACTGGAGGCATTCATTTTGCTCTATGTTTGATTTGAACTGTAAGGGAGCTATCCAAAATGCTTAAGCCAGTCACACAGATATGTTCAGCACCTTGGATACCTCCTTGAAATCTGGAGTACATTTACTACTCTCCTGGCTTGGGAGTTCCCAGCCATTACTGCAGAGAGGCAAGGAATCTGCTGCTCTGCCTTGGGCATCAAAAATATCTTAGAGCAGACTTGACAGTACAACACAGACTGACAGATCCATAGGAGTGACCAGAGGCATTCCAAGGCTACACAGGGGTTCATAGTATTCAATGATTTTACAGATTTTGCTGCTGTACCGAGTCTATATAATAGCAGGGAATATACTACACTGTATGAGCATAAGGTCATGCTCCCAGGTTCTAAGAATAGGTATTTTCCCCTCTCGGTTTGGGATTTATCAGCTGTAAAGAACAAAGGAGGAGGAATTCGAAAAACCTGGTGGAGTATTAAATTCTATAGTGTAGAAAAGGTCTGCAAGGTCAAATATTTGTAGCAGGAGTAGAGAAGATTAATCATTTCTTGTTCCAGTTATATAATGTATTCAATTATACAACCCGGGACAAGGTTATCTGCCAGACCACATGAGTCTGCCTGGGTTATGAGATCCTCTGGAGAGGCCCTTCTTCACCTTCACCGGTAACAGCAGAAGAGGACACAAAATAGGGCCTTCTTGGTGGTTGCTCTAGACTCTGGAATTCCCTGCGTGGTGAGGCTAGAATGGCTTCTTCTTTGGTATTGTTCCAACAGAAGATGAAGCCAATTCCAAAAGGTATTGAGAACTGAAGGCTTTTAGGAAATTGTATTGTTTGTAACTGTTTTTTTATAATTTAGTCATTGTATATTTTTAGTCTTTTAATATGCTCAAGTTCAAGTTGGTGATTAACCAAGGAATGGGTGGAAGTTCGAAAATAGTGTATTCGCCACCAAGTATGCTTCACCCATCAGGAGAAGGGGTTGAATTTTGCACAACCTCCACAGGTGCACTGCGGTATATTTACTCAAAGTAAATATGGAATATGTAAAGCAAATATGGAATATGTACAATCAACATTGGATGTGGGTTGTTGTAGGTTTCTCCGGTCTACATGGCCATGTTCTGGAGGCAGTTTTTCTCCTGACGTTTCGCCTGTATCTATGGCAAGCATCCTCAGAGGTAGTGAGGTAGTGAGAAAAAAAATGCCTCCAGAACATGGCCATGTAGACCGGAGAAACCTACAACAAACCAGTGATTCCGGCCATGAAAGCCTTCAACAATACATTGAACATTGGATGTGCTTGGATCATGTGATTTAAATGTTTTTATTAGGTGTTTTAATTCTTATATTTCATGTTTGAAATGTCCTTTTGTTTCTTCTTCTGAAGAATTGTGCTATTGATTTTATGCTTAGTTATATGATGTTGATTGTAATTTGGTTTAGGCATTGGTAAGGCATTGAATTTTGCCACTATTTCTAAGTAAGTCACTTTGAGTCCCCCCAGGGGTGAGAAAAATGGCAGATAAATACTGAAAATAAATAAATAGATAAATAAATAATATGTAAGTGAAAACTGGTGTGTTAGATAAACCAGACCTAGGGCAAGTTAGTTTTGAGCAATCTCTGCCAAAATTCTTTAGTCTATTCAGTGGCCACAATACCTGGGAGAATTTCAAGAATTCTACTGGACAGAAGATAATACAGTATTTTACTTCATAGATTTAGCCACTGAAAATCATGTCTACCCATTCTTACACAACTTTGTCCTTTACCTGTGCTGCTCTCTATCTTAATTTCTGCTTTGCAACCATCCTAGAATTTTTAAATTCTTTTTTTAAAACAGTATACATAGGGTCACTGTGAGTTTTCCAGGCTGTATGGCCATGTTCCAGAAGCATTCTCTCCTGACATTTCACCCACATCTATGGCAGGCATCCTCAGAGGTTGAGGGGTCTGTTGGAAACTAGGCAAGTGAGGTTTATATATCTGTGGAATATCCAGGGTGGGAAAATTCCACACATGAAACAATCAAGGCCAGCTAAGAACTCCCAACAAAAGATTCCCCCAGGCAGGAAGCAGCCAGGCTTTGAAGCTGCAAGGCCATTAAATGCTAATCAAGGTGGCCAATTGCAACATTCACACCTACTTCAAGCAGGCAAGAGTTCTTTCTCCCACCCTGGACATTCCAGATATATAACCCTCACTTGCCTAGTTTCCAACAGACCTCACAACCTCTGCATGGCATAGATGTGGGCAAAATGTCAGGAAAGAATGCTTCTTGAACATGGCCATACAGCCTGGAAAACTCACAGCAGCCCAGTGATTCCAGCCATGAAAGCCTTCAACAACAAATAGTATGCATATGTTATGTATGGGGTTTTCAATTTATATGACACTTTATAGCTGGAGGAGAGGAACCTGGACCCTCCAGATGTTGTTGGACTGCATCCCCATCATTCTTGACAATTATAGCTTTGCTGGCTGAGACTAATAGAATGCAGAAGCCCAAAACACCTAGAGGGACACCAGTTTCCCATACCTTTTCATGCTAGGTACTAAAAATTCTGTGCTTAGGTGGGCAGTGCATGATCTCCAGATGTTGTTGACCTGCAACTCCCATCAGCCTTAGCTATCATAGCCAATACTGGGAGATAATCAGAGTTACAAACTGACTGTACTTGAAGCACTGCAGAATTCCCACTCCTGCTTTAAAAGAGGGTGGATGGGGAATATATTTGACACCGAGGAGTGGGACTGGCCAAGTTATGTGATTGTCCCGGCACATTTTGCATCCCTCCATTTACCTTATCATTCCATCCTGAGGACAGTGTTTGAAAGCTGTCTGAAGTGACCATATATAGCCTCCCCACATTAAGTCCCTGCAGTAGTTAAATACTGCCATTTTTCAGTTTTATTTCTTTCCTATTGAATGCCCTTTATGCTTTGCTGAGTCCTTTCCTGATATAAAGTTGCCCTCTTTATTAAATTAATGTTCTGCCTTGGTTAATATTTGCCCTGCTTCCTAACGAAGGTGCTTTCATGCTAGCTGTCTCTCCAGAGAGCAGTAATTCTTATGTTCCAGTGGTAGCTGCCAAAAACAGGAATGCTGGAAGAGTCAAGAGAAAGAGAGCAAACTCGCAGGCAGATAATCCAGGAGAGCTGGAGCCCCAGAGACAAGTGCAATTGCTGCTCAAAGGACTCAGCAATCCTTTTTTCATGATTAAAAAGACTGTGACCTATTTGCGTAGGCATTGATGACTGCAATCTGCATTAAAAGTTTAGTCTCTCCCAGGAATCCAAGTGAGAGGTGTTGAGTAAATGATCCAAGAAGGCAGCAGCCACGAATATGGTCTCTCGCAGCAGGGACCAGGAATAGTGTTATGTGTGACACAGCACTGGCACACAAAATCAAGGGCAAGATAACAGGAGGGTCTATAAACTGCAATTATAAAGCTATCATGCAGCAGGGAGGGAGGGAAGAGAAACCAGGACAATAGACAAAACTCTCTTAGTTTCAAATATAGATTCATATCCATTCAATTCACAACCCCTGGTTGTGCAATGGGTTAAACCCTTGTGCCGGCAGGACTGAAGACTGACAGGTTGGAGATTCAAATCCGGGGAGAGCGCAGATGAGCTCCCTCTGTCAGCTCCAGCTCCATATGCAGAGACATGAGAGAAGCCTCCCACAAGGATGGTAAAACATCAAAACATTCGGGCATCCCCTGGGCAATATCCCTGCAGACGGCCAATTATCTCATACCAGAAGCGACTTTCCATTTCTCAAGTCGCTCCTGACACAGAAAAAAAAAATCACAACCCAGTTTCTGCATCTGTTGCCTGGCTCCAGCTCACCTGTAGGGGAGCTATAGGTTGTCTCATCCTGGAGCTGGCTGCGTTGGGTCACCTGTGTGCTGCTGGCATCATCTTCTCCCGTCTCCGAGTCTAAAACAAGAGGAAGGACCAGTTCAGGAAGATGCTCTGCTGGTTGGCCAACCCACATCATCACCCATTCAGCCCAATCCCATTTCTTGCATGCAATTCGTGCAGCTTTTCTGAGAATCTAGAAAATCCAATTCTCAGTGTTTTTAAAGAGAGAAAGATAGACAGGGTGACCAAAATGCTTATTGTGGAACAGATAGGCTCGAGAGCATGGCAATCACGGATTTGAGAGGTACACGCACCAGGAGGCAAATCATAAGAGTTTCTATTTAATAACATTTTCTGATTAACATTATTATTGAGTCATTTTTAAGGAATCAGCTTAGGAGTCTAAAAAGTTCAGTCAGAGAAATACATGGATATTTAGATTACCCACCTAGCTGGAAGTCTAAGCAGGCACATACGGGACTAATAATACCTCAAAACAGCTTCTTGCTTAGATAAGAAGACAATGAAGATAGGAATTTCAAATCATATACATGGAAAATAATAATACTAATAATTTATTTATTTATTTATTTCCCTCATCTCTACATGGCTTGAGGCAGAGTACAACATGATAAAACAGAACACAGTATATAACATATAAGATAAAGATTTCCCCTGACATTAAGTCTAGTCGTGTCCAACTCTGGGGGGTGGTGCTCATCTCCATTTCTAAGCTGAAGAGCTGGCAGTGACCATAGACTCCTCCAAGGTCATGTGGCCAGTATGACTGCATGGAGCATTGTTACCTTCCCGACAAACTGTTGATCTACTCACATTTGCATGTTTTCAAACTGCTAGGTTGGCAGAAGCTGGGACTAACAGCAGGAGCTCACCCCGTCCATGGATTCTAACCACTGACCTTCTGATCAGCAAGCTTTGCAGCTTAGCAGTTTAACCTGCTGTGCCACCATGGCCCCATAATATATATACACAGGTAAAATGTAGATTAAAATTACCAATAAAGTGTAGTTTAAAATTCAGAAGTTAAAATTGACTGGGTAGGCCTGCTAGAAGAGATGGGTCTTCAATTGCATCTTAAATTCCGACAGCTGATTTAGCTGTCGGATCTCTTCCAGGAGGTCATTCCACTGTACTGGTGCAGCCGATGAAAGGCTTTAATTTTGCATCATGTGTGAATGAAAAGGAAAATTGTTACAAGAGTATGTATCCACTGTATAATTTCCAATCATATAAGCAAAATATACAGAAAGAAGGCAATATATGATGGGAATGCTGGCAGCCAAAAACAGACCGTCACTAACCAAAGTCCTTTGGGGATTAAATTGCTTCTTGAACATGATAGGTTTAATGTTCCAGTACTCTGTATTAGTTATCCTTTTCCAATGTTGCTCAGGCTTTTTTGATGAGTCAATGTGACAAGCGCATCTGACTCTGGCACCTAGTAATCACAGTTGAAATGTTGGCAGCAAAAATACTGCATGAGCATTCCCCTCCCTCACTAAAAGAATTGCTGGCAAAATTGTGGGAAGCTGGTAGAAATGTCAAAGCAAATGAAATATACCTTCAGGCTTGAGGCAGTCAGCATTCAGGGTCTTTGGGGACAAAATAGTCTCTTTTTACTGTTCTTATGGAAAGAACATACATACAAAGAAAAAAAACAGTATTCAAAAAAATGTGGCAAATATTTTTCTGTTTATTTGTTACCAACGTTCTTTGTAGTTTAATTACTGCCTAATAAACTTGTGGGAGTCCCTGGTGGCACATCGGGTTAAACCACTGAGCTGCTGAACTTGCTGACCGAAAGGTTGGTGGTTTGAATCTGGGGAGCATGGTGAACTCCTGCTGTTAGCCCCAGCTTCTGCCAATTTAGAAATTTGAAAACATGCAAATGTGAGTAGATCAATAGGTACCGCCTCTGCAGGAAGCTAACAGTGCTCCAGGCAGTCATGCCGGCCACATGACCTTGGAGGCATCTACGGACAACACAAGCTCTTCGGCTTAGAAATGGAGATGAGCACCACCCCCCAGAGTAGGACATGACTAGACTTCATGTCAAAGGGAAACCTTTGCCTATTGAGGAGAAATAGGGGATAGACTGCTTCTTGGAAACAAAGCCTCGGGTAGAACAGGAGCAGGAACACTTCTCTAGTATGGTTACTGGTGTGTCACCCACAAGGCGGGGATTCGGACACTCACCGATGATGATGATGATAATAATAATAATAATAATAATAATAATAATAATTATTATTATTTATTTATTTATTTATTTATACTCCGCCACCATCTCCCCAAGACGACGTGGGGCAGCTTACATGAGGCCAAGCCCAATAGTGCAGCAAATATACAACATAAAATACAAACAGTAAAATATAATGAAAATAAAAATAAATACAAAAACAATCTAAATGAACACACCAAACAAGTAATTGGGAAAAAGTAATTGCAAGGTTTAATAGTAAGGTTTAATTGCACTAGAAGATAAAGTGCTTCCGAGGACATTTTCTGCAGGGTTTGGTCAAGATCAGGCTTTTCTTGTGAAACTTCCTGCCTCATTTCTGAATATTCATAATGCAATCCAGACAACAAACTTTTTCATTTATAAATAACCCCTTCCCCTAGCTTATCCCACAAATTCTTCTACTTTTTTCTTATCATATAAAGCCCATTAAAGACAGAAACACGGCTGGAGTTTTTCTCTGGTGAATGGGAGATCGCCAATGAATACTGGATGACATTGGTTATATTTCAGAAGAAGTAATTGGCAAAACCACCTCTGAGTATTCCTTACCTAAGAAAACTCTATTAAATTCACAGGGTTGCCATCAGTTGACGTGTGATTTGAAGGCACATGAGATTTGTGAGAAGCTATCCATTTGGAAGCACCCCAGGAGTTCGGTTATCATTGTCTTCTGTGATTTCTTTATTAAGCCAGCCAAAATGTGAATCAAGAGGCAATGGTTTGAGGATTCGTCTGGAACTCTGGAGACTAGGGTTTGATTCTTCATTTGGACATGGAAATCTACTAAGCGACCTTGGTAAGCCATATACTTTCAAATCCAGAAAAACCCATGACAGAGTCATTTTATGATCACCATAAGTCCAAAATGTCAGCCTTCCATCTTATTTTGAGACATTGGTTCAAAATGGTCTCAAGGGGAAGGTCACACTCCTTCTTAGTCATGAGGAGAGTCGAAGACAAAGAAAATGCCAGAAAATAATTAACAACTAATGTAACTGCCTTTGAGATCTAGGCCATCTTTATCCTGTGTGAGGTTGCAAGTCACTTTACAGGCCAAAAATAGTCTTTTCAGAAGCCTGCATTTTCATAGACAGGCTATCATTTTCTTTTAGGGTTATCTTACTTTTTGAACCATGTTTGGCACCAATGGTTGAGAATGTCAGGGGTACTTTGATTGTGCTTTTCCTACACAACAGAGGGTTGGACTAAATGACCCACATGGTCTCTTCCAACTCTATGATATTCAGGGAAAGGCTCATGTTGAATCATGAGTTCTCAAGAATATATAGAGATTACCTCAGGTCTTACAAAGCTAGTGAAAGGTTAGGAGTTAAGTATTCCTATCATCCTCACCTTTCTTCTACTTCCAATTGTCGGGGGCAATTTCATACAGTCATATGTAATACACCATTTGCAATTTGCTCCTTGGTGCAACAGCTATCTTGGAGAACTCGAAGGATTCCAAGAGTTATTACGGACTGTCCTTACTCCAAGGACCCAGCTTACAGGCTGAGCAAACCCTTCCACATTCCCAGAGAAGGGCAGGATAAAAATATAAATGAATAAGTCTTTGGAGCCAAAGGCTGAGGGAACATGTGAGGCTGAGTAAACTACCTGGAATCCATCCCTTTCTAGCATGGTAGGCGGGCCCTAGCTGTGTGTGGATGAGAAATTGCAGCTTGTGTTTCTGGCAACTGTGGCTCATTTCCTTTCTGTGGGAGACATTACTCCAGGGGAAAAAATGACAAAGCAGGGAAGGTGTACTGCGACAACAAAGAAATCAAGATTAGGAAAAACCAGCAGCAGATAGGACTATTCAATTGCAATGTGAATTGCAATCAAAAGAAGGTGAGCCTTTGAGGTACTTGTAACCTTGCCCTTGGTGAAGAGGACTAACAGAATAATATATTCATTAAAATGAGTCTATACCACCCTTCTACTTTTCTCACGTCATTCGGGGAAGGTAGCAACAATGAAAACCATTCATATAATAGCATAATACAGTAAAATTACTGAACTACAGCATCATAAAAAGACTGAGTACAATAAGTGTAATTGCCGCTCCCCCAACTGTTCCTTCTTCAGGCCTATTTTTGTTCAATGAAAGAGAACGTGGGAGATAAATAGATACACCGAGCTGCACAGTTTGGTCCTCAATATCTGTCTCTATGGACAATAGAGTTATCAGCCTTAATACAGAAATTTGCAAGGACACCTTCCATGATTACCTGATGCTGGAAATGGATAGTACATGGATATGTTGTGCAAAACTTAATGTACATTTTTAAAAATAAATAAATGTTTAAATCTAAATAATATTGAAACAAATAAACACAAAGTCTACACAGAAGACATCCTCTCCCACCGAATCCCAAAAACGCATGCGGAAAAGGAAACTATATTTGGATCATGGAACGGCAAGTATATGAGAAAGGAGATGGAGCATGGAAATAGGAGAAGAGGAGAAAGCTTAGGAATGGAAGCGTGATATCACATAGTGCCTACCGTAACTTTGCTTTCTGCAGGAGCGGAAAACTTCGCTTCCATAGGGGCAGCAAGAAAGAGAGACACACGTCAACAAAGCGTTACCATCCAAACCATCCCAGTCTCACAATTACCCCAAAACACAATTAAATTGACTTTATTTAGCTGTCCTGTAAAACCCAGAGAAGTTTGGGATGTTGTATGTGCAGGAGAATTGGTCAGTTTGATTTTTATCATGTCAGGAGCAACTTGAGAAACTGAAAGTCACTACTGGTGTGAGAGAATTGACCGTTTGCAAGGATGTTGGCCAGGGGACATCTGGATGTTT